GGGGGGGGTTGCGTACTCGATCATGTTCTCAACCGGCGGCTTCACCTGCTCAGGCTTCACGGTATTGATCTTCCCAAACCCGAGGCCGAGCAGGCCACTGCCAGCATTACGCTGAAACTGAGAGGACATCTTGTTGGCGGTCTCGATGGCCTGGTTCTCCACGCAAAGCCCGCCGATAGTCAGAGTGTCCGTCCCAACAGTGCCGCTGGCGCCAGAGCCGTCGCCGTACTGGATCTGCCATGTCGAGCCACCTGACATCCCAACACTGTCGGCCTCAGATGCATGCTCCAGTTTATCTGCCCGACTCACCTTTCGCGCACCAAGTGCTGCTCTTCCCACTGTCAAAGATAGCATGCCCAGTCCTCTTTCCCTGCGTCTGCACCGCGGGCTCCAGCTCGTTCGACCACACCTATTCACCACCACATCATCAGCAACCACCCAACCCTACCGTCGCCAAAGTGGAAGTACTAACCCAAAGATCCGAACTCCCAGTATCAAAATCCAACGGCAGCCTCTGCGGCGGCGTCCCCACCCCGACTTCCGCCAGATACATCGAATCCTGCTGCACGTCCTCTATCTTCACCGGCGAAGCATTGCCAGCATCATTTCTCACGACAAGCGTTTGCCCGCCTTTGGTGTACGCTTTGCCGCCGACCTTGCGGCTGACGGTGCGGAGCACGGCTTGGGGGCCGGACTGGTCGATCATGGCGAAGGGGCCTTTGAGGGTGGGGGCGATGTTGTCTGTGAGAGGGTGAGTTCCCGGGGGAGGGGAAGAGGAGGGGAGGGGAGGGGGGAGGTACATTTTTGCAGGGCGTAGGCGTAGGATTTGCGGCCGTGGCGTTGGTAGTTTAGGTTTTTGTGGAGAGGGACTCGGGTGAGCTTTTGGGGGTTGGAGGACATGGTTGCGGGTGGTGGTGTGGTTGTTTGTACAGGAGGTAGTGGCGCGGAATTGAGGTGTCGTTCTTGATTGATATTTGAAAGGAGCGAAAGATGATTTTGACGAGATAGATGCAGGTGAAGGAAGTTGATTTTATCAAGAGACTGTCGAAGTAGGCAGACAAAACAACCCATCTCAAGGCCCATGTGCAGCAGCACCTTCTCTTTGTCTCAGAACCGCACCTGACCTTTCGACCTACCTGACTACCATCCCAGAATCGGCGCATCCGAGTAGCAACCACGGGAAACCGTCACGACTCGGTGTCGACCGATGAAAGAGGCACACGAACATTCCTGCAACAATTTGTGGTTCTGGTGACGAGACGGTACGTTTGCAGAGACAGACTGCCCGCGTACCGACGCAAACCGATGGTCTTCGCAGACTGGGCGTTGGGATAGTATCGTCTCGGTGAATCGCACCTGTCATAAGGTACCGTCCTCTCACTTGGAACAATGACGGCGCGTGACAGCTGTCAGGTGCGATGGTGTTGTACTGGAACGAGGTTGGGAAGCTGAGGTCGACCCAGTGCTTGGCCAAAAAGGACTGCTTATCAGCTTGTCAGATTACCTAGCTATACCAGAATACAGATCACCCACGACAAACACAAGCCACCTGTATCAACGCTCAAGCACAGCAACGACGCCAACATCTTACACCACTACAGCCATCGCCCTCCATCAACTGCCCACACCATCCCCTCACAGCGCAGCAATAGCCCTCCGCATAACCTCCAAACTCCTCTCACTCACACCCTTCCCATCCTCCTCTTCCTCCTCCACCACCCCACCACCCTTCATCATCTGACTCAAATCACTCAACAGCCCCAGCGGCATCCACGTACTCTCCCTCGCCTTCTCCACACTCTCCCGTATCCTGCCCGTGTGCTCCCAGCTCTGCGCCGCCTCCTCCGCCCGCGCGATAACCTTATCCGGGATGCCACACATGGCGGCGCAGTGCATGCCGTAACTCCCCTCCGCCACTCCAGCCTCCAGCTTGTAGAGGAACGTGACGTCCCGGATGTCGTGCTCGACTTGCACGGCCATCCGCTTCGGCGCAATCTCAGGGTGCGCTTGGAACTCGGTGGCGAGGGAATGATAGTGCGTAGCGAAATACCCCAGCGCGCCGATGTGCGTGGCGATATGATGCAGCACCGCCTGCGCGACCGCCACGCCGTCATAACTGCTCGTCCCGCGCCCGAGTTCGTCGAGGATGACGAGCGAGCGCGGCGTGGCTTCGGCGAGGATCTTCTTAGTCTCCGCCAGCTCGACCATGAAGGTGCTCTGGCCGGCGAAGATGTTGTCCTGGGCGCCGAGGCGCGACATGATGCGGTCGACGGGCGTCATGCGCGCGGACACGCAGGGCACGTAGCAGCCGACTTGGGCGAGGATGACGGCGATGCAGGTCATGCGGAGGATGGTGGACTTGCCGGCTGCGTTGGCGCCGGTGAGGAGGGTGATTGATGGGTCTGAGCCGCCTAGGGTGATGTCGTTCGGAATGAAGTTGGTTGTCGTCTCAATACAGGGGTGGCGGAGAGTGTCGAACTCGAGGACACTCCGAGCGTTGTCGTCCTCGATGAGCTCAGGTCTGCAGGATGGCGAGCCGAGCGCGGTGGAAGCCTTTGCAAGCGAGATCAGGCAGTCGAGTTGCGCCACGATCTTCGTCGCTTTAAGCCAAGTTTTGTAGTCCTTGTCGAAGCGTTCGAACATGCGGCGGCCCATAGCTTTGATAACTTGGCCATGACTCTCCTGTGCCTCTTTGAGATCTCGCACCAGGCTCTCGAGCTCAGGCGAATACCATCGCTTGCAGGCCTTCGTAGCAGACATCTGCTTCCAACTCTTCGGGATGGTACCACGTACCTTGATTGGTACTTCAAGTTGGTAGATCTCCTTGCCGTTGTCTGTGAACTTGATGGCGCTTGATCCGAGGTCTTCGCGGGCCTGCTTGAGCAGCTTGTTGAGGGACTTTTCAATATTGTCGATGCACTCTTGGCTCTCGTCGAATTCCTCCTCAACGCCAGGCTGCGGGATGAACAATCCGTCCTCTCTCGCTCTCTCACGATCGAAAGCGTCCTTCCAGGGATGCAAAGCAGCAGACAGATCAGGCATCGCTTCGATCAGCTGGCCGACTACACCCTCGCCTTTGCCAAGTGAGCCCAGAATCGACATGGTGTACTCAATAAGCTCGAAGCCCTCCAGTACACGCACAAAGTCCTGCGGTTTGCAGCGTGCGGCATGGATCCGTGAGATGAGTCGCTCGAGATCTGGCAACTTCGACAGGGACGCCGTGAAGCGGTCCATCAGGACATCGTTGGCATTTAGAGCATCAACCGCATCCAGCCGCTGGTTGATCTTCACTGGATCCGCCAGAGGATGGCAAACCCACTGCCGGAGCATTCGCTTGCCGAAAGGCGTGATGCAACGGTTGAGCATGGTGAAGAGGGTGCCGTCTGTGCTCCCATCGAATGTGTTGGCGAAGATTTCGAGGTTGATCAAGCTCTGTCCGTCTAGCACGAGGGTTGATGCCTTTCGGATGGGATCGTACCAGGAGAAGTTGCCACATGTGATGAGGTCCCGTTCGATCTTGAGCAGACTGAGATACGACACTAGCGCTCCCAGAGCAGAGAACACCAGCTCCTTCTCCTTTGCTTCACGGAGAACCGCCGGCCAGGTGTCCTCCGAGTCTTCAACAGCCTTGTCAAAGTAGCCTTCTCCATCAATCTTCATCCTGGTCTTCTCCGCGGTCAAGAACTCTTTATCTGACTTGAGATAGTTCCAGATGGTGGTTGGAGGTGTGTTGTTCTTGAGCATGCGAACCACCTTGCTGGACACGCAGCCCTTCTCGAGCAGCAGCTCACCAGGCCGGGTCTGAGCGACAAAGGTCTCAAATCGTGTCATGTCAGCGTCGTCAACAAACTCGGCCAGATGGAACTGAGCAGTGGCAGTGTCGACAAAGGCGATGCCAAAAGCAGGACGCCCGTCCACTTCCGTCTCCTTGATAGCCGCGCAGTAAGTGGCCATATCATCCTGCAGCATGCCGCCATCAACAAGCGTGCCACCAGTGAGCACAGATGCCAGCTCCCGCCGGATGACCTTTTCTTCCTTCTTCTTGAGTTTCTCGTCACGCTCCCGCATATCCTTACCAAGCGCAGTCTCCATCTGGTCCACTCGCGCAATCTTGAAGCCTTTGGCCACAAACTGGTTCGCCCACATATCCAGACTGGACTCTGGCACACCTACCATCCGCATGTTGACCCGGTCAGTCAGCTTCAAGTCGAACAGCTGATGTCCGATAGTGGCGTCATTCTCGTACAGTTCGTAGAACTTGCCCTTCTTGAAGAAGACGATGGTGTCCATGAACTTCTGCTTGATCTCCCAATACTGCTTCTCGAACGGTGAGAGGCCCTGGAAGCTTGAAGCTGGGATGAAGAGGGTTCGAGGATCGTAATCGGGGTGGTCCGGAGGATTGCGGTCTGCGTCGATTGGGTGTGCAAGCCAGGTATGTCGTTTCTCGGGCTCGGTCATATGAGCCTTCTGCTTTTGACCATTCATTCCAGTCTTCTTGCTCTGTTTCGGTGCTTGACGAGGCTCGGTCGGCGGTGGAGCATCTGGGTCATACTTCCACTGCTGGGCTGTTGACGTAGTAGGAATTTCCTCACTCTCTTCTTGCGGAGGCGAAGGAGGTTTGACGGAGGCTTTGCGAGAGGACGACGCAGAAGCTCGCTTCTTGCTCTTCGTTGGCTTCTCATCACCACTAAGATCGTCCGCAACGACAAAGTCGTCCATGTCTGTCCGAGGTAATTTGTAAGCTGAGGTATTCGATTGCTGGGGTTTGCCATGACTGCTGCTTGTTGAAAGCCGCTGGGCGTTTGAGGAGGGTTGTAATGCTCCGCTGCCGAGTTGTGATCCATACATACCATCATTACTCTCCATTGCATCCTGCGTAGCCGCGTCGAAGCCAAACTCATCGTCCGAGTCATCTTTGACACTGATCCGTCTCCGCTTCGCAGCACGTCTGTTGCCAGAGAGTGGCTTAAACACCTCGTCTTCGTCCTCCTCTCCGTCCGACTCGGCATAGTTGACCTGCTTCTTGACCTTCCGCGACGGGCTCGAGTACAGGATGCCTGGCGTCTCTATCAGCTCGTTAGTCTTCGGTCAGTCTAGACATGGGAGCAGTACTTGTACCATTCTCCTTGTTCGTCTGATCGTCTACAGAGCTCTGTTGAGAGCGTACAGGTGCAGTCTGGGGACTCGACGCATCGCCGACCACACTCGATGCTGCTGGCGTGATGTCCGCGCTCGATCGCGGTGGCTTCGAAGCGGTCGCCGTCTCGCTGGCGTCTGACGGTCGTTTGGCCGGAGTGACAGACGACGGCGTCCTCTTCTGAAAGAAGCTGGCGATGCCCTGCTGTTTCGTTCCCGACTTCTGCGTGCTCGGAGTGCTCGTCTTTCTCTTCGCAGTGCCCATCTCGTTGCCTTCAATGCCTCTCGCCATCTTGACAACCCCGTACAGAGAACGCTGAAGACAAATGTAATAGACAGAATGTAGAAGTGTAAGGTAGAGTCCAACGGCAATGGTCGACGCGTCCGCTAATTGGGAAGGAGCGCGCTCGCGTCATGCCAAGCCTTTTCGGGCGACTTCTCTTTTCGACATCACTTCTTTAGAAGACCTCCATGGACTCAGTACAACGGTGTCGAGCGCTTGTACGGCATCTGAATACACATAGCAGGCGACATGCAAGCTCCAACAATGGACCACGCGACTACAATGCCGCCGTCGCCGCCCTCAATACACTGCAGAGTAACTTCTCAATCGTGGAGGCTATCAAGAAGTTGGGGCCGGGATGGAACCAGCAGGCTCTGCCAGAGATGAGGGAGTGGGCGCGGAGGATAGGCTATGAGGTGTGCGTTGCCCTTCACCTAAGCTCATACATTCTATTGACATTATGATAAGCCCTCCGATTTCGACACCTTGAACCCCGTGCACATAGCTGGCACGAAAGGCAAAGGCTCGACATCAGCTTTCGTCTCATCCATTCTGGCGCAGTATCTCCCGACTAAGCGGAGCATACACGTCGAAAGGCTACCGTCCAGCGTAGGACTATATACGTCTCCGCATCTACGGTTCGTCCGTGAGCGCATCCAGATCAACAACCGACCTATCTCCGAAGAAATATTCGCAAAGTACTTCTGGGAGCTCTGGGATCGATTCGAGAACAGTCGATCGGTGGAGAGTGAAATCATCCCAAGGAACAGCGAAGGCAAGCCGGTCTACTTCCATTATCTTACTCTAATGGCCCTGCACTGCTACCTCGAGGAGAAGGTCGGGTCAGCCGTGATCGAATGTGGTATTGGCGGCGAGTATGACACCACCAATATTCTGATGAAGCCAAGTGTGACCGGCATTACGAGTCTGGGCATGGACCACGAAAGCTTGCTCGGAGACACGATTGAGAGTATCGCCTGGCATAAGGCTGGGATTTTCAAGGAAGACGTCCCAGCGTTTACAGTGTCCCAGCCAGATTCTGCGCTGCGAGTGCTTCGGGATCGCGCAGCAGAGCGACGCACAGAACTGCATGTCGTTCCTCGCCACAAGGCCATGGGTACAATCAAGCTGGGCCTGCAGGGTGACTTTCAGCAGACCAATGCATCGCTTGCTGTTGCTATAGCCGCACAGCATCTGCAGCGACTAGGCTACAGCGGCTTGCCTGACCCTCACGACCACGCCTCCGCACTTCCGGAAGAATTCGTCGCTGGTCTGGGGAACGCTCGCTTAGGAGGGCGCTGCGACATGCGTACAGACACCAAACGAGACGGGTTAACATGGTACATTGATGGCGGCCACAACTTGGAGAGCATCGAAGTGGCAGCCAAGTGGTTCGCTTCTGCCGCAAACAAGCCTCCTTCATCACCTCTCACGACCCGCTCAACAAGAATCCTCCTCTTCAACCAACAAACCCGCGACGCCGGCACTCTCGCTCGCCGCCTGCACACAACCCTCGCCACGGCCTTGGATGATAACCACCCTTTCCAGCACGCCATCTTCTGCCCCAACGTCACTTACGAAAACGCCGGGTACAAGGCCGACCTGGTCAGCATGAACACCAACGCCCACGACATTAGCTCGCTCAAAGTGCAAAAGGATCTGGCAGCGACATGGGACAAGATAGATCCGGACGCGAGCGTCCATGTCACAGGCACGATTGAGGAAGCCGTCGCACTGGCACGGAGCATCGCTGGAGAGTCCGCTGGCAAGGTGGACGTCATGAGCACAGGCAGTCTACATCTGGTAGGGGGTCTGATCGAGGTACTAGAGAGTGAGATTGAAGCTGGGAAGTAGTAGGAAGGTCTGTGGCATTCGATGCTGTACAGCTCGCAAGAGCCGTACCTTCGTCAATGTAAGCACACTAAGTCTTCACACCTGTCCAGCCATCTCTCAGTCGCAACAGCAAGTGCCTCCCATCTCGCTGTCATCGCTGTACCATCTTCATACTATCGTACCTTCATCTCTCGTACCACCTCGTTGTTCAGGCCGCCATCACTCCCCACCCTCCTCCGCCTTTACCGCCTCAACCATCTGACCTACCTTAATCTCCTCATCAACCGCCTCCCCCTCCTGCTCACCCACACCATCCACCTTCTTCGAAGCGACCTCGATGGTGTCACTCCCCGCCCGGCTCACAGCAGACGCAGCAGACTTGGACTCCTTGCCCTCACCCTCCTCCGCCCACTCCTTCGCCAGCGCAGCCTCATCTCCGACCTTCTCTCCGTCCTCATTCGCCTCTCCGGCATCTTCGGCAGTCGTGGTCTCGGTCTCAGCAGCAGCAAGCGCCGCGGCGGCCGCGAGGGCCTTCTTGGTGGGCTCACGACCGCGCTTCGCTGAGGTGGTCTTAGGGGTGTCCGCTTCGGCTTCGGCGGTCTCGTCCTTGCCGCCTTCGCCTTCGCCTTCAGCTGCGGCGGGTGAGGCCTTCGCGGCAGCGGTCTTGCGGGCGCGCTTGGCTGGGGTCTTCTTGGGTCTCTCGGGCGCAGCTTCGGCAGCCTCGTCGTCGGCGCCTTCGTCAGAAGCGGGCTCGGGCTCGATCTTGACAGCAGCGGTCTTACGACCACCTCTGCCCTTCTTAGCTGGAGTAGGCGTGGTCTCGACTTCAGCCTCAGCCTCAGCCTCGTCAGACTTCTCCTCATCGTCAGCGGCAGCGGCAGCGACCTCAGTCTTAGCGGCCTTACGACCACGCTTGGCAGAACTCTTCTTCGGCGTCTCCTCAACTTCAGCATCGTCCTCTACTTCCGGCTCGGCGGCTGCCTTGCGCTTCGAGCCAGTGGCAGCGGCTTTCTTGGGCGTGGTGTCGTCACCTCCTTCGGCAGCGGCATCAGCTAATTCACGCGGTCAGCATGGGCAGTGAAACGTGGGAAGTCTAGAGCGAGACGAACCAGAAACGAACTTCTCAAGCTGCAGCTTCTTCTTCAATCCGTGCCAGGACGCTTTGCCCGAGGCGCTGTTCTTGAGGCCGGCGCGGTCGGCGAATTTGGCGTAATCGATCTAGTGGCGAGCAGAAAATCAGCACGTTGTCTGGGAGGCAAGAGGTGAAAATGGATACGCACGACGAGCTCGGACTTGGTGGACTTGAGCGCATGGCCCAGGAGCTCGAAGTCGCGGGAGGTGAGGCCGTGGGTGTTGGGCTCTTTCTTGGGGGTGGTGGTGTCTTTCTTCCGGGTAGAAGACATGGTTGTCGTCTTGTTCGGTTGGATGGGTGGGTGTGGTAAAGGGTTGGTAAAGGTGTGGATGGAGAAATGGTGTTGGAGAAGATGATGTTGGGAGGTAAGGTAGGTGTAAGGAAGATGGAGGGTAAAGAGGAATTCGGTGGCTTTTGTAGGTCTCCGTGAGATGAGGTTGTACGTTTGAAACGCACGTGAGGTAGAATTTGCTGGCAGGCAGGCAGGGTCGTGCGCGTGACTTACGGAAAACGACAGGACCTTACGACGCGTTACGGTTGGAACATGTGATATTCTCAGGTAAGTGTTTCATTGATGGTTGCTCAGCAGGGGAGCCCAATTATGGTCACTCTCAAGCAAGATGCAGCGAAGAACATCAAGTCTCGCAGCTGCTCAGTACGCCATCTTCGCCGACCATTCATCCACAGCAGTCACCGGGCATTGCGCCTATGACGCCCCAGTAACACCGCACACGCCCCCTCACCACCGCTCAGTCCTCCTCACCCCCCTCCTCCTTAACCGCCCCCTCCCCCTCCCCCTCCTCAACAATCTCCTCACTCTTCTTCCCCTTCTTCGCACTCCCCCTCACCTTCTTCGCCGGACTCCCCCCCTCCCCCTCATCCTCAGCCTTCTTCCCACGCTTACGCGGCGTCTTCACCGGCGTACCAGCCCCGGACTCCGCATCATCGCCGTCCCCACCTGCGGCGGACTTGGGGCCCTTCTTCGCAGCAGCGGCGGCCTTGGGGTCAATGCCGGATTTAGCGAACATCTTCTTCTTGATGGCGGCCCAGGCGTTGGAGGCAGAGCGCGGGTTGGTCATGTTGCATTCGGAGGCGAGTTTGTTGTAGTCGACCTGCATCACGTCATGGTGGTCAGTGAAGCTCAATGGGGAGGGAGGAGGGGGGTTGGTGAGTGTACGGACCTTTGGCTCTTCGGTCATGCAGTTCCAGGCTTTGGCCATGATTTCGATCTCGCGGGTGGTGAAGTCCTTGACTTCCTTGGTTTCGGCCATTTTTGCTGTGGTGGTGGTGTTAATGAACGGTCCCGGTCTATCACAGGAAACGGTTGGAAGACATGAGTGTGTACTTACGATGATGACTCGTCTCGATGTGTCGATGAAAGCTTGTGTGTGTTGGAGAAAGCTGGATGATGTGTAGGTGTTGGAGAAGTGTGTGCGAAGTGTGATGTGTGAGAAATGTTTTCAAGGTGAAGAATCGATGTGTTAAATGAGACATGTGTCATGCATGAATGCATGTGATTTTCTGATACATCGCAAATTTCTCAAGAAAATCACCTTAGTTGCCTGGCGCTGATGCGACCACTCACATGCTGTGTCACCCTGCGACAACACCTGCCAGATCATTCTGTCCGCATGCCGTCGTCGTGTTGTCATTGTGTGAATGGTGATCTGAGACGCTCTCCATTCTTTGCCATGATTCTCTCCAAATGGGAATGCCAGTCGAATGCGCGCGTTCATTTGTCGTAAAACATGCTGATCCATGCGATGCCCATCGCCCATCCGTCTTTCCATGCCCTCTTTCAAGCCATTGACAAGTCACGCCCTAACATACCGAAACCGCGCCAACCCACCCGCCCTCTCCAACCTCAAACCCCAGCCCCGGAAAAGCAAACAGCTGCGTATTCCCAAGCCAGCTCTCACTTTCATTACCTTCCACTAGCTCCTTCTCCGCATCTGGCAGAAAGAAGCCGGTATCAGACAGATCTCCACCGTCTCCGGCACCACCCCACGTGCGATTGACAACTTTGCCGCGGCCCATCTCCCCTGTAACCCCGGCGGACTGGAAGATGTGCAATAGAGCATCGCGAAGGCCGTCAGCGGTTGCCTCATTACCGCCTGCTTCAGACGACTCGAAAGGCGTCTCGCTGTTCAGCGGACCGAGATAGCTGTGCTCCGGGAACTCTAGTGTCCAGCGGAGCCGGCGATGTCGGTTGAATGCATAACTACCTGGGACATTGCCATGGATGATAACTTTGAGGACGACAAGATGCGGGCTCGAGGTCTTGAGCGACGGATTCGCAGCAGCAGAAGAGCCGTCCGTAGTCCGTGGGCCGACGAGAATATCCATGCCATGGCTGAAGTAGCACCAGAAGACTTCTCGAACAGACCGATCGCTGGCGTCGTCATCGGCGTCACCAGAGTCGAAGTCGGCGTCGAAGGTGTCGGTGCCGGTGGAGGAGTAGCTGGAGGGTTGCGAGCCGGGGCGAGGGCGGCCGTTGGACATGCTGCTTGCGCGAAGGTGGGAGGGGCGGTCACTAGGAGTGACATCGGGGATCTTCTTGTGGGTGGCATCTGGAGGGCCGAGCTCGGTGATGAGATCTTGAGATGTGGTCTCGTTGAGAACGGTGGTGAAGGGCGCAGCGGGTGCGCGACGCTGGAGTTCAATCCTTCCGTGCTGGTGGATATTGGCGATTTCGATTTCGGCTGGTAGATTGTCCTTTGGTCGAGCGGCGATTCCTGACAGTCGTGGTCCGGAGACAGGCTTGGTGAAGATGTTTTGCCTTACCTCCGGCCAGCTGCTGCCTTCGAACAACGACATTGCCGCTGCAGGGGACGCAGCGGAAGAGTCCAGCAAGTTAACGTGGTTCTTCTCAGGTGCCCAGGCAGAGTGCTGAACAGGGAACACGAATGCTATTCCTGCCCATGACAACACATACTGCCCTACACCTTGGGCATTCTGTGGAGGGATGTATTCACCAGGGTATGAGGCGCCAAAGAGTTGGTAGACGCGCCTGAAAGCTGGGTTCTCTGTCACCCCTTTCGCCAGTACACTACCCTTGTAGATGAGGACCAGCTTTGAGAAGTCCGTGACCTCGATCAGACGGAGCCGTTGGTCTTTGCCGTCGAATCGCAGCCGGAAGCCATTATCTGGCAGATTGACAACTACCACGCCCTCCAAGGGGTTCTTGGGCTCGTAGTGGAGGTTGATCTGCTTGTACTGATCTTTCTTCGCTTTGATCAGATGGAGTATCTCGTGGAGAGAGGCACCAAGGTCTAAGATACATGTTAGTGTACGCCTTCTTCTCGACAAACAGTGGCAACGTGCGTAGATCGGCCAGGCTCTGGCCTGGGATAATGGTATATTGAGGGCGCTGGTCGCTGCTTGCACCCTCCATGTTCGATTGTATCTCAAGGAGAGTATGTATTCAGACGGAAGTTGTAGGTGTATGGAATGTCATCCAGTGTTTGGCCCGATCTGAGGCGGATGCAGATGTGCTTGCTGTAGTGTCCGCATGACTGCGCCGGAGGTCATCTCCCAGACATCCTTTCGATCTCGGTACCAAGTAGGGATGGAGCGTGGCGGGCCCGGTTGTATTATCTTGAGAAGTCTACTTGGCCTTCTTTAGGTATTCGTCGGTTGGTGTGGTCGAAGTGGATAAATGGGTTGTTGGATGTGGTCGGCCATGGGAAGTGAGGTGCGAGGTGGGGGGTGGAATAAGCTTTCTTTGGGCCGAGCCGATGTTTAGCCGGTGTTTACTGAAGTGTTGATCAAGGAAAGCTCGCCTGGACATTCTGCACATATGTTACACCACCTTCAAATACCATACCATGTCTGCGCCGACAAGACCTCGACCGACTAGCCAGCGCAATACATCTACCATGCGGCCGCCAATGTCTCGCCCCGGCGCATCTCGCGCGCAGACAGCGACGCCGACCCTCACGAATGGACGAGCATCGCCAGCAGAGTCGGTTGCATCTTCGAAGTCACGGACACCGAAGCGCAAAGCGCAGTCTGAGATCGAGTCGGAGGCCGGTGAAGAGACGAATATCAATGTTGTCGTGAGATGCAGAGGTCGAAGCGATCGAGAGGTGAAGGAGAACAGCGGCGTGGTTGTCTCGACAGACGGGACAAAGGGCAAGAAGGTGGAGCTGTCGATGGGCCCGAGTGCGTTGAGCAATAAGACGTATGCCTTTGACAAGGTCTTCTCGCCGGCTGCAGACCAGGGCATCATATTTGACGATGTTGTGTCGCCGATATTAGACGAGGTATGGATGGATGACAGTCTCATGGTTGGGTCAAAACTTACTGAATGCTAGGTCCTGAATGGCTTCAACTGTACGATCTTCGCATACGGCCAAACTGGCACTGGAAAGACATACACAATGTCTGGTGATATCACAGACATGCTTCCTGTACTGGACGGAGCAGGGATCATTCCCAGGGTGTTGTACAATCTATTCGACAGGCTGGGCGACGAGCAGAGCGAGAAGATGGAGTACAGTGTGAAGTGCTCCTTCATCGAGCTGTACAATGAAGAGTTGCGCGATCTCCTCGCAGCGGACGATACCACCAAGCTGAAGATCTTCGATGAGCAGAACAAGAATGGCCGGACGACGACTTTGGTGCAAGGCATGGAGGAGAGCCATATCAAGACTGCGTCCAAGGGCATCCAGCTCTTGAGACAAGGCAGTCACAGACGGCAGGTTGCGGCGACTAAGTGCAACGATCTCTCGTCTCGGTCGCATACTGTCTTCACTGTCACGGTGTACATGAAACGGCAGACGGAGACTGGGGAGGACTTTGTGTGCTCTGGAAAGCTGAATTTGGTTGATCTCGCTGGATCTGAGAATATTCAACGGTCTGGCGCGGAGAACAAGCGAGCGGCAGAAGCTGGTGTCATCAACAAGTCACTTCTTACTCTCGGCCGTGTGATCAATGCGCTGGTAGAGAAGAGCACGCACATCCCTTACCGTGAGTCGAAGCTCACACGGCTGCTGCAAGACTCACTCGGTGGCCGGACGAAGACCTGCATCATTGCAACACTCTCACCAGCGAAGAGCAACCTGGAGGAAACCATCAGCACATTGGACTATGCTTTCCGAGCGAAGAACATCCGAAATAAGCCACAGATCAACTCGATGGTCTCGAAAAAGACGCTTCTACGAGAGTTTACCGCCGAAATTGAGAAGCTGAAGTCCGAACTCATCGCTACACGACAGCGCAATGGCGTATATCTCACTGCTGAGGCGTACGAGGAAATCACGACCGAGTCAGAATCCCGCCGCATCCTGAGCGAAGAGCAGCGCGACAAGATCGAGACCATGGAACGGAATCTGCGGAACAAAGTCCAGGAACTCTTCGCTCTCACGACCAACTTCCAGAGCATGAAACGAGACAACGAGCAGACGCGCGTGACTCTGGAGGGCACCAAGAGTGTTCTCGATAAGACCGAGATCGTTCTGGCACACACCAAGAGGAACCTTGCTGAGGAGGCGCATCTCCGGAAGGCACACCAGCAGACGGAGGAGCAGTTGGCTGCTGTGGGCGGAGACTTGCTGAGTACTCTGGACACCACGACAGACCATGTCAGCAGGCTGCACTCGAAGCTCAGGCGGCGATCCGACCTACAAGCGCTGAACCGGACCAAGTGGACGAATACTGCGAGCCATGTATCTGGTGTGACCGGGATTGTTGAGCAGCGCATGGAAGCACTGCGAGGGCAGCAGGAGGGCCTCGTCGAGAGCTTGTCAGGGCGCATGCAGTCGTTCGTCACGGATGAGCTGCGGGAGCTGCAGGCTTCCCAGACCTTTTTACAGGAGAAGGCTGCTGCGTTCGAGAAGTCCGAGGTGGAGGTCAACGGGCAGACTACCAAAGCGAAAGACGAGATGAACACAGTCCTCGAAGAGATTCGAACGCTGAGGCAGGACGTCAAGCAGAAGGTTGGGGATGGTCTCAACGATCTGTCCACCGCCGCGGAGAGAATATCGGCTGGCATCGCCACAGAGCTTGATACTTTCCACAGCCAGCTGCAGAGCTCGTATGTCTCGCTCGGAAGGGAGTTCAAGACCATTTTCGGGGATCTCGTCGAGCGCATGAACCAGCAGCGGGATGAGGCCGATAGGCTACGCCAGCAGATCTCGCAGGCCAACAACTCCTACGTGACGGCTGGGGAGGAGTCTCAGGTACAGCTGCAGAGAGCTATCGAGGAGGAGCGCCAGACGGCGGCTGCCGAGCGTACAGCACTAATGGCTAAGGTCTCCAGCCTGCTGAACGAATCTGCCATGGCACAGGAGACGCGCATCAGCGGTTTCGTAGAAGGCGCCAACAAACGCCTCAGGACCTCGGCCGACGAGTACCGGACTTCGCAACAGGCTTATGGAAGTGGTATGGACAGCTGGAACGGACGGTCGCAGTCCCTCATCGACACCACCCTCAAGTCCCGCGAAGCCATCAAAAGCAAGCTCAAGGCCGACTGGGGTAATGCAGATGAGCAGACCACGAAGCTCACTTCCACGACCAAAGCTGTGCACGACGAAACGGTGCGCATCGTCGATGGCCAGATGGCTCAGATGGACGGCCAGCTTGTCGCGCTTGACGAGATCATCACCCGAGTGCGAGCGCAGAATGAGCAGCACCACCAGGCACATTCTGCAAGTCTCGAGCAGCTGGCCAGTGATGTACAGCAGTCTTACTCCAGCATTGGACAGCACTTCGAGACCTCGTACGCCAGGACACAAGCACTGGACACCGAGATGTCCGACCGCGTGATTGCGCTCACGCACACTCTCCCTGAGCTTGCCGACGACGGTCCCATCCGGCAGCCACTCTCCCAGATGCGCTCTGAGCTTTCCGCTGCACAGCTGGCGGAGTACACCGCCACTGGCGAGACACCCGCGAAGACGACCTTCAACTACCCAACTGCACTTCCTCGGACAGAAGACCACAGCACGCTTCTCGATCGCATGCGCGGTATCACGCGTCTAGCCTCCCCGACCAAACGCACCTCCCCAACCAAAGCCCGCAGCAGCCCAACCAAAGCCCCTCCCAGCCCAAGCAAAACCCTCGTCTGGAGCGACACCCCTCCCACCACAACCACAACCCTCAAAGACCTCGACCTCCCCGCCTCCGCCCCCTGCACACGCCCCGGAACTTCCGCAAGCGCAAGTTCCCAGCCCCACCAAGAGCGTTTGCGCGAACTAGACGTTAACATCATGCCCTTAGGAGGCGGCGCGAACGGGCATCCCGTCTCCCTTGGCGATCAGGAGCGCGGCAAGGCGGGCGACGCTGCAGGTGGTGAGGAAGGCGGCAAGCTCCTCTCCGTTCCCGTCCCTTCGGCACCGCATTTGTTGAAGAGGGCACATACTAATCCGCTTTCTGTGAGTCAGGGGGTGGAGAGTCGGTTGCCGGCTGCGAAGGTGAGGGGAGGGAGGATGACGACGGCGGGGGGTGTGGAGAATGTGGCGCCGGCGACGGGGGAGGGGAGGAGGTTGAGGCCTAGGGGGAGTGATTGAGGGGTGTAGTATTGGTGGCTGGGCATCCTTCTGGAAGAGTGATTAGGGTCGAGGGTTCGGGTATGAGCGCTGATAGTTGGCTCTGCGCTGTTGGGCTTGGGTATTGGTTTCGCAAGAAGCTTGGGAATAGTAATTCAGACATTCGGCGAAAGACCTGTTGTCAACATCGTCTCGTCTCGCCTCATTGCCAGCGACTATCTCCAACGCCGCATCGCTCAAAGCTCCATCATGACTCAAGCGCATACCACCCCTCTCGGCACTCATTCATCCACATCATCCAGCCTTCCAACCCCAAAAAGCTTCATCTTCCCCTCCACCTCCTCCCGACACCAGCAACCCCGGCAAATTATTTCTCCACCCCACCGACCTTCCTGTTCCTGTCACCTTTTCACGTTCCCCGCGCCGCTCCATACCACTTCTGCTTACGTACCTGCATCGTGCTCCGTCATCTACTGCTTTCTGCGTGCAACATGGGCTCCGCGAGCTCCGCATTGCCCGCGGTGCTTGTGGAGTGTCGCTTCAAAGGCCCCCGAAGCCCATATGCTTCTTTAGTAGGTTGGATCTTCTTGTTTCTTCCTTGAGCCTCACGCATCCTCTTGGAATAGTAGGTGTTGTATGAGAAGACGATGCATTTCCTACGTTTCCTCTCGAGCGCCTTGCTGGCGGGGTCGGCGGCGGGGATGAGTATTCCTGGCACGCAGGGATTGAAGGTCAAGCCGTATAAGAGGGAGGTGTTGCAGGATATTGTGACTTGGGTGAGTAAACTCTGGTGGAATGTGTGAGGGCTAGCATACCAGACGACACTGCCTTGACTGTTCTTTCCTTCCCCTACGCAGCAGGAAGAGAGAGGGCTGACGTATTCGATTTGGCACCTTAGGACCAGCATTCGATTTTCGTGCATGGGGAGAGGGTGCTGTTCTACTCTGGAGGTGAGCGGTGTGTCTTTGGGAGAGTTGGGCGGGCAGCGCTGATGTGGAGGCAGAGTACCACCCATTTCGACTCCCTGTGCCGGGTCTATGGCTGGATGTTTTTCAGAAGATTAGAGCGATGGGGTATACTGGGGTCTCCATTTACACCGACTGGGCATTGGTGAGCTACAGGCATCGCAGCTGGGTAGATGAGAGGTACTGACGACTTGCAGCACGAAGGCAAGCCTGGAGACTGGAACGGAGAGGGCATCTTTGATCTGCAGCCATTCTTCGATGCGGCGAAGCAGGCTGGGATGTATGTTGGACTCGTCGAATGGTTTGGCAGCAATCAGGCTGACGCGCAGTAGCTACATCCTAGCTCGACCAGGACCCTACATCAACGCCGGTATGTCTTGTCCTTCTTTTCCGACGCAGGAAGATGCTAACAAGCTTTTCTAGAGGTATCCGGCGGCGGCTTCCCAGGCTGGCTCCAACGAGTACCTGGCACACTCCGTAGCGATGACCAGGCCTACCTCGACGCAACCGATAACTACGTTAAGAACATCGGAGCGATCATCGGGAAGAATCAGATCACGAACGGCGGACCCGTCATCCTCTTCCAGCCAGAGAACGAATACTACTCATGCACTGATGACATCGACCCATGCCCGAACCCTGACTACATGCAATACGTCGAGGACCAGTTCCGCAATGCCAGCATTGTGGTACCCTACATTGTGAACGACAATAACGAGGGCAACTTTGCGCCTGGGCAACCGGCTGCGGTCGATATCTACGGCATCGACAGCTACCCGCTGGGCTTTGATTGCGCTAACCCGGAGACATGGCCGGAGGGTGCTCTGCAGACTTACTTAACGGAGACGCACCTGAACTACAGCGCTTTGACGCCGTTCTCGTTCATCGAGTTTCAGGGTGGTTCATTCGATCCTTGGGGAGGCTGGGGTTTTCAGCAGGTCCGTTGACAATCACAGGCAACCTTGAATTGAGGCTGACACGACATCCATCAGTGCCTCGAGCTCGTCAGCTATGAATTCGAACGAGTGTTCTATCAGAACAACTTCGCCTCCGCCATCACGATTTTCAGCATTTGTGGGTCAAACCAGATCTCGCTCGCTCAAACCCTCAAGGGCTAGTGCTGACAGCCAGTAGACATGACCTACGGTGGGACGAACTGGGGTAACTTAGGCCACCCTGGTGGCTACACCTCCTACGACTATGCCGCTGTCATCAAGGAGAATCGAATGGTCGATCGTGAGAAGTACAGCGAAGCCAAGCTGCTTGCAAACTTCGTCCAGGCATCTCCCGCCTACATCACATCGACTCCTGGGAACCTGACGAACACTACTTACACCACTAGCAGCGATCTGAGCGTTACGCCGCTCTTCGGGAACGGGTCCGATACCAACTTCTACGTGCTTCGGTAAGTTCTCAAGATCCTGCGAGATGGGACCTGTGTATTGACTTCTATAGACACTCCAACTACAGCGGCCGATCGGTGACACCATACAAGCTCACTATTCCTACCAGCAAGGGCAAGCTCACCGTCCCGCAGCTGGGAGGCGAGCTCAGTTTGCACGGCCGGGACTCGAAGGTGCATGTCTCCGATTACAAGGTTGGAGGACACAACGTGCTGTATTCGTCGGCCGAGGTGTTCACTTGGTGGGTCCAATTTTGGAGGTTGCAATTCCGCATTTGCTAATGAATTGATAGGGAATCGTACGGACATGACAGCACTGTCCTCGTCGTATACGGCGGCGACGACGAACGCCATGAAATGGCTGTGTCCAAGGGTGGCAAAGCCACTATCAGAGAAGGTGTCGGTGTGAAGACTGGCAAGAAGAATGACGCTACTGTCCTCAACTGGGAGACTAGCTCCTCCAGGCGTGTTGTCCAGCTTGGCTGTGGTTTGACGGTCTATATCCTAGGTCAGTATTCTCCATGCTCTGGAGTGGAATGTGCTTGCTGACTGTCAGATTTCAAGACCGCAACTCCGCGTACAACTACTGGGTGCTGAAGGTCCCGAACGACGATGGTCTATATGGACCGAACCTTGGTGGCACGACGGTGATCGCTCAAGCCGGCTACCTCATGCGCAACGCAACAGTGTCCGGCAACACACTCAGCCTCGTCGGCGACTTCAATGCCACGACAGATATCGAAGTCATCGGCGGCGCTCCAAGCAAGCTCGTAGGTCTGAACATCAACGGCAAGTCCACGAAGTTCAGCCAAGACAAGTACGGCGTCGCTACAGCCTCTGTCTCCTTCAACCCAGATATCTCGGTGCCCTCACTATCCAGCCTGGACTGGAAATACATCGACTCCCTGCCGGAAATTAAGCCGGGCTACGACGACTCCCAATGGCCTGCTGCCGATCTGAAGCACACCCACAACGACCTGGTGGTCCAAAGGACTCCGACCAGTCTTCTCGGTAGCGACTACGGATTCAATACTGGAACGCTGCTGTTCAGAGGGCACTTCACTGCAAATGGCGACGAGAAGAAATTCTCTATCGAAACCCAAGGTGGATCTGCATTCGGCAGCTCCACCTGGATTGACGATACTTTCCTAGGCTCGTGGCATGGCTATGATGCTGCGGCGAATGGCAACAACACGTTCACCATGCCCAACCTCAAGTCCGGGAGCAAGCATGTGATCACTGTGGTCGTTGACCAGCAGGGTATGGACGAGAAGTAAGTCAAACAAATAGCATCATGCCCTTGTCTAAGCCATGCTAACACTCTGGCCAGCTACGACGCCGGTGCTGATGAAATGAAGAACCCGCGCGGTATTCTACACTACCATCTTTCCGGGCACAAGGCAGCCGATGTGTCCTGGAAGCTGACCGGTAACCTTGGCGGAGAGGACTATCTGGACCGATCCCGCGGCCCGTTGAACGAAGGCGGACTCTGGGCTGAGCGACAGGGCTACCATCTACCTGGAGCGCCCATCGACGACTGGCACTCGAGCGGAGGACCAACCGAAGGCATCGACGGCGCAGGCATCGCCTTCTACGCCGCCGAGCTCGACCTCGATATCCCCTCCGGCTGGGACGTGCCGCTCTCGTTCACCTTCACCAACTCCTCCGCCTCCAATGCTGGTGGGAACCAGGCACCCGCTTACCACGTCCAACTCTACGTCAACGGGTTCCAGTTCGGCAAGTATATTAATAACGTCGGACCGCAGAAGTCGTTCCCGGTGCCGGAGGGCATCTTCAACTACCACGGGACGAACTACCTCGCATTCGCTTTGTGGAGTCTAGAGGCAGAGGGTGCCAAAGTGGGAGGGCTGGAGCTGTCGGTAAATGGGACGGTTCTGTCAGGCTATGGTGATGTTCCGATGTCACCTATGAGCAGCTGGAGCAAGAGGAAGGGAGCGTATTAGTTAGCAGATTGCTCATGGATGAGGAACTGGCCAAGTATGCCATGCAAATGCCACGCTTTGCCAAGTATACAACTTCCCATGTCAAGGCGGAGATCAAGAAGACGACTTGTGGAGACGTTCTTGGTTGTTGTGCATTCAGCTCCAATCAGCCCATAGCCATTGTATGACACCTGCGAAGACTACGAAGAACAACAGAAGGCAGATGTGTCTTTCGAATGCGAGACTTAAGCTTCTTATATATGCCTCACGTAACACACTAGCGCGGATGTACTCAGCAAACGTGGCTTGCAGTTCTCCGGACGAAGGAAGAAGCACGATCCAGACCTTACCGCGGATGGGATGAAACAGAATTCCTCGCTGGCAGAGGAACTTCATCCCTCCAGCCTCGACACGATGAAATAAGGACGATCGACAGCGCCGCCGGATCAACCTCTCCTGCTGGATCATGGCCTCCACCCCCATCAACGCAGACCCCGAGAAAGGCGGCGTCGGCCTGAGCTTCAGCCCCATCCCAGAGCCAACACCTTCACCATCCCACCACCACCGCCATCTCCACCGCGCCCGTGACAGACTCCGACACTTCGTCCATCCTTCCGGCAAGAAGATCCACGTAGCCAACTCCCCCACCGAAGCGGAGCAACTACGTCGTCAACTCGAGGAGATCCACCACCAGGACGACTTCGACGTGTGCATTTCCGGCTCGCCTGAGCATCTGGACGCCCTACGTGTCGCGCAAGATCACCATGAAACTAAACGCGATGAGTTCCGCACCGAGCATCCGGAGCTGTTTGCCCGCTTCGATGAAGTGCACGCGCAGCTGGATGCGTTGAGTACGGAGCTCGATCGCGTGACGACGCATGGTGTTTCTCTCGAAGCGCATTTTAACAAGTTTGGCTATGATGCTCATATCAGATCCTACGATGATGGGGAGAGCCCTGGTGGTTCGGGGACGGCGACGCCGAGGTCGAGTGTTAGTGGCGATTCGAGTGCTTCGGCGAAGCATGCGGTGCATTTGAAGTTGTTCAAGGTGCCGGTTGTGAGGCAGTATTTTCATAAGGGGTTGATATGGCGGGCTTCTGGCTTTCAGGAGGTAAGGGCTGATTACTCTTAGTTGGGGGCCTTCTTGCTGATGGGATATGCGCAGGTGCAATCATTTGAATTGTTCTTGGACCTCCTCTATGTTGGCATTATTGCGATACAGGGCGATCTTGCGTCCGAGCACCCAACCGCTTCGTCCCTGCTGCACTTCATCATCACATTCACCTTGAGCTGGAAGATCTGGAATGACATGAGCCTCATCATCTCCTGGTTTGAAACGGACGACATCTTCCAACGAATCTGCATCCTGTTCCTCATGGCCTGTCTCTTTGGCTACACCACCAACATCACGGAAGCCTGGGAACACACGTACGCCACACTGATCGGCTTCTATCTATGCGCTCGTCTGTTCATGGCATCCTACCTCATCATGGTCTTCTTCTTGGTGCCCATGGTCCGGCCAGTCATGACGTGGTACATATGTATTGTCACGGTTGGCGCTGCACTTTGGATCGGCAGCATACATATCGAGTACCCGGCGCAGCTCGGCATCATCTGGGCGGCATTATTCGTAGACCTGTTCGGACAGGCGTGCTTCTTCGTGGCGCACGTTGTCAGCAAGTGGATTGGCCCTGGTGCGGCGGCACGTATGGACAAGTGCTTTGATTACTATCCTGCGATCAACATTGAACACCGCACTGAGCGCACGTCTGGATTCGTTACGCTGGTCTTCGGCTACAGCGTCGTCGCAGCGCTGTACCAATCGACCATGAACGGCATCGACGCACACTACGGCAAAGCTGTCTTAGCGCTCACGCAAGCCTTCTGCTTCAACTGGATCTACTTCGACATCGACTCCAAGAACCTGCAAGTCCACGCCATCCGACGGCACAGGAACACGACTCTAGTGTGGCAGGTGTTCCATCTTCCGTTCATCATGTCCTACGTGCTTGGCTCCAGCGGGCTCGCCTGGCTGGTCAAGTTCGCCATCGACACCGACAACTCCCGTCCCGAAGGCCTGACGGAGATGTGGCGCGAGCACGCCGAAGACGAGATCCCGATCGGGATACGCTGGTTCTATTGCGCAGGCTTCGGCATCGCGCTCGCGTCCATGGGCATCATCAGCATCTCCCACAAGCACAAAGAAATCGAGACCCTCCGCCTGAAGAAGCGCTGGCGCCTCACCGCCCGCTTCGCCATTTCAATCGTGCTCATCTGCCTCCCGCTCGCCGAAGGCCTGAACTCCCTCGAGCTAGTCGGTACCGTGACGGCACTGATCGTCTTCTGCCTCTCCCTGGAGCTCTGGGCGGCGAGCTGTTCGAGGCAGAACTCGTTTGGACGGACGACGGAGTGCAAGTATATCGGGGCGTGTCCGAAGAAGCATTTGCAGGCTTTGATTAAGCGAGGGAGTCGGGTGGATTTTGAGGAGTTGGGGGATGGTAAGAATGTTGGGGCTATACATGCGGCGCCTATTTAGTGGGTGGCGTTCTCCATTCCAGCAACACGTTGCCTGAGAGCGCCTTATCGGCGATAGCAACATCTTACGGTCGCGGAGAAGAGGCGGGTAGAAGGCGTATGCCACTGTCTCTCCTCCAGAGATATATCTTCTGGATCATGTAAATGTTCATGTGAAGCCGTTGCAATGTGAGAGAACCGCTGGACCTCACTCATCCGGTTGTCGGGTCTAGTAGTTCTCCGGCTCAGCCATACGTCCTTCATGCCCATATCGTCGACGCGGGTACGTCTTTGACTCTTGGAGAACAGAACGATACCTGTTAGGGTAGGGTCACGTGGAATGGCAATATGCTTGCCGGATCGACGCGAGCGGCGCGCGTGCCCCCTAACCCTTTCTCCGAAGCAATGAAGCTCTCGAATGTGACTACATCCTCTTCAACACACTCATATGAGATGAGCGAGAACACCACCTGAGCATTGGACAGATTGATCGAGCAAGTGTAAGTCACATGTCTATTGTTGCATTCAGCCGACCCACTGCTGCCCCCCTGAGGCCAACACGAAACCCGCCGAGAGGCGCGTTTCACCAGTCAACCTTGCCCCGATCAACCCAACAGCACCTCTGATATGACCACATTGATCATTTGGATGCCGGAGAAGGGTTCACAGACTACTTGGCGAACATTGTACTAATCTCGAGCATCAACAGCCATGTCCTCCGAACAGCGAGCCTCATCTGCCGTTCGCAACCTCCGATCGATGTTCGAGAACAAGGCCGCGACCAATCTCGAAGCCCAAAACTCTCCCGAACCGCGTGGGAGATCACCTGGTGCATTGGGAGGGAGCAAGGACATTGGACTTGAGAGACCTACGAGCAAAGTACGAGCGAGCTTCGTCTCCGTCGAGCCAAGTGCAAGGATGGCGACGGAAGAGAGCATATCAAACGGGTCACCCACTCGGAGAAGGGGCAGCTTTGTTGAGGCTGATGCGGACCTTGGGCTGAGAAAGACTATCAGTGAGCATCACGAGGCTGCGCCGGAGAAAGTGGTGGAGAGTGCGGTTGGGACGCCAAAAGGAAGTGGTGATGAAGAAGCAACTCTCCCAGCGGAAGACGACTCTACCGCTCCCCAGGAGCCCGCCAATCCAGACAAGCCTGTCACTGCTGCGGAGGAGGAGCCCAGCGAGATGCAGCCCGCCGACCCCACAAGCGAGCAGGCCGTGAGCGGCGGAGAGGCGCTTCCCCCAGTTGCTGAGGATCTCCGCGCAACTGCACACTCTGCTGCGCCATCGAGTGCGAGAAAGACTTCGGAGAAGGGGCGCTCAACCAACTCCAAACCGCCTGCCATTTCGACAAAAGCATCCACCAAGCCATCTTCGAGCGCCAAGTCTCCAGCGAGCCAACCGAAGACGCCCCAGTCTTCGACAGCACAGCCCAAGGTCCCCGCGAAGAAGGCAAGCAGGAGCTCTCTTACGGCACCCACAGCGGCTTCGATGGCTCGATCGGGAGCGGGAACGGACCACCCATCGAAGACTTCACCATCCTCTGGACCCAAGAAACGAGAGCCCACCAAGCCAGTCAGCCTTCCATCCCATCTGACAGCACCTACGGCGTCTTCGAGAGCGAAACATGACCCAACGTCTGCCTCCGGGCCGTCAACTACTTCAAAACCTACAACCTCACGACCTAAGCCTTCCTCGACTCGTCCGACACCACGAACGTCTCTAGCACCAGCGCATCGTCCAGGGTCTCAGACCTCCCATACTTCTGCGCCAGCGCCTCGGAGAAGTATGGCCTCTGGCGACAACAGCAGCTTCCTAGAGCGGATGATGAAGCCAACCGCAGCCTCGGCAAGCAAGACTCATGAAAAGTCGGATGCCAAAAGCCCGCCTTCAAAGTCAAAAACGACGTCAAAGCCGAAGACGAACGGCACATCCTCGAAACCAGCTGCGGCAGCGAAGACTGCCCCAGCAGGGAAACCGGAGGACCCTGTTCCCGAAGCTGCGAACGAATCCTCAGCGCCACCGCAGGAGCCATCTACTGCTCAACCGATTCCAGAGAACTCGACGGGCAACGAAACGCCTCTCGCGAACGGCCACTCGGAACAGGAAGCTGCTACGCTGGAAGCCACTCCAGCAGGCATGGCTGGCGAGGAGACGATCAGATAGGAACTGGAAGTGCTGGAAGCGTACGCCTCTTCTCCGAAGGCGGTATTGAGTGCGTAGCGGCATGAGTAGCGAGTGAGCAGCTGTTCGTCTGCTGGAGAAGGGGGTGTTTTTTTGGGTTTGGTGATTGACTTTACCCGCTTGATACCACTATTTGCGTAGAGCGAGCTGGAGAGGGTTTGGCGGTGGGGTTCGAGATACTTACCTCCTATCTAGTGAGATAATTGACACCTTTCGTAGCTCCTCTCCTCCCATGTCTCGACGCTCAGTAGGGCTGCAGATCCGGTCGTGCAGTAGCTTGCCAATTACTTCACTCTTGGAGAAATTCTTGGGCTTCTCACTCCAGCTTTCCCCGCAAACAGCTCCCCGGACTTGTGGAGCGGACGACATCCGCTATACATCCGCTGCTACTCGAGCATCCCACTTGCGCCGTAACCCACGAATCCTCTTGGGTGCATGTGGGAGGGCAGCTATGAGATGAGTATACATGTCTCAGCTTCGAGTAACTTCACTTGCTACCGATTATTGAATCGCAGGCTGGACTCGGCATAATTCCCCAGACACGGCTACAAGATGCGACCCATACTTCTCCTCGCGAGCGCCCTGCTCGTTGCTGGAATTGCCTACGTGATACTCTTCGTTGGCAAGCGAGAGAAGAAACTCCCACCAGGACCACCAACAATACCCGTCCTCGGCAACATCCACCAAATTCCCAAGAAAGGCGCCCACTTCCAATTCACCAAATGGGCGAAACAATACGGCGGCATCTACACCCTCAAACTCGGCACCGGCACCGCCGCAGTCCTCACCTCCCGCCGTCTCGTCAAAGAGCTCGTCGACAAGAAATCCTCCATCTACTCTGAACGCCCGACCTCCTACGTCGCTAATTTAATATCCGGCGGCGACCACATCCTCCTCATGGACTACGGCCAACAATGGCGCGCCACCCGCAAACTCCTGCACCAGACCTTCATGGAAAAGGTGGTGGAAGGCCAACACCTCCGCGTCCAGGAAGCCGAAGGTCGCCAGATGCTCCGCGATTACCTCCTCGCGCCGCAGGACCACATGTTGCACCCCAAGCGCTACAGCAACAGCATCACCATGAGCCTGATCTGGGGCGTGCGCACCCCGACGCCCCGGACGAGGCATATGCAGCGGTTGTACAGTCTGATGGAGATCTGGTCGAAGGTCATGGAGACGGGGGCGACGCCGCCGGTGGACATTTTTCCTTGGATGCATTGGTTGCCGCAAGGTGTGTTTTTGAACTGGGTGCAGAGGGCAACGCATGTGAGGGATGAGATGAATGCTTTGTATAGGGATTTTTTGATTGATATTAGGATGAGGAGAAGGAAGGAGGGGGATGGGAGGGGGGCATTTATGGATGGGGTGTTGGAGCAGGCGGAGGGGGAGGGAAAGAAGATGGATGTGAGTGTTTCGTTTAACTCCAGGTTGCTGATCAATGCTGACAGGATAGCAGGGTTTGACGTACAACGACCACGGCAGGTCATACTCGGAGACACTTTTGCTTCAATGTCCGACTAACAGCACGACAGAACTCTACTTTATGGGCGGCACCCTCACCGAAGGCGGCTCCGACACCACCGCCTCGATCGTAACAGCCTTCGTGCAGGCAATGATCGCCTACCCCGAAGTCCAAAAGAAAGCCCAACAGCAAATCGACCAATTCGTTGGCGAAGACCGCAGCCCCACCTGGCAAGACTACTCCCGCCTCCCCTACGTCGCGCAATGCGTCAAGGAGGCTATGCGCTGGCGTCCAGTCACTCCTCTCGCCTTCCCGCACGCTTTGGCAGAAGACGACTGGGTTGACGGGATGTTCCTTCCCAAGGGCACCATGATCATCGTCAATGCCTGGGGCATGCATTTCGACGAAGAGAGGTTTAAGAACCCGTACGACTTCGATCCGGATCATTTCGAAGGCGTCACCACCCTTGCGACCGAGCTCTCGAACGGAGCGTGGGAGAAGCGGGATCATTACGGCTATGGAACTGGACGGCGCTTCTGTCCTGGTGCGCATCTGGCGGAGCGGAACTTGTTCTTGGCCATGGCGAAGATTTTGTGGGGGTATGATGTCAAGGCTGGGAAGAAGCCTGTCGATACCGATCCGGTTACTGGGTATTGTGAGGGTTTCTTGGTGTGTGCGAATGACTTTGATGCGGAATTTGAGGTGAGGGGTGAGAAGAGGAAGGAGACGATTTTGAGGGAGTATGAGGAGGCGGAGAGGGATGTGTTTGGGAATTATGAGCTTAGTGGTGAGGAGAGGGCTTGATCGAAACGGTTGTTGGTCGGTATGAAGTAGCAATGTGGTGTTGCTGATTTATAGTGAGTACTTGGATTTTACTCCTCCCTGGACTAGTGGGCCTCACATGGTTCGCCAGCTGTCAACCTCCGAACCGGCTATCTCAGGGCTGTGCACTCACAGGTTCCATTCAATTCTTCGGCGACCCTCATACTCAAAAATCCCTCTCGGTCCCTTGCGATGCCCAGCCATGGCTCGAATCCTTTCATAGGACGCCTTTTGTTCCGAGTGCGCGAGTAGACGGTATTTGGCGTCAAAAAGATGCCCAATGGTGATGCCCGTCGGGATTCGGATCGACGTCTCAACAGGCCCACTCGTTGTCCCAATATGACCGCTTAAACTGGAGGTAGACTGTGGGGATTGGCGGCTCGCTGATGAATTCGAGTCTTCCGGTACTGGTTGTCGCAAAATCGGACAAGGTATAATCGAGCCAGTACCACCCAGATCCGGCTCGATCCCGCACGGAAGCCTAAATTAACGAGTTCTCCTTGATCAACAAGTTCCAGTATTTGGGACCGCTCGCTCTCTGATATTCCGCTATGATCTCGTCGGCGTGGCACAGCTCCTTGCGCATCATTTTGCGTTCCTTCTAGTCGGCGAATGAATCCAGGTCCATCAGCTCGATGGGGTCGATGCAACGGGCTTTGCGCACAGCAGTCGAGTTTGAGACTTCCTTCCACGCTGTGCTGACGCGCTGGCAGCGGAGAATGTCGGCAGACGGCAGGAAAAACAGAATGTTTTGGAGGAGCTCGTAGGTGGCGAGGGCGGTCTGGGCGGCGTTCATCTTGGTGGTGGTGTCGCTACCTTCGTAGACGCTCGCTTGTGAATCGTCGTCGTCCCCGATGATGGGCGCCGATGGGGGAGTATCCGCCACCAGAGACGCAAGTTGGGTGAAGTTCAGTCGTTGTGTGAAGTTTTCGAGCGCCGCAGCATGGCCGGATGTAGTGTTGTCCGTGATTTTGAGGGAGGCCATGCCGAAGTCACCGTCGTCTTCCGGCATAGTTGCCGTAGTCGATGATATACTTGCCGACCCAGATGGTTTGAGCGGTGCAATATGCTGAAAGTGTGAGGAGTGTTTGGTTGCGAAGAGCCAATATATATATTATAGGGGCGGAGCGTGCCAAGGCTCGATTGCCCGCCAGCATTCACTCGTCAGGCATGCGACGATGCAGCTCTATCCGCCTGAAATCAAATGGTGCTTGTCGAAGGGTGAATTGCGTGCCGTTGGCCTCGTGCGCTAAGGTATATACCGTCCAGGTGATGTCCAAGTGTATTCGCCAAAACACAGACCGTTGCCACTGGATTCTTCTCCAGTTCAGCTCTCGGACGCTCGAACGCTCGAGAGCGTTGGATGTCTTTGCGAAACACGTTTTAGTTTGACATTTTACAGAGGTCTGCCACGGTTTGTACAGCCCAGCACACCCACGTAGGACGAGCAAACAATCCAACACATTCGTTGTTTCCTCAGACCTAACCTGAGCATTTCTCAACCTTTCCGCCCCATCACTTCTGTGTCTTCACAAAACAAGCAACCCAACAAATGCAACAAAAGCCGCCTGCCCAACAAGGTACCACAGCACACACTCGACCAGCTTCGTCGGCTTCGTCGTCGCGAAAGCTGCCATGGCAACCGTCCACGCGGCAGTCCAGCCATGAATGATCCGGGCCTCATCATTGGAAGCTCCCACGGCCTGTTGCTGGTAGATTTGAAGACCGTAAGCACCGGTCCAACGCAGAGGAGCATCACCACGGCCATGATAGGAACTAGTTGCTATGGAACGGGCTCGGATGCTGCTTGCTGAGAATCGGTCGATGACTTCGAGTCGACATTCGATTGGGTTACTGGGGAGGGCATGTTTGTTTGGAGGCTGTATGGACACCTTTCGGGTAGGTCGTGGGCTCGCAGGAATAAAACTTCTTCCGGAATGGTAAATTGTCCTTCGCAGTTGGAGAGGGGCGAGAAGAACAGTGAACGATGGTCGTGATGGATCCAAGCGGCAGGCTTTTTTGAATCGAGGAACAGGGCGGTGCAGACCATTTGGCTCAGGCAGGATATGCCATTTGGCGTGGCGCAGTTGCTTCAAGTTGCTTAAGCTTCGAAGGATGCCGTCCGCCAAGACGGCTTGATCGGAAGGATTCAAGAGGTTCTGAGCCTGAGCCTGAGCCTGATCCTGAGCTTGTATGTTGAACCTGCGCGCAGCAGCCGTCTTCTCGAGCGCAGACTGCGCTGTTCGTTGATGGCTTCGTGGCTGACTGCGTCCGTGATCGAAGATGGTAGTCGGTGAACCTTTCACTGCTTCCAACCCCAATACCTTTTGATAGTATCTCCTGCCGTTTCCTTGCCTCTCTCCCGTCTATCCGCACGGTGCGCCCTCTCCTCTTCCATAGTGGCCTTGACCTTCTCCGCATACTCCAGCTGCGCCCTGCTCTCTGCCGCAATCAGCTGCATCTCCACCTCCTTTTGCCAGTCATTCAGCCCTTTGAGTCTGTCCCTGATTTCGTCCTGCTTCTCAGGCGGATAGGCGGACAAGTTCGTTGGTAGCATCTCATCCTTCGCTCTTTGCCTTGCCCTTGCGTAAGCACTTTCAGGCCCCAAAGCCTGCACCACGTGATCCTGCTGCATCAGCGGCGCAAACGTTGGCGCAGCCTGCCCTTCTTTCTCCGCCTGCTCGATCGCCTTCTCTCTTGCAAGCATCTCGTGATAAAGCCGGTCCGCATGCATCTGTATCCTCTCCTCCTCGTCCGCCGTCGCATACGTATTACTCAGATAACCCAGCGCCTTCAGAAATCGACTCTGCATCGTATAGCATCGATTAAAGTCTTTGTTCTCCTTCCGACACATCCCCATCATCTTCTTCCAGCCGCCAGTAGAAAAGCACTCCTTCTCGGCCATTTGCTCCATGACACAGTTTTCAAGAGCAGCGCGGCCAATGGCGGCCTTACGGTCGCGGTACGAGTCAACGACATCGGCCAGGCGGTCCTGATCAGTCTTTCCGGCGGCTTCAACTGAAGACTGTGGGCGGTAAGTGGCCCAAAGATGGGCGTAGCGGCCGTCCTGGAAAAGCGACTCGGCTGGTACGGATGGTTGTGCCTGTTGGTCGGACGGGGTGTTGGGCGAGGTAGGAAGGCCTATCTGAGACCGGTATGTTGTCGATGCGCCTTCAGCGGAGCGTGGGACCTCGCCAGATCTTGGTACAGGCTGGGTGGTGGCATTTTGGGAGGAGGATTCCTTGTCGAGAAAGTCCTTGAGGCTGGGATCCAGCTTACTGTAGGTGTCGCCGGCCGGCTTACTGTCCCAGAACCAGCCCATTGTTGTCTGTTGTATACGGTGTCGAGTGGGTGGACGAATGAAGACAGGATGGTATCCTCGCGGCCTTAGCGCTCTCAGGCGGGGTTTCCTTCCCCTTCGGGAACGAACTGACAACACACATAAACAGAGGGACGTCACCCGTCAACAGCAGTGCACAACAGTCTTCTAGAGGTCCTTTAGGATGATATAGCATACTTTGAGTATGTCAGTCAACAGTCCAGCTAAATGTACAATCCTCTACCGAATTAATACGCCTGAAAATGCTAACATATGCCGCCGCGCAGTACAGCGAGTTGAAAGACATCTTATTCGGCAGCGAGGTGCAGGAGTACGGTCGATTGCGGCGAGCTTTGGCTTCTCGATCGGCCTTGATAGCAACAGCTCGCAACAGCCGAACGGCACGGCCACGGCGCGATATGGACCGCCCGCGAAGAGACGAAAGACGATCGTCGAGCCTCAGCCAAACGAAACGATTGAGAACGATGAGCACGCGACTCCCACCAAGGCCTCAGCAGCCGTGGAGACTGAGAAGCAGACGGAAAGAGATGTACAGCGTACTGCAACCAAGAGTCGACCCGTTGTGAAGGTGCGGAAGCGGTTTCAGGTGGACGATGCAACGGCAAGCTCTGGAACGGGCGACGACAGCTTTGTGTTTGGGCAGCGCAAAGAGAAGAAAAAGAGCCGCACAAGAGAGGAGGCTATTTTTGCTATCGCTTTGGAGAAGGAGGCAATCGTCGAGGAACCTGCAAAAGAGGCATCGCCGGTGAAGAGCCGACCTAAGAGGCGGGCGGCTACAAATGCTACGGCGAAAGTGACAGATGGGTTCTTGGAGGAGGCTGCGCCAGTGGACAAGAAGAGACGCGATGCATCGCCGGTAAAGAAAGCAAGGACTGTGCGAAAGAGGGGAGCTGTTCAGCAGGTCGAGACGGCGGAGGTAGACGTTCATGAGCAAGCTGTGGTCGCGGCAACAGCGCCCGAAGTCACGAAGCAGACGGGTAGAGCCCGCAAAACAGCTGCAAAGCCAACAACATCTGTCAAAAACAAGGCTTCGGAGCCACTAAGGAACGCTTGCATGTCAGACGAAGAGGACGTTCTACTGCAACCCGAGATGCCAACAGAACCAAAAGGAAAGAAGCGGGCAACCAGGAAGCCTCCCACCAAGAAGAACGTGACCACCAGAGCTAAGCCTCATGAGGATCTTGAAGCCCCCGAGCCTCCCAAAGCCGTCAAGAAGACCTCCAGGAAACGCAAAGCGGATGTCGAAGATGACTTTGATGCTTCGAGAGCAACAAAACGTGGTAGAACACAAGCTACGGATGATTCAGAGCCGACAACGCAGGTTCTTGGCCCAGTTGAGCAAGCAGAAGGGATCTCTCAACGGCGAGATCCGACTGTGCAATCTGGCAAACAACCGAAGTCGCGACGCCAGAAGGCAGGCACTAATAGTGCCGTCCCAATGACCGCGGCAATCGCGGACATTCTTGGAGAACAGTCTTCAGCAGCAACCGCGATAGACGCACAGCCATCAACAAGAGACGACACGGGTTGGACATCCTCGCGTAGGCCTCAAGAAGCCAAACCAAGCCAGCGGCGTCCTCTATTGGAGACGGATGTTAATCTCACCATGCGATCCAACTCCCCGGAGAAGCCAGGGTCAAGGTCAAAGTCACAACCACTCCCGCGGGTCGCAGATAAGGCTGTATCGGAGGGAAAGCCATCGCCGCGACGCCGACGTGAAGACGCGAGACCCAGCGATATGGACGCAGATCTGAAGATGCGTTCCAGTTCGTCGGAGCATACTGTCCCACACCCTATCCCACGGGATGCTGATAAGGCTGTGCCGGGGAATAGGCTAAAGCCACGACGCCTATCTGGTGAAGCGAAGCCAAGTCGACGGCGTCCGATAAATGAGACCAGTGCCGATTTTGTGCGCTCCAAATCGACAGAAATGCCCGAGACGGTGCAACGACGACACCCATCAACTTCAGATACCGAGGCCCCGCCGGTGATTGCACCGCCGCCGCGACCTCCCACTAGCAAAGCAAAGACCCACCCCACGTCAAAACAAAGACAAATTACCCAAGAAGAGAACGACAATCCACCCACGGCTCCGAGCGCTTCAGAGAAGACGTCGCGAAACGAAGCCAGACGTCACGATCGATCTCGACAAGTCCCCACTATCGACACCGCCGCATTGGAGGCGGATCCACCCGCAGCCCCCACCATCGCACGAATCTCGCCGAACGCAGACAATCGAGCCATGACTCGCATAGCTCTACCGGCGTCCCGGGACGCGCACCAGCAGAACCGGCGCGGTGGAGCTGTAAGCAATGGTCAAAGTCTGAAAAGTGGTGCAGATTTGGCTTCGGAAAGCGCCGTCCAGACAATTGCCGAGAATTTAGTGCCGGCTGCGGGGGAGAAGCCGAAACGAGGGCGTAAGGCGGTGGCTGCCATTGACAGAGATCACGAAAGCGAGATGAGTGGGAATAAGGTTCAGAATTTTTTGAAGAACGGTGAGGAGGATGTGGATTGGCTGTTCGATGCTCCGGACGCTATGCGACCGGAAAAGGCGGCGGAGGTAAAGAAAACGGCGGTCAACGGCCGAGCCAACACGAAGGGTCGGACGAAGATGGTTGATATTGATCTGGATGATCTGATCTCGAACATAGCTTCGTTTGCTCAGCATGAGCGGGAGGCGAGTGTGTCAACAGCAGCGAAGCAGCCATCAACTGCCAAGTCAAGATCGAGACGGAAGGTTTAGACACAGCGCGCGATATATTGATCGTTGGATAGAGTTTGCAAAACCAACGTCCTGTCTCACCAATTGACAGCCTCGGCCTTCCCACCTCTTGGTGCCGGCATATCTTGATGTCACCCGTCCAACTTGTTCATCAGCTCATCGCACACCCAGATCCAGACCACAATCCCACTCCTCGCTTATGTCTACACCGCAGTAGCCCGCGATCAATAAACAAGATGCACTCCCCCATCTCGGACATCCACGTGGCTAGCCCGCACCAGCCTCCTGCACGCAGCAGCGCTGACAGCAAAGGTGGATCAACGACCAACTTTCGTGCATGCAACGGCTCGTCCCCCCGACGCAGGAGACTACTGCAGCGCTGGCTGCATCTGCAGAGAGCCTCGTATGCAAGTGTCGTGGGCAAAGTGGAAGCCAATCATTACGTGCCTTCACCGACAAGTTTTTAGGAGGGGGAGGCGATTGGATGGTGGGGGTTGATTTTGTGGTTTCTGCGGGTAGGACGTCGTGGTCGCGTAGAGAGTTTTGGGGAGTGGGTGATGAAGGTTTGCGGACGTTGGGGGCGGGAAGTATCGTAGGAGGTGAGAGTTTGACGACGGTAGGATGGTGTGAACTTTGAGGATGATTACTGATGGGTATATGGATTTTGAGGATGATTGACTGATTGATGGGTATGTGCTAGTTACAGGTAACGTGGATGATCGCGAGATCTGGTATCTTAAGAGGCAACGCGAGAAAACAGTCTGTACAAAATGCGTTGAACCCCTCCGGCGCCCTTGCAACTGAAAAGTAGTGAACGTAGGCAAGCACCGGTGCGCCTTCGCTGTCAAAAGTCTGCCGTTGGTCGATCGTAGATTGGGGTGAAGCTGGTGTAAAAATGCTGTGTCAATATAACTCTGTTCGACGTCTTGTTCTTCCAAAGCCACGCAAGCTCGATCAACGAGTCTCGCGCGGCTGATTCGGATCCCGCGGCCGCTCTGCGCCTTGATGCGCGCCCCATTGAGCCGGCGGCTGCAACACCTGCGGCAGGGCGGGAAGTTGCTGGGGATGCCTGGCAGTCTCTGCCGGCGATGGCAAGCGTCCTCCACGCATTGGCGGATTGTTCGTCGGGTAAGATCCTCGCTGCGATGGTGGTGGTGGCGGAGGTGGTCCCAAAGGTCCGCCAAACGGCTGCTGTCCGTATCCTTGTTGGATGGGCGTCCCGGCTGGATGCATCTGCGGTGCTGGTGGTGGTGGAGGGAGAGACATGGTAGACGTCCGCCTTCGAACTTTGCGACCTTCGCCGGGGCTCTGGACCATCTGCTCTTGCGCCATGGGGAATGTGGCTGTTCCAACACCGATAGGTCCAGGTAGGGAGACATTGGAAGATCTTCGGTGCCTTGGAGAAGATGGTCTCGGAAAGTGACGGTCGCCTCCGGGTACGTGAATGAGGACGCCGGCCAGGAACTCGCGTTCACGTCGGTAGAAGTCCACATCCTCGCTGAGCTCCTTCACTTGCTGCTCCAGTTTCGAGATCGCCGTTGTCGACTCCCTCTCCTTCTCCTTGCGACGTTGTCGAAACCGAGCGCTCGCTCCTGCATTCCTTCGCCTCTTCTCATCCGCGACGCGCGAAGCACCTTGAACGTCCACCGGAAGCTGTACAGTGCCTGAAGTCGTCTCCAGAGACATCATCTGGTAGACATTCTGACCTCCAGAGGAGGATATCGGGATGCCGAGAGGTCTTTGTCGTTCAGGGCCCATCGGATCTGCCATCATACTTGCTTGACGGGCCCCGATATGTAAAGGGTCATTGCTGCCATGAAAGGCTGGCGGTCCCGTGGTAGTTGCATACTGCGTCGCCGGAGAAGTGTGGCTTGCTTGACTGTACGATGAGTACGATGTGCTTGGACTAGCACTCGCTGATAGATTCCTGTAGTCGATGCTTCCACGGTGAGATGACCGCGCAGACTGATCTGTCCTTGAAGGTCCATGGTCCGTCCTCGGATTCGCGGATTGTGTGGGTAGTGGAGGTGCAGCTGAAGTTCCGGGCTCAATCGCGTATGTTCTTGATCGCGGCGACGATGGAAAGGGGACTTGTCTGGCGTTGATCATCCCAGCAGTCTGGTTGATTTGACCCATGCTGGCCGCGCGATGCAAACCTGGGGATCGGGGAGTGAGTATGCGCCTCTGTGGCCGTTCAACGCTGGCCGCATGCTGTGATGCGGGTGAAGGCGCGAGGAGGGTGGGTGAAGGCTGAATGCTTCCTGGCCGAGTGAAGATTGGTGGTAACTTCTGGTCCGATGTTCGAGGCGAGTCGAGGTGCGACGCCTTCCGCCTCCGACTTGCAGACTCCGGCTCTAAAGGAGACGGATTGAGGATGGATGCAAATCCCGCAAGTCGAGGTGCTTGCGTCGATCGCTCTTCTGGAGGCGGAGCTTGTGGCAGTGGTGGTAGCTCGAGCGGGTTGCTAGACGTATATCGACTCGTCGGCGAAGTGATGCTTCGAATGCCAGACGTTCTTCGCTGCAAGCTATATGCAGGTCGAGGGGATGCTATGGGCGATGCTGCATTGCTGCCAGCTATTGGAGCGTTTCCAGAGAAGTTGTCGTCACGAGAGCGATCTGACATTAAACTCTTTCCTGGTTGCCCTTGCGGACGCTTTGCGCCGGACCATCGATCTTGTTGGTCGTCTTCGATGGTACTGCGGCTGTTGTGACTCCGGATTGCGGTCTGATATTGATGGTTCGAGTGGTAATCGTGGTGTAGATGCGGGTATACGAATGGGCCTTGGTAATGAATGTGGTCAAATGAACGAGGTAGGTAGTCGAGAGTCGCCACGGTGAACGATGAGTCCGGCTGGAACGTCCGTAGCGTCCCAGGCGCGGTATGTGAGGTTTGAGTTTCGCCCGTTCACAGATGCCTGCGACTGTCGAGTAGAGCTGATCAATGTTGTTGCAACGGTGCAACGTTCATGCCGATGGTTGCCTGTTCATGCGGAACATGTGGATAGCAAATGAAAACCTCCAGGTCAGTCGGATGAAGGGCGAAAGAAGGATTCGATGATGTGAGCTGGCGGACTTGGAGCCGTGGAGGTCAAGACAGCCTATGAGCAACTGGGAAACGATCTGAAGAGGAAGACTGGTTCAGCCTCAAGAGGACAAGGCCCAGTGATATAACGGGGCGGTGTGTGGTCATAGTCCAAATGCCCGGGCTTTCAGTAGATCATGAAAGGTCGTGGCGTGGGACAATTTAGCGCAGACGCAGTGCATCATCGCTCACATAGGCTTCGAGTCGGTCTAAAGATTCGAGCAGGGTTCCGGATGTCCACGCTGTCAAACCCAAGCGCAGAGCAAAAGGAAGAAGCTTTGCCAGCGACCAGGACCGCGGCTGGCGGAAGGTGAGACTAGGGTGGTCTCGCGCCAACACCTTCGACGAGGGTCTGCGGGAGAACCTTGTCGAGTTGCTGGCCTCGACGCAGCGCTAGCGCTGGATCTTGGTAGTCAGATGCTGCCGGACGTGGCCGCGTACGATTCGATTGCAAGCCCCGGTATAACGACGCTTGATAACGCGTAACATCAAGGTGTGGGCATCCCGTTCGGGCTGTGCCCATCCACGGAGTCGGCCATCCCACCCGTGGGAATGGAATCAGGCACAAGCGTGGGTGGCAGACTCCGAACTAACGCACTGACGGTACCACTTCAGGAGTAGGTCTGGTGATGGGGAGGTGATGAAACTAGGTTGTCGGCCGTCCGCCCGCTCGGGCGACGAACCGTTCAAACGTTCGAGATGTCGATCACTTTTGCAGTTTTGAGAGCTTCACGGCGTTTAAGGTCCGTTAGCAGCAATTTCAAGAGGGCCGAACCGTGCTGCTGCTGTGGGAGGTATGCATCGGACCATTACCAGATCAAGACTGCAGAGAGGAAGGACCTGCTGGCTCTGCTCCGGCGGTCTGCCCCGACCGAAGACATCGATGCACCCACGATTCATTCACCTCTATATCTGGCAGTAAGCGGCAGAGGCCTGCTCGGGTATGCAAGACATGCTGGATCGAGTGCGGAATGGCCCTTTCTGCAGTGCCGAGAGGGGATGAGGGATGGTAGCGACGAAGTACGGCGGAACGCTGTCCAGTAGCAGTTCACTCTTTGCGTAGCGTTGGGCAGCAGCACGGTGAACAGAGTGCGTTTTGCTACACTTGGTGCTGTGACGGACAGGTCGATCCTCAGCTTTCCTCCTTATCTCCGTGGTATTGCACGTCGCCCTTTCTCCTTCCCCGTTGGCTACTTGCTACTTGCTACAGTATGCTGGAGAACAAGATGAAGCACCGGGATAAATCATAAGCGCCTCTACCCCATCTTCCGCCGCCACGGGCGGGATGCGGTCAGACCCAGACAGCTGGGCTACGCGAGGCGGCGGCCAGGCGGCCACGGGGCCCCCACTTGCAGACGAGACTGCAGGAAGGAATCGACACATGACTTTAGCGAAGGTCGGGTTGCCAGCGCATCTACACCGACTTGATATGTCGCCTTTTTTGTGATTGGTCGTCATGCAGGAATAACTAGCAGGCGTGCAGTCCGCTCCCCGCCCTGCCGCAACCACCTGCAGGCGATTACCTTTCGGTAGTTATGGAAGCCGCATTGTTGGTGGCTTTCTGTGCTTCTCGGGGCAGTTCCCCTAGATCGAGGGAGCTCGTCATGAAACGGACACGGTTCTAGCGTTGCTCGCGTACTCGTTCTGGTCGAGTCAGTCCATCGAGCCGTCCAGGGAGTGGTTGGCTGTTGTTCTGCGACGCACCGAGTTGATCATACAAAGCGCCGGCGGATGTCGTGGCCGTTGTGGACACAGTGCTTTGGTGCTCCGGAAATGAGATGATGAGACTCTGACTGCATACCTGCAGTTCATCCTTGTTCGATTGCGACTGTCCAAAGGACGAGCACTACCGGCACATTGGCTTTGTTGGAGGATCCTGGGGCCGTCTGTCACCGGCACAGCCCGTTCGAAGGATGAACGCCCCTCCTTCTCATGCGTCGTGGAAGCAGCCCAGGCGGCAAATATTCCTCATCGTTGCGAGACATTCTGCAGTTCCTCGCAGCGGACCTTCCGAGGCTCCAACCGGCACTCCAAGGAACCGTGCTGTCATCTACATCGATTCAGGTGGATTCTGACGAAGCCACCCACGAGGCGCGGCGTAGCGGGCGTACATCCCGCTCGATCGTTGGCGTTGCGTGCTTCTCCCGAGAGCGCCATCCTTGGCCCACGTGCGTAACAGATCCCAAAGTTCCCGCTAGTGCATGCATGTCATCTCGCGTTGCCCGCCCCCGTCATTATCACCGTGGTTGTTTGTTCCGTCAAGCTCGCTTTTCCAACATTCTGTGAGCGCTGCTGGTCTCAAAAGCGTGTGCATGATCGACTGCTGGGTTTCGCAAGACCATGCAACACCATAAGATTTGATTTGCGATCGCTTATGCGCGAAGATGGAGCTGCCAATTGACTCGCGACCCGTATGGATGGTTCGGCAATTGCCATCTCGCGTGGCAGTAGAACGTGCTAGCATGCCTCTGGAAGCCGGAACGAGATTGTTCATCGTCACTGGCGTTGCGCCATGAGCGCCAGAGATTCATCCTGGCTTCACTCCATGTTCTACGGTAGCACTAGGGCATGGACCGGCCAAAGGGTAGGCTGATGATCCCAGTCTGATGATAGAGACAAGGTTGTAGGGACTCGAAATGAACGCAAGCAAGGACATCATGCCATCCAACGCAAACGACCCTCTGCCCAAGCGAACGAATGCCCTAACAAGCAGGCTCAATCTGGGGCGCAGTTCGGGAGCAGATGGCGAAATCGCTTCCATCGTTGAATGATGTCGGTGCTAGCGGCGTGCTGGTCGTCATACACACTTTTGCGCCACGGTGACCAGACAGAATAGGATCAGGTACTCTGTACCAGGCTCGCTCTCGCTCCCAGACTCATCTTCCTGCAGCGCATCGCTCAAAAGCGTGGGTGGTATCACCGGAACGTTGCATACGGCATGCAGCCATGTGCCCGAAATGCCGTGTGACTATGCGGGACACGTGGTTAAACAACCATTTGGCCAACGCCTCTTCATCATGAGTATCACCGCATCAGTCTCAACTTGAGGCAGCGTTGTGGTCGACCTGTTCTTGGACATGCATAGTGATAGATAGCAGCGGTTAACAGGACGGGACTTGTGGACGCCACGAGATGTTGGTCACATGAAAAAGAGTATTTGTGATGATAGGGCGCAGTGCATTAGCACTGATGCTCTCTTGCCACGATCATCCCGAGAGACACAGCTTCAGACCATCCGGAGGCGATTGATCGTGCTGAAAGTGGGAGCAAAAAAGCAAGAAGCAATAAAGCGTGGGATGTCTCCCTGCCCACGTTTCCGTGGTTGCGACGGTACCCAGTTCAGGTACAGGCCGTATCATTTCCAATCATGCGTGGACGCGTTCATGAATTTGGTTCATCAATGATCAATCTTCAGCAGTTGCAATGGAAAAATGCACATGGACAAGTCGAGGGGAAAGGAAGGTCCGGCAGAGCTGGCCGACAACTCCGCTTCGAAATCGCTGGAGTGGAGCTTGTGGTGATGTCGGTGAGCATCAACATGAAATATCACTCAGACAAAGCACCATAGCAAAGAGGACCGAATCCAAAAGCCGCACAACAGATTCCAGTTTTTGCGCGCCATGGCGAACATCAAGAAATACGAGATCACCGAGCCATATCTGAGCCTCAACTGCGGTCTGGGCGAGGCACCTTTCTGGGAAAAGACTAGAGACAGTCTGCGGTTCGTAGACATCGTCAATCGAAAGGTGCACTTTGTCAACCTGTCGAAAGGACCGTCTTCCCATAAACAGATCGATCTCGAGTTCTCAATAGCTACGACCGCAGACATTGAGGGCAATGACGAGGAGTTCATCTTCGGTGGCAAGTATGTACACCTCTTCTCCAACACGTTTCTGCTCGACCAATGCTGAACTTCGGATGCAGATGGGGCTACGGAATCATGCATAGAGACACGGGCAAGGTGCGATGGATCAAGAAGATGTGGACAGATGCCGAAAGGCAAGACGATGGCGGCGGCAAGCCTGGCGTTGGCAAGAACCGGGAGGAGAGGATGAGGAGCAACGACGGCGCGGTTGATTCGAGAGGTCGGTACTGGGTTGGCACTATGAACGACGATGCTCTCGTGGGCAACAACTTCACCGACGAAGGTACGTCCTACAAAGTCAGATTATCCAGCCAGTGACTTGTGCTTACGTTCTTACCAGGAGTGCTCTTCCGCCTGGACGACGATCTGAGCATCCATCGTGTCATCGAAGGCGCAACCATCCCCAACGGGACATCCTGGAGCCTGGACAACAAGACCATGTACTTCACCGACTCGCCTTCACAGACCATTACGGCATATCCCTACAATCCTGAAACCGGAGAGATCTCAAAAAGCGAAGGCAAGCCCTTCTTCAAAACCGAACAAGGCGTTCCAGACGGCCATTGCCAGGACGAAGAAGGTTGTCTCTGGGTAGCAAACCATGGCGCCGGCAAAGTGTGGCGAGTCAATCCACAGGGCGAGACGATTGCGCAGGTCGACCTACCGACGAGATGTGTTACCTGTCCAGCGTTCTGCGGGACCGAGCTCTTCATTACCACGATGAAGGAGGTGGACCCGGACAACCATCCAGAGAGCGTGAAGTTGCAGGGCGCAGTATTCAAGATCGATGTCGGCGTGCGTGGCAGTCCGCTGAACAAGTTCAAGATGTCGACGAGGGCATGAGAACGAGAGAAGGTGCATCAATAGACTACTTGCCACTACCTACCCCATCCGCAGTCTCTGTGCTAAGCCAACGTCGCATTAACGACCTTCAATAGAGCATCATTTAGTATGGGATCCAGCTCTTGACCAGAAGGTATGAACTGGTATTGCTTCAGTCTCGATAACATCAGCTCCCAAAACACCCTTCGGATATCCTCTTTGAGCATGAACAAGCCTGCCCTCGCTCGAAGAGCCTCCCGCCAGCTGAGGAAGACGTTGTCGATAGCTCGATTGGTTAGCATGTAATAGTGATAGTGGTCGGCCTCCCTCCGGACGCGGTCCACGGCAGCCCTCATCTTGTTGATCATTGTTTCTGCCTCAACATGGACGGTCATAGGAGGTATCCGAGCCATGTCGATGGCCATTGGAGCTGGCAGTGAATTGCCCACGATTGGCCCGTGGGGTCCGCTAAAATTGATGTAGTAAGTGGCTGACTGTCGGCTCGACATCGCTGATTCCCACCTGGTAATTATGCTGCTGAACTCAGCCAACAGGCAATTGATGGATCGGGAGATTGCTTGTGATCAGTGACAGCGCACGTGGTCCGGCAAAGGGTTGACGATATGTTGATGAACGTAAAAGGATGCCGGTGTAAGGCTTCGCTGCCTTCAAGTAGGACGTCTGCTCGCTGTGACTCCATCGAATGTTGCTCCAGGAATCAGGTATGAGTCTCCTCGGATCTTGACGGCAGCAAACAGGCCAAATGCCTGATCATGCGCAGTCATTGCTGGGTTTTGCGCTCGCCCCAAGCACATGCGATAGTCATTGTCGCGATCAAAGTCTCTTCCCGCCACGTTGAGGTCTCCTGTAGTTAATATGGACGTCAGGGCGACGAGCGTGCTTCATTCCATCGAGACGGACTCCAGCAAGCAATTGCAGTGTCGTGCAGTGGCGACCGACCAGGCCGCACTTCCAGAATGTCCGCTGCCCAGTAGAGGCTAACGCTTTTCTTCTTTCATTATAGTACTGGCGTAGTCAATGGAGATATTTTGCTCGCAGTCATCGCTGGCTGCGGCATTCGGCATCCAAGCAGGTGGTTGTGCGCTGGATTTGAAACGGAGTTCCCAAGCAAATACACCTTCTTAGATGCAAATATTTATCGCGTAGTTGTATTGTAACGCCGCTCGAAATATGTTGACTGTTGTAGACGTGAGAGAAGGACAAATCAAGGATGCGACCCCATGCCATGTCTTGAAAGAACATGTGCGGCTGAACGAGAACCAACTGCGCAGAGCTGCAACGCTGGGCTCCCAAACGATAACGAGGAGCACCTACCTCGCTACCAGCAGACCCTAAAAAACGTATTTTCTGGCTCAGTATTCGACTCGCTAGTTTTTCCGTCACATACGGGTTCTCTGAGGCCAGATCTGGATATGCGCAACGATTGTTGGGCAGCGTCGTCCCTCGGCCGGACCGAGAAGACCTTGCGCAGCACAGCATCAGTCCCGTACTCTCGATCATGGCGTGCTCGTTTGTGTGAACGAAGAAGTGTGTCTTGTGCTGTTTACATGAATTGCGCTGGAGGAGCCAGCACCGCCATGGTGGCATTGCTGCGATGGCCACACCGTATATATGGCCAACTGTGATCCGCTGTGGAAGCATAACAATCTCTGTATCTCGAGCATATCCGGCACCCTTGAAAGAGTCGCACAAGCAGAACCCACACGAATCAATCTTTTCTAACTGACTCACCGGGAAACATATCATTCGCACTCATCATCATGGGATTCTTCCAAGCCGGCAGTATGAATGAGGAGTGCGAGAAGGCAGCGAAAATCCTGAAAGGCTTTGCCGGTGAGTTCCCATGGCTGCCGACCATGCAGTGATGCCAGTACTGATACCAGGGCAGAGAAGAAGAAAATTCCTCCAGAAGTTATCAACAATGCGAAAGGCCTGGCCATCTTCTCCGGCTTCCGAGGTGGAATGTATCTCGCAGGAGCTGGCGGCTCAGGAATTGTGATTGCTCGTCTCGCAGATGGCACATGGCCACCTCCCTCCGCAATCTCAGTTCGCTCAGGCAGCTTCGGTATTGTCTACGGTTTTGACGTTTACGACTGCGTCTGCGTCCTCAACACACAAGCCACCGTTGATGCATACGCCCGTCCCGAAGTCGACATGGGCATGGTCGCTGCTCTTGGCGGCAGCAGCAAGAGCCAGAACGCTGCATCGGTCTTGACGTACACCAGATCGAGAGGTCTTTATGGAGGCGTGACTGTGGAAGGCACCGTGATCAAGGAAAGGGCGGATATCAATGAGACGTCGTACGGGCGCGGCGCGTCCAGCACAGAGATTCTGGAGGGGGATGCGAAGGTGCGAGAAGAGGGTGCTGGCCTTTCCCGTCTAGGGGAAGTTCTCAAACAGGCTGCTGGGCAGACCGCAGACAGGAAGATCGTGGAGCAGGTGGCGGAGGAAGACACACCTGGAGCTTTGGAATGATAAGCAACTCTTTTCGACGGGAGGCGTTCAGGGATTCTGAGGTTGTCAGCAGATTTAGCAAACGCGTATCTACTTTATCTAGGAAGCATGAACGTACAGCTGCAACGTTTCAGCCAAGTCTTGACCAGACATCGTCAGAACTTCTCTCTCGAGTTGCCGCAATTACTCCAAAGCTTCTTGACATTGTCATCATATCGGCGGATTTGTCTGGGCGATGGAGAACAATAATTCAATCCAACATTGAATACCGTTGCCCAATCGTCGGCAGCTGAGAGGTCGGGCGAACACGTCGAAGCCGTGAATGGTAATCAAAAGCTTGCTATTCCAATCCTCGTGGTCTGGCACGTCCAAAACAATCTCACGCCTTGATGAACTGAATTTTAGTGCTGAAGATGCTGCAAGTCTAGATAAAAGGTGAGGTGAGGTCTGTTCGATGGAAAGTACAGACAAGACGACGCTACCTATTCTCTGCGACCGCGGCCAGACACCCAAACCAAACCATTCCTATTCGGGAACAAAACCCATCAAGGTGGTTCTTTCCTTACGTCGACGAAAAAACGGCGTTTCTCTGGCGGTTCAGAAGACCCCAAGGACAAGGACTCGAGTCTTCCCCCTCCCAATCGACCTACGGAACCTCACAACCCGGCATAACCTAATAACATACAATCACAATGTCTACCTGCGGTACTGCCGCAAAATACGACGGCAAGATCGGGATACGGATATCGGCTATCTTCGTTATCTTTGCAGGCTCTCTACTAGGTGCCTGGTTTCCTGTATTCGCCTCAAGACACAAGGGCGCTGGGCTGCCGTCATGGGCGCATTTTGTAGCGAAGTACTTTGGAAGCGGGGTCATTGTGGCTACGGCCTTCATACACGTGGGTGGAGTTTTCTTCGTTTTTGAGGATTGTGACATTGTGCTGATAGGGTTCCAGTTGCTCGCACCCGCCAGTGAAGCGCTCAGAGACCCATGCTTAACTGGGGTCATTACGGAATATCCGTGGGTGGAAGGGATTTGTCTCATGTCCATCTTTGCCCTATTTTTCGTGGAGCTCATGATCATGAGGTACGCCAAATTCGAAACCGGCCATGGCCATGGACATGGGGCGCACCTGGAGCCAGCTTCGCACTCCCACGGACAGCCGACCCCAGATGAGAAGACGATCCATAGTACGGAGTCTGGCATAGCGCTGCAGGATACGGGCAGCGGAAGCTCTCCGCCCGTGGAGCCGGACATTGAAAGCCAACACCGCCAGACCGAACACCACGCCCTGCCCACCGCGGAACCCTACGCAGCGCAGTTAACAGGCGTCTTCATCCTCGAATTCGGGGTGGTCTTCCACTCGATCTTCCTCGGTCTCACGCTCGCAGCTGCCGGCAAGGAGTTCTACACCCTCTACGTGGTCCTCAGCTTCCACCAGACCTTCGAGGGCATTGCATTGGGAAGCCGACTCGCCAGTATCCCGTGGCCGAAGTCGCGGCGATGGACGCCATACATGTTGGCTGTGGGCTACGCAGTCTCAACGCCCATCGCCCTGGCCATTGGCCTTGGAGTCCGCGAGACGCTGGATACGGGTAGCCAGAGCGGGCTCATCACCAATGGGGTGTTCGACTCCATTGCGGCTGGTATTTTGATCTACACCGGTTTGATCGAGCTGATGGCGCATGATTTCCTGTTCTCAGAACACATGCAGTGCGCGCCAGTAAGAAAACTGCTTGGTGCTTTCGGCACGATGTGTTGCGGAGCCTTCCTGATGGCCTTGCTGGGAAAGTGGGCGTGACATTTGTTGGCGGACCGAGATAATGTATATAACCACAATCCTAGAAGCATCCCTATGAGCATCAGCATAGTCTCATTCAAGCTCCAAGCCCATCTCTCCCGGACAGCCGTTTGCTCGTCGGAGAATGTAGCACTGCTGCCTGCGCAAAGCTTTGTCGGCGTTTCTTAAGCACTCGTAAGCCATGCCGCATCTCGGCCCTCGAAGAGATGAGAAGGGCTCAAGATAGAGTGCTGTCCCGTTGTCCAACGCAGCGGTTAAATAGGCCATCTGCATTCGTATGCCGGTTAATCTGTCCTCAGCTGGCGCGGATGCAAGCAAGCAGCCGCAGCGGCACGTGCTGTATATTGATCTGGGGAAGAGTGCTACGGGGATGCCAGGCCGTGCCTTACGATGCCAGGCAAAAGGACAAACGCGACAATGTTGCGAGACGGAATGTACTCCCGCGGCGCTCGTCATCAGCAACGACGTTCTAGAAGGGCATTTGCCTCCTACAGTGCCTCCAGGATGCAAAGGAGCTGCGGTCAGTTTTAGGATGCGGCATATGAAACGAGGGCTGGATCTCGTGTTCGAGAGGTGGTGTTGCAGACAAAGGGCGCGCGGATGCGAGGACCCCAGCTTCCGGCCCTCGCGGAGCTTTCTGGAGTGCATATGGGTACCACGGGCGGTGTGGTCTGTTTAACCGTGGACTCCCTCGCGCCGGTCGAGCAGCTCCCGCACGAGATGGACTGTGAATGGTATTATCGAGCGAGGAAAAAGCTTTGCCTACGTTGTGGAGTTATTGGCATTTGTCAACGGCAATATCATCATCGCTGTCCCCTTCGACCGTTTCCTCAGTACTAAAATCACCAATATTACAAATGTCAACCGACCAATGATTGGCTGTTAACGAACACTCGCGGCACCTTCTCCGGACCCACGGATCAGGGACCGCTTTCGTTAAACAATGCACAAACGATCAAGGGTGCCACGCTCGTGAGACTCCAGGACGCCGACGCGGGACGAGCTACTCCTCCCTCTTGGGATCTCCAGCCCTGCAGGGCACAACAGCGTTGAAAAGCAAGTCTATATCACGATATCGCAACACGCTCCGACGTTTTGATAGAGCGCAAGAGCACGGCGGAGCTTGTCTGACAGCCTCGATCCCCTTTCAGTCGTTAGTGAAGGCGGGCGCAACTCTTCGAGCTTGGGGAGTTCGTCAGCCAAGCGGAACGCCTCGGTTGCTCAGGCCGATTTCTGCTGGTTCGACTCGTCTCCAGTGCTTGGTGGTTGATCTGATGATGTATGACGGAGGGAGTTGTTTGCGGAGAGCCGATCAGCTGAGCCAACTGCTCGCTTTCACAGCAAGCAAACAACAACGCTGGCGCTATCGATGAGAGCTGTCTGTTTGTCTCTCGGGTTGTTCTGCCCCGTAATGAGCGACCGGGAGTGGCGGTAGGAGGCGCGTGCTTGCCTGCTCGCTAGGAAGAGTGCGGCAAAATCAAGAGCTGCAGAAAGTAGCGTAGCAAAGCGAAATCGTGCCAGAAAGATTGATTGACAGCCGGGCCAGTGCTTCGCACGCATATTGCTCCCTATAATTTGCCGAGATCATAGCGCTTGGGTGCTCCATTGGTCCGCCTCCACTCAGCATCGTCGTGCTGGAGATCCAAACACCCACCCTTCTTGGGGGACGGCCGCAGGGAGGTCTCCACACAACCTACCCACGAATGCTCATCGGGGATCGCTAGCGCGAGGCCGGGGTGGAGTGGTCATCGTTATATAGATGGCACGCGCAGCGAATCTCGTCGGCGTGCCCTGCGTTTCTACTTGTTCGTGTCTCTCTCCCCCACTGCGCGTTACTCTCTGTTGTGTCGTGACTTTACCTGTTTCCTCGTAATCCACCCGCAGAGCAGAGCTCGCATCGACCGACGCCATGGCGACCGCCCAACAGCAGAATGATGTGAACGCGACAGGCATGGAGAAGGAAAACGGCCCTTCCACCCACGACCACGCGCAGCGCCGACCCTACGACTACGGCGGCAACCCGCTCGCGCACATCAACACTGGCGACTCTGCACGTCTTCCCGCCTTTGGTGGTGAGTTCCAGCCAGGTCTCTACCGACCGATCGACCACCGCAAGTTCGCCAATCCGGCACCGCTCGGTCTCTGCGGTTTCGCGTTGACGACGTTCGTGCTGTCGTTGATCAACTTGCACACTCGCGGTATTACGGAGCCCAATATCGTTATTGGCGCTGCTTTCGCGTACGGTGGTCTCTGCCAGCTGTTGGCCGGCATGTGGTATGTTGATCCGAATGCGAAGATGTTGTTGAAATGGTTTGCTGATTGACGTCCCAGGGAAATGGCTGTTGGCAACACTTTCGGTGCTACCGCTCTTTCGTCATTCGGTGGCTTCTGGATCGGCACTGCTATCATTCTGACCCCCGGCGGCTTCGCAATCATCTCATCTCTTGAGGACCCTTCCTCCGGAGGTAGCGCAGCCAACTTCTACTACTCTTTTGGCTTCTACCTCTTCGTAAGTCCAATCGACACGTTGAGAATCATTAATCATGCATTTGCTGATTCGTCGATCAGGGCTGGTTCATCTTCACCTTCCTGTTGCTGATCTGCACCTTGAGGTCGACGGTTGCCTTCTTCCTGTTGTTCTTCTTCCTCGACTTGGCCTTCCTGATGCTCGGCATTGCCTACATCCTCCCAGTCAACGAAGAGCCCATGCAAGGCCCTCTCAAGGCTGGCGGCGTATTTGGTCTCTTGGCCGCGTTCCTCGCTTGGTGAGTTCGACTGGCGAAATATCTGCTGCAAACCGTCTGTTCTAATATGACTTATTAGGTACAACGCCCTCGCCGGTATCGCGGACAGCAGCAACTCCTTCTTCGTTATCCCCGTCGCTCACTTCCCATGGTCGGATAAGGGCCGCGAAAAGCGTGGCAAGGTCAACAACGACGACGCTCGCGCTTCGCAGGTGTAAGGGAATCCAATGAAGAGTGGATTGGTGGTTGAGTTTTTGGATACCCATTTTGCGCCCATCTAGCTTGCAGTAAACGCTGCGACAGAGTGTTGAGGGTGAGATACCACAGGATATACTGATGTAATATGGCAACACATTTAATCTCGATATCATAAAAGGTCTGAGATGATTGTATCGCGCCTTACCTGTTCGTGGGTGAGACCTGTGTCCTACGACGAGCTGCACTGGACAAGATTCGCGCCACGTTTACCATCCATACAAACTTCCCACGAGGCGTAGGCTTATTGGGAATAAGAAGCGAGGCTGCTTGTGTGCAGGTCGACAAAACTTTATGCCCTGCGCATGGAGTCTGTTCAGAGCGGTTATCTTATTGAGGTCCGACGAGGTTGCGAGGCTCGTGGCCAATGTGCCTTCTGCCCGCCAACTTCCGTACGGGCGCCTGCATGTAATTTGTGTTCTTGTACATCTTCAATTGCGTCTGCGGACTTAGTGATGAGGATGTCCACCTCTCGTGGTGCAGGGTTTGTTGTAGAGGAGACAGCTGTGCACTGTCATCTGGGAGACAATTCTTTGTAGTCCATCGACATTCTTGCTTGGATGTCCGTCGAAGGGCCATAGAACGCCTTTACAACACTTTGGCTTGTCGAGATGCACTCTTCTTCAGGATCATTTAACAATGTGCCCAAACAGCTTCGACTGTCACAACCGTGACTACCGGCAGATCTCGTGCGCAACTACCGACTCCTTCCATCGTGCAGCTGCTAAGCCCATCGTGGAGCCCCGCAAACTGACCTCCAGAGCGGAGGATCTCAGCGCGAAGCAACGACTTGAAGTGATCTGCCGAAGGCTTCGTGCTGGCCGGACCTCCAATCCATGACTCGCTTGGTAAGATGCATATCTGTGGTAGGTAATGTCTTCATCTTCTTCTCTCTTCCTTCAGTCCCTTCTCCAACCTCTATTGCGCCCCTTCTCCTTCACCATGGCGTCCGAAAAGACCGACCACGCCCACATGGAGGTCGAGCAGAAGAGCCGCGACTATGGGAATCTGGAAAAAGAAGCCCCAATGCTGCATGTGGCCGAATACCAGCAGGCCCAACACATCGACCTCACCTGGCGCAGCTGGCTCGTCGTCCTCATCAGCTGCTTTGCCATCATGGCCCAGGTCTTCGTCGTGGTGGCAGCAGGCAGCGTGATCGCCTTCATCATCGCGGATCTCGGAGATCCTTCAATCGCCGGCTGGATCATTCAGGGCCCGTTGCTCATGCAATCTGTGCTGTCACCGATTGTGGGACGACTGTCGGATGTGCTGGATCGGAAGTACATGGCATCGATACCTCCCTTGATTGCTTTCATGGGAGCATGTATCTGTGCCAAGGCGACGTCGATGAAAATGTTGATTGGCGGTGGCATACCCATCGGTGTGACATTGGCTACTATCTCGATTGTCCAGGCGATTCCCGCTGAAGTTCTGCCGCTCAAATACAGGGCACTGGCGAACGGCTTCGCTTTTCTTGGGGGAGCAGTCGGTGGTTTGGTCGGAAGTCTGGGAGCAGGAGGTCTTACGAACAGGAGTCCTTCTGGATGGCGTGGGATGTAAGTCTATGAAGCACTAGCTCTCCGTCTACGCTTGCTAACGACCACGTCAGCTTCTGGATGCAAGCAGCGTTCCATCTCTTTACCGCTCTGGGATTCCTACTGTTCTACTGGCCCAAAAAGAATCCCGACAGGCCTAGGTTGACCTTCAAGCAAATCTTGTGGGAGATTGACCCCATTGGCTCCGTCCTCTTCATCAGCGCTGCAACGCTTCTCCTACTCGCGTTTGATTGGGCTGGCGGAGCCTACGGGTGGAGTGATCCTCACGTTGCTGCACCGCTCGGGATTGGGTTTGGCTTATTCGTGCTCTTCGGCCTGTACGAGTGGAAGGGCAGATCAGACGGCATCGTGGCCCACGTCTTCTTCAAAGGCTCTCCCAACTTTGCACTGTCGTGCTTCGCTTTCGGCGTCGAAGGTACGTACTGATGGAAAAAAGGGGTTTCCGAGACACGATCGGGGGTCAATACAGCTTGCTGAGACTAGATGCCCGCTGTTTACCACTCAGAGACTCTTACTGACCGTCTCTGTTCTCTAGGATGGATTTTCTACTCAGCCGTCAACAGTATTACACCCCAGATCGTCCTCCACCTCGGCTTCGAAACCAGCAGCTGGATCATCTCCCTGCGCCAATTAGTCTACAACGTCATCACCATCCTCGCCAGCATCCCCATCACCCTCTACGCCACAAAATACAAAGACCTGAAATGGCCTCTCCTCAGTAAGCCCCCCCAACACCCACCCCTCGACCCACCACTAACCTCGCCTTCCCTTCACAGTAACCTTCACCTTCTTCCTCATCACAACGATCTGCTACGCCAACATCACCCCTTCCTGGAACAAAGCTCAAATCGGCCTCAACGTCATCTCCGCCATCGGCCAATCCGGCCCCCTCACCCTCCTCGTCGCCTTGATCCAGTTCACCGCCCCGCACGCCTACCTCAGCACCGCCACTGGCTTAGGATTCAGCGCAAGAGCGATCGGTGGTGCCTTCGGGTCGGCGGTGCTGGATGCGATTATCAACGGCAAGCTTTCGAGCACTTTGAACGACAAGATCGCGGACGCGGCGGTGGGTGCGGGACTGCCGAAGTCGAGTGTAGGGCAGTTTTTGGAAGCGATGGCGGCGGGTGAGGGGGTGGAGGATGTGCCGGGGGCGACGAGGGGGGTGGTTGGGGCGGCGGCGGAGGCGAGCGAGTGGGCTTATGCGAGGGCGTATAATTTGGCTTGGTGGTCGATTGTGCCGTTTGTGGTGATTGCGATTGTGGCGGTGGCGTGTCTGAAGGGGGTGGCGGAGTTGATGACGGAGAGGGTGGAAGGGAGCGTGGAGAAGGCTGCCCCGGCGGAGGAGGGGAAGGCGGTGGCTTGAGAGATGAGGACGTTGTGTAACGGTGTGCAGAAATGGGAGTTATGTAGTCGCTGAAGGCTTCAACAGAACACGACGAGATCCCTCCCATCCAGACGCCCTCTAAATGCAGCATACTATTTGTCCTCCACTACTACGCCTTCGCGTCCAACACCTTCGTCACCCCCGGCTGGATCTCCTCCAGCTTCTGCGCCAACTCTCCCCACCACCTCCTCTGCACCTCCGCACCTCCCTTGCCCTCAACGATCGTCGCACATTCCGTGATCCGGCAATCACTCAAATACTTCCCATGCGTCTCCGGCTCCGCCAGCCCCGCATGCACCAACGTACGACTCCCCACCTCCGTCGTGCGCGCGAGCAACTTCATAAAGATCCGGATCCCGATGCCAGACATTTCGCGCAGCAGCTCCGAGTAGCAGAGCCCCGGGTTGACGAAGTTGAGCGTGACGTTGAGTTGGGAGACGGGGTGGAGGGAGGCGATTTCGCGGCAGGCGAGGACTTCGAGCATTTTGGAGACGTTGTAGCGGTCGGCCATGCGGGCTTCCTTTTGATCGTTGACGGTAGCGAAGATGGAGGGGGCTTTGCGCTCGGGGAACTGGTGAGGGGTGTTAGATTGGGGGATTGAGGGGTGGGGTCGGGAAGGGGCTTACGGGTGTGAAGAAGTGGACTTCGGAAGAGACGATGGTGAGAGTGGGCACGATGTTGAACTCGCGCGCTGTCTGCTGGAGTTTCGGGATGACGAGCAGCGCGAGCAGGAATGTCGAGACGACGTTGACGGTGATGGTCGACTCGTTGCCTTCCACAAGCTTATACTCGCTCGTGCTGATGCCCTGCAGAACCTCATTAGCACTCTTCCGTAGCCCCAATAACAATGGCATGGAACCTACCGCATTCTCCACAAACCCGTCTACCCGCCTTAACCCCTTCACCCTCCCCGCAAACTCCTTCACATTCTCGTAACTCCCCAGATCCAACTGCCATACCTCGCACACCCCCTTCCTCCCCGTCGTCTGCTCAATATCTCTTACGGCCGCCTCGCCCTTCTCCACGCTCCGACACGCGATGATGACTTTCTCCGCGTTGAGACGGACGTAGTGGCGCGCGGCTTCCTTGCCAAGTCCAGTGTTGGCGCCGGTGACGAGGAGGGTCTTGCCGGTGCAGTCGGTGGAGGGGTAAGGAGGGGTTAGGGTGAGTTGGCGATAGAAGAAGGAGGGGAGGGAGTGGAGGAAGAACTCGGGCCAGAACATTGTTCTTGCTGGTTGCTGTCCTCTCTCGTGCGTGTGGGTAATTAGGTATGCTGTAGCTCGAGCTGTTGTATATAGATCTTGCTGATTGAATGGGATGAGGTTGGAGATGTGTTTGCAATGGGACTTCAATGGGAAGAGACGATGTCACTTATACCTTCGCTCTGCAAAGCTAAATATCTCATGGTACCAACATCGGCCGAAACGGCGCTCTTGGACATAGCTGTCGAGGGATATTCGCAATCTCCATCTCCAAGCTGTGTTTATGGTGCGCGTCAAGGAGTAGAGCAGAGCAAAGAGACCCGCGTGTGGTCAAAGGCAGCAAAGTGAGGTTGGCCCGGATTTAGAGCTCTCGAAAACGCCCAACGTCCGGGGTCTTGTGTGCAACCTTGCGCCAGAGTCTACCACGGACCAACGAACCATAAAGCAAATGTTATGCCGGCGCAAGTGTTCGACCGACTGCTTGGAGGAGTAGACGGAGCTTTCGTGGCGTTAAAGCAGACGGAACAATGGTCTTGCCGATCGAAGCGTGTTGCCATCGGACACAAATCGTCAGCACATGATGCGCACGACGAACCTCAGCCGTGCTCGAAACCCTCGAGGGATAGATGGGTTACATGTTCGCTTAGCAGCAGAGTCTGGACAACCCTTCGTGCACGCTGCCGGTAGACATGTCTCGACCGGCCATGAGCACGCTGGAGGCATATCGACAAGATGAGTCTGTGGAGACGAGCGCAGCCTGGCTTCGATGCAAAGTCGATTGGCCAATGACATCTCCTACGTCTATCGACCGAACTTCTTCAGCTCAAGCCATCTCAACGGAGGAAAGAAAAGTAGAACAAAGCCAGTCCCCACCCATACTCCGACATCCGCACCACCACTCGCAGCAGCCAACGGTCCTGTAAAATAGATCTGATACATCCCCAGCACGGCACCGACCCAGCCCAGCAGGAATGCCGCCAATGCCGCGAGGCCCACAGGCATCTTTTGAGGGTCTGACCAAGCATCCCAGTCGATGGCTGGCAGGCGTGGCTTGAAGAAAAGTTGCTCCTCGGCAAAAATGCAGACCATGAACGTTAACCAGTACCCCATAAGCGCCAGGAAGTTGGTGAAGATGATAAGCAGCTTGTTGCGTCCGGCGACTCCGCATACGAGCTGGACGATGCACAAGATCACGACCCAGACCCAACGAGGCAGCTTCTGGCCCCATCGGCCCATGATCTGGCATCCCAGGGCGGCGCTGTAGGTTCCAGGCGTGCAGTTGGCGAGGACACCGAGTCCGACGACGACGGCGCAGAATTTGCCGAAGCCGCCGAGAGGGCTGAAGCCGGCGGTGATCAGGGCGCCGGAAGAGATGGCGTAGGCGTCTGCCCAGGCCGGGTGGGATGCTACTCCGCTCGCGAGACCGATGCCTAGGAGGTTGACGAACCAGAACGCCAGCACCAGACCGAGCAGGGTCAGGGAGAAGGTTTTCCAGCGGGAAGTGTTGGCGGGCATGGTGACGTAGTAGTCGGAGGCTGCGGCGGCCCAGGAGTTGGGGACGTAAAACATCAGTGAGAAGAACGACAGTCGGCTCGCAGCAAGTGTGCTTCCGGTCACGGTGTTTGGAAGGGAAGTGTCAAACTTCGGGCCAGCGCAGCCGATGAGGATGAACAAGACGAGCACTTGTGGGAGCCAGGCAAAGCTGTGCGATGAATGAGCGAGTTTCGGCGTGTTGGTTCTCTTGCCACAGTGCTTACCGCTCATAGTATGAAAAGATCTTCAGACCGAAGCCAGCAATCACGCACTCCAACAGTGCTATGATCACCGTGCCCACAGCAATGGACAAGCCACCACCATTGACTGCTGATAGCACCTGCCCGCCGATGATACAGTCGATCGTTCCGTAGCCGACCATCAGAACGATCTGGAGGAACGTGCAGAGCTTCGAGGGATCTGAGGACGGAAGCGATGCGTTAGTTACCCAGCGACATTGATGCTTGAGTGAGAAGGCAACTCACAGTATCCCATAAAGTACCTCGCAACGACCATGGTGCGATTGCCGCTCACCGGACCCCAAATGCTCATATACGCCGTCGTCAACGCCCCCAGCAAGATGCCAAAGATGGCACACAGAGCGCTGTCGACAAATCCCAGACCGAAGGCCAGAGGACCCAGCAATCCCACCGCCAAATTCAAGAGCGTGGCGTTTGCGCTCAGCCAGAGGAGCAGCATCTGCACCAGACCCATCAGGGAGTATGGCTGGCGGTCTTCAGGTGGTACTCGAGCCAGACCGCGGGCTTCGAAGCCGGCCATGTTCTCGATTCTGGCGTTCCATCTTCGGAGGAAGTCTTGTCGTTGAGACTCTGAGTCGGAGAGTGGGGGTGTTGGTGAGTCGGGGTCGAGTTTGGTCTGTTCGATGGTGTACGTCTTCTCAGGACCGGCGGCCATTGTGGTCTAGAGAACTACTTGAACGAAATCGATCGAACGAGAACCGATCTCAAACCGTCAGAAGAGGTCGCAATGCAGAGACGAGGAAGTCCAGCAAAGGAAGTCTGGGGAGCGTTGAACAATCCGGGTTGGAGCTCGAGGATCGAATGCCGTGCTTCGCTTAATACCAACCTGCAGCGACCCTTGCAACTATTCAAGCTTCCCCGAGACTAGCTCCTTAGTCTCTCAAGCTCGTGCAAGCCACATCTGCAGCTGGCTGGTAGCTTGTACTAGCTCATTGCATGGCTAGATTGATCAGGCAAGGACTAGCTACGGAGTACTGTACAGTACTGTATGGAACACCTCGTAACGGAATCACTCTCGGTGTTGCATGACCTTCATCGTCTTCCTGATCGCGCCTTCGGGCACCACTTGCTCTTCCTCGTTCTCCGAACGCCAACTGGATTGCCTCTGAGGCCCCTGACCATATTGAGGCCCTTGAAAAGTCCAGCGGTCATGGCGCATATCAGCCAGATGGACCTCGTCGTCCGCAACTGTTGGCTTCTTGTCACTTGACGAGAAGCCGGCGTGGAACCGTCTGCTGTGATGTTTCGAGCCATACTGCGGATCGCTATTGTATCGGAGGTCGCTAGATCGTGTCTCGGTCGCGGTGAACCCTGCCTTCTGGAGGATCCTTCGCAGTAGTGGCCGGCAGGCGGGGATGTTGACGACGTAGATTGCAGTGCCGACTTCGCCGGCATACCATCGCAGGTAGACGACGCTGTTCGGATGCGAGAAGTTGTAATATCTGTTCATGACCGCAGCCATGATCTGTAGCAGCGACCAGTCAGTCACTAGGAGAGATCGCACCGAAGACAAGGCAAACCCATACGTCGAACACTCCCAGACAGAGCACGCCCATAATCATCAGCTTGCGCACCAGAGGCAGTTGTAGCCTCGGGATGATGAAGAACGGAATGGCAAGCAGCATGAGATCTGCGGAGATATTCCAAGCTGTTGCGAAGATCATGTGGTGGTAGTACGACGCGCATTGGCCTTTGAACGTGTTAGCATCTTAGCAGAAGCTGCTACTCAACAGAACGATAGAAACCCACGATGTACAACGGGTACCGCCCAGTACCCGGAGATCGGCTGGCACCAGTATCCCAGATAAAGTACGTTGACCAGAATATATGCAACCACGCAGTAGCCGGCGATGAACTTGACGGCAATATGAAGCTTGCCCAGCTTCTGTCTGAGAACGGTCAGCGTGGACGCGATTGCTTGGTATCGAGAGGTAGCACTCACGTCAATCGATAGTACATAAGGCAGAGGCAGCCTTTGACGCCCCAGAGGATCACCAGAGTGAACATCTCGAGGATCAAGGTACACTTGCTGCCCCAGATCGCTCGTCTGACGCCTTCATCGTCGAGGGCTACGGCGTCCTTGTGGGACATGAAGTTGCTCCCGTTCAAGGAGACTTCGTTCAGCGACCATGTGAAGAACGTGAACATGACCTGGTTAACATGTGAGATGCAGTACCTGGGTTTCCGACACCAACAGCCCCGCTCACCAAGATCAACATCTACGAACACACAAGCAAAAGGGTCAGCAGATATCTCAGACATAATGAAAGGGTTATGGGCATCAGCTTGGTACCATGATATACTCTTCAGCCATAAGCCGTCGGAGAGATCCAGCCTGAATGCGCCTCGACTCTCTGGGTTCCCGTCAGTCTCATGACATGCTGAAGCTTGTAGCCTACGTGCGAACTTACATTCGAGCAAAGGTCAACAGTACGCCTATCCCGTACATGGCCCATGACTGAATACACAGCGACCTTTGAAAGCCATTCATCTTTTCCAAATGCAAAGCCAACACGAGGCAAACCGCAATGTCGACGACACTGGATCGAGGACAAGCAGCCTTCTTTTGCGATCGAAGCCGAAAACTTTATTAGATTAACCGCGCCGCCGCATTGCAATATTGATAGGGGACTGTCGTTTGAATGAGGCTGTAGTCTCCCTGCCCAGGTGGCTGTTGAGGAAGTGCTGCAACCCATCTCGTCTATCGCGATCGCTCATCTTTCAGGGATGTTGCGCCATCTCACTGTTACTGACGAGTGAGAGGGCCTTGAAAGCGGACTTTCCCATCGTCCCCAATCTCGCCGCGACACCTGCATGCTGGCCCCTTGAAGGCAGTCACACGCATGCATATGCAGACCCAGACCATGCCCTGGCCTTCCTGATGTCGTTGGATCAAGCGAGGCTGATGCCCCGAGCCGCCTTGGCTAGTGCGGGTCTGGATCTGGGGAACTGCCGGGTAGCATGGCTTGCCTTGCCTTGATTTGCCTGCCTTGTCTCCCCGATCACGCCGTCGAAGGCTACGAAACGGTCCGATCCCCCCATCTTGATCGTGCACAAAGCGTTCCCCGGTTGGTCCCAGCCTCCTGCCAACCTCCTACCAACCCTGCCCCGGATGCTCAGACATGGGCAGTGCACGAGGACGGGGTAGTATCTATGTTGGATGCCGAGGCTTGCATTTTGATGAGGCTCAACAAATAGCAACATGATCCGAACATCACTGCCGGCCGGATGCTCGATTTGGCCATTTCCTCGCCTATCAGCCATCTCTGACAGCGGTATCGCTGTGGAGGGCCAGCGCGAGGTTCGCCAGCGGTATCCGCAAGCTTCGACGCAGCGCTCATGGCAGGCCACGGCGTTCCAGCAGACGACTTCGTGGGCCGAAAATTCTCTTACCTCGTCGTCGGCGGAGGCACAGCCGGCCTATGCGTGGCGGCACGTCTCAGCGAAGACCCCGACATCACCGTTGGAATCCTCGAGGCTGGTGCTGGCCACATCCAGGATCCTGCCATCGATGTGCCCGGACGCTACGGCGAGGGGATCGGAACTGCATATGACTGGCAGTACGAGACGACAGCACAGCCAGGGCTGGGAGGTCGCAAGTTGCCGTGGCCGAGAGGAAAAGTGCTCGGTGGGACGAGTGCGCTCAACTTCATGACATGGAATCGACCGAACCGCGAAGATCTGGATTCGTGGGCGGAGCTGGGGATTGCAGGGTGGTCGTGGGATGAGATGCTGTAAGCCAGAGCGATCAGACTACAGCCATGGCACTGCGACTTACATACCATCGGAATGGCGTAGACCGTACTATAAGAAGTCTGAGAAGTTCTCTCCGCCCGACAGCGAGGACGTCACAGAGCATCGTCTGGTCCATGATCCAACAGCGCTTGGGACGGATGGGCCGGTGGCAGTGAGCTATTCGAAGGAGTACTCACCCTCTCACCGACTGTGGCACGACACTCTAGCGAACCTCAATGTCCAGACGAATGAAGCCCATCTCTCAGGTTCCAGCATCGGTGCCTGGACAACCATCACTGCGGTAGACGCCGGGTCGCGGACGAGGTCATATGCTGCGCCTGCCTATTACCTCCCCAACGCCGCTCGTCCCAACCTCGTCCTCTGTACCAGCGCCACAGTGACGGAAGTTGTGTTGGAAAATGACCAGAGCGCTTCCAAGTGGGCCGCCAAAGGTGTCCGCTTCCACTGCGAAGGTAAGCAATACGCAGCGACGGCATCTGAAGAGGTCATCATCTGCGCCGGCAGCGTCGCCTCACCACAACTACTCGAACTATCCGGCATCGGTAGCCCTTCGGTGCTCGAAGCAGCCGGGACCCCGGTCAAGATCTCCAACCCAAACGTTGGCGAGCACCTGCAAGACCACATCATGACCGCCACCATCTACGAGATCGACCCCTCCGTGCCGAACCCCGACACCTTACGCAACGACCCCGTCGCCGCAGCAATGGCCGACCACATCTACGCCACCACCAAAGGCGGCCCTCGCACCATTCTCCCGGTCTCACTCTGCTATCTCCCCTTAACTCACTTCGTCTCGCCGTCCCGGCTGTCCTCCCTCGCCGAACGAGCATCCACCGCCACGCCCCGCGATATCGCGCGCAAATGCCGCCTCGAGCAAGCCCAGCGTCTGGGGCAGATAGAATACATCTTCGATGTCGGCAACTGGAGCACCACCATGCCCCCGGAAAAAGCCTCCCAACAGGAAGGTCGAGGTAAAAAAGCCTACGCCACCCTGCTGCAAATTCTCCAATACCCCTTCTCCCTCGGCTCCATCCACATCTCCCCCCACCACCCTCACGGAAAACCGATCATCGATCCCCAATACTACGCCGGAGCACAGGGGCCGCTGGATCTCGAGATCCAAGAACTCTGCGCTCAGTTCGGGCAGAAAATCGTCGACACGCCGCCTTTGCGGGACTTCGTGCAGAGGCGCGTGTGGCCTCCGGAAAACTTAACAGAGGAGGAGGAATTGAGGACTTGGATCGTAGAGAACACGGTCACGGACTGGCATCCGGTCGGTACGTGTAGTATGGGTGGCAGGGAAGGCAGCGAGGCCGGGGTGGTGGATGAGCGGTTGAGAGTTTATGGGGTCGAGGGGTTGCGGGTGGTGGATGCTAGTGTGATGCCGTTGCAGATTGGGGCGCATTTACAGGCGACGGTGTATGCGATTGCGGAGAAGGCGGGGGATATGATTAGGGAGGATAGACGGCGGTAGGATGGCATCTCGCGAGGGTTTTCGCTCCACACTAGATCTACAAGTCGAGCTTTGAGGTCACGATACCTTGGAGTCTACTGACTACGACCTCTTAACCTCAATGAACTTTAGGTTGGACACGTTTGAACTGAACAGAAGAGCACTTCCCATTTCCTCGCTACCGCTATGCCTATGCCTATGCTATGCTATGCTCGCACCACAAGTCGCTCGCCAGCTATGCCATGCCAGTAATCATGCATGCGTTTTGCAAAATCACCGCCCAACGCTGTCTCCCCTACATGCATATCCTCCAACGGAATCAATCTTTTGCCCAAGGTATCAACTCTCAAACCGCAGCACTCGTGCCTGGCCACCCACCAATCTCCCGCTTGACTCCTACGCCAACATGGGCTCCTCCATCCCCTCCTCCGCCCCCAACCCCACCCCACTATCCACAACCCTCTTCCCCTTCTTCCCCTTCACCTTCCTCGCCGCCGTCTTCTTCGCCGCGACCTCATGCCTCGGGACCTGCAACCCCTCCAACTCCACCAACACATCCTCCGCTTCCCGTCCCAACGCCTCGCCATCCTCATCCACAGCCCTCTTGGCCTCCTCCAACTGCCTCCGCAACCCCTCCACCGTATCCATAGATTTGCGCACATACGCTTTGAATTTGCGGTGGACGTCGCTCTTCTCCTGCTCCAGGGAAGCGATGACTTCCTCCTTTTCTTCGGTAGCAGTCTTCCACGTCTCGACTTCCTCTTCCCGAGCGGCGAGGAGCTCGGTGGTCTTCTGCTCCGCTTCGCGGGAAGCGCCTTCGACGCGGACGATGGCGGCTTGCTTGTCCCGCAATTGCGTCTGGAGATCAGCGATCTGCTCGGAGAAGTTGTTCGAGACTTCGAGCATTTGCATCGCTTCGCTTTCAACGCGGCGTTCGAGGCTTGCTTTGTCGTGGACGTGCTCTTCGTTCTCGGCTTCCAGGACGCGGAGGCGGGAGGTCAGGTCTTGGACTTCGGCGGCGTGGTTTTCGGTGAGAGTCTCGTTGAGAGTGGTGGTTTCGTTGACGCGCTGCTGGAGGGCTTGGATGGTGGCGGCGCGGTCGGTCATGATGGTGTCGAGCTCGGCGATTTGGTCTTCCAGGTCGGCGGCGCGGTCATCCTTCTCACGGATCTGGTTCTTGTAGTTGTCTTCGGTCGTGCGAAGGTCATCTTGGAGATTGAGGATCTCTGCGGTCTTCCGCTCAAGCTCCTCTTCCAACTCCTCGATGCGTGCGTCACGCTCGGCAAGCAGGTCCCGCATCTGCTGCTCAACCTCCGTCAATTTCTCTTGCAACTCGCGAAGCTCAACAGCACGCTCTTGAGCCAAGCCTTCAGCATCCTCGCGACGCTTGATCTCGTCTGCCATGTCCGTCTGAAACTCAGCATCGTGTTCCGACATCTGCTGCTCAAGCTCAGCGATACGCTTCCCGTTCTTCGTCTGGATGTCGTGAGCCTTCAGACGAAGCTCGTTCGCCTCCCTGCCTTGCTCGCGAAGTTTGACATTCAACTGCTCGACCTCCTGATCACGCTCATCGAGAGCCTGCTCAGCGCCCTCACGCTGCTCGCGCTCAGTCTGATTCTGCTCACGAAGAGTGGCGAGCTGCTCTTCCATGGCTTCGGCATCCTCCTCAACGCGGGCAATGCGGCCTTCCAACTCTTCGACAGCTGCTTGTGCCTCGCTGAGCCTGTCTTGAGTAGCATCATGACCCTTTGTCTCCTCATCAAGCTCGGCTTGCAGCTCATCACGCTCCTTGGACAGAGCATCGAGCTGGCCTTCGAGAGCTTGAAGATCGTTCTCGGTGGTGGTGATGAGCTCCTGCCTGGTGGAAACCTCCTTTTCAGTCTCCTCACGGCGTTCCGTCTCGGCATCAAGACGACCTTCCAGGTCGCGGATAGTCTCCTCGCGCTCCGCATTCATCGACTGAACCGTGGTTCGGTGCTCCTCCTCCATCGTGGTAATGAGCTCAGTAAGCCTTGACTCTTCAGTCTGGTAATCCTGAAGAGACTTTTGCAGACGGTCCAAAGTCAACTCAAGCTCCGCCTTCTCCTCGTCCAACTGTTGCGTCCTCTCCGCCTCCTCGTCAAAGTCGGCCTGGCGCTCATTCCGCTCTGTCTCAGCCTTCTCCAGCATCTCCTGTAGCTCTTGCATCTCCTCACCCATTGCCTGTTTAGACTCGTCCAACTGCATCAACTGCTCCTGGAGCTCTTGACTCTTGACATCCCTGCCAGCGAGTCGGTCGATGAGGTGGGTGACTTGGTTGCCGAGATCAGCGTTGAGAGTGCCCTTCTCCACCAGCTCCCTGTCGGCGGTGCGCAAGCGGTCGGCAAACTCCTTGACGTTCGCGATCAGGATCTCGACCAGGTCTTCGTTGGAGGCATTCTCTGGCACAGTGCCTGGAAGCTCCTCCTCGAGAAATTCGCGCACATTGTCGAAAGACTCGCGGATGCTGCTGAGGACGTCGAGAGCTGACTCATCCTCTGCGAAGCCGAGCGACTGGACTTCGATGCTGAGGATTTGTAGATCGCCCTTTGCCCTCTCCGCCTCCTTCTGGAATTGCAGGATGGCTTCATGGAAGCGGTGCCTCTCTGCGTCCCAGCCTACACGCAGCTTTGTGGAACTCCTCTCTGAAGCGCTCATCCCACTTGCGTCTGTGATGCGCCTGTTGATGGCCATTGGTGTTGACGGGCCCGGCAGTTGCGGATATGCGATCTCTTCATGGCTGTCCAGGACCAGCATGTCCTCATCAACGGTCTCGGTGACTTCGCTGTTTTGTGAGAATGACCTCTGCGACGACCTCTGCGACGACTCCCTCAGCTCCGCGATCCTCTTCTCAAGCACAGCATTGAGCGGCTTGAACTCCCACTCCGACACGATCTTGACAGGATCGACTTCGCCATCCTGCGACAGCACGGCCGGCAGCGATGTGCGCGACTCCTTGACCCGCTTGGAGTCGCCCAAGTGCGGCGAGAGCGTTCTACGCTTCACCGTCATCTTCGCGCGCGGATGAGGAGTGATGAAGGAGGCGGTCGCGTGGTCCGGGTCGACGTTCTCGGTGTCGCTGCCGAAGTGCACGTGCTTGGCGGAGGTTTGTGACTGTGTAACCTCGATCGAATCGGTGACAAGCTCACTGTCACGTTCACCTCTGGTGGTGTTGTCGCAGTGAGGGGGGTCTCCGAGGTCTCGCATCACTTGTTCCTGCTCGTCGATTTCCACGATGGCTTCATCTTCAGGCTCTGCGGCGGCCTTGCGCTTGCGGCGCTTTGCTGGAGTCTTCACATCATCGACGACGCTTGACGGCGCATCAGAGATGTTGCTAGTATCGCTGTGGCGCCGCTTGCGTCCTGACGTGCGCATTGGGCGCGAGGGTTCTGGTTGACTTGCTGACGGGGGCTTGGATGCTGCTGCTGCCGCCTTGGATTTCTTGGGCGGCATCGCTGCGGGTGTGATGTTGTTGTACAGATGTGGTGAATGTTATGTGCGTGTGAGCAAGGTGTAGTGAGCAAAGGTGGTGGTAGCAAGAGCTGGCGAAGGATTGGTGTTTTCGGAAGTCTGGGAAAAATGGGATTAGGTTCACGCGCGTGACGTAGGACGCGTCGAGCTCCAGCCACAATTCAATCTCAGGGACTGGACATGGAGGCAGGTTTTGAAACAACTTCACTTCACACATCGATGATGAGAGTCAATCAACTCACGCGAGATGCTGCTGGCGACGCGGCCAGCCAACAAAGGGGATGACGGGTCGACGTTCCGCCGCGAGCAAGGCCAAAATGTGACACATGTCCCCCGTATTCACCACCTACACCTCCTCCCCAACCCCCTTCTCCGCCACGAGCACCGCGACCCGGTCACCTTCCTTCTCCTACGCTGCTGTGCGCTACATCCCCGGGAGAAGCCTGCAATCTTCATCCCAGCTTCTCCTCTCGCCGCGAATTGCCTGGCCATGGAGATTTCCCCAACACCCAGCTCTCGATAAACGGTGGCAGTATGTGCACATCTTCTCACCGCCGTGGGCGAACATCTTGCACTGAAAGCAGGGTGACTGGTGCACATCATGCACGATTACAGAGCGAGAGCAACCTCGAGAGTCTCCTTCATACGTCCAGTCCAGCCCCTTTGACCCTACCTACAGAGTATTCACAGAGCAGTCTTCGATCAGGTCAAGTGCTGGGGCCGGTCTCATCTGCTCGCCAACGCGAACATGGGCCGTGTCATATGCATGGGCATGGCTTACTGTTCCTGGCTGGCGTGGGACGAGTGATGAGATCTCAAGGCTGCTCTAGCGTTGCTGCGAGCGCGCTTCAATGTCCGTTGGGGTGCAGCAAAGAGAAGCAGCATCGAGCTCAACTTCACTTCATCGCGCGAGTCTTTGTCTCGGAGATGGGACGGCATGGCGAACTTTGATTGGGGTAGTCTTACGACTGCTTCGGTGAAGCATGAGATTCCAGCGTGGTGCGTCAGCGAGAAGAACACACGAGCAGAATGGTCTCCTCGAGCACCAATATCAGCATGGGCAGGTAAGGTAAGCACTGCTTCGAATCCCTCATTTGAGTTCCTCGCAACTCTGGTTCACCCCCGCCTTCATCCTTGACTTCACTTCACAAATGGTACTGATCTCGCGCCCTTCACTTTCACTTTTTAGTCTACTTCCACTCTACTTCCACTTCACTCACTTTCTATACCACACTTCACTCCACTCCAACCCCCGGCATTGTCATCAGCGCCCGTCTCCAGCATATCGCCGCTGTCCTGCTCACCACATTGTACGCCAGCCATGGCGAAAGCAAATCCCGGTGAACCTAGGCCAGCACAAATCAAATGGACTGAAGACATGCGCCTTACCCTCGACGTACTAATGCTGGACTTTAACTTTGACCGCGATACTGCAGTCGCGCTCTTCTCAGGCATGTTCAAAGACCATCTACGAAAGTGTAACGATCCCGAGGTCAATTGGCGCAAGCTGCATGTCCAGCATAAGGAGAAGAAGAGGGAAGCTGATGCCGGACGAATGCGCAATTGGGGCTTCTGTATGTTGACTGATGAACATGCTTTTGCCCGACGCAATGCCGTCAAGGCAAAAATCTCAAAGGCCAAAAGGGAGCTCAGCACGGTCGATACGCCACCGACAACCTCACGCACAACGCCAGCTGCGAGACCGAAGCCTGTCACATCCGCCGCGAACGCCAGCAAGAAGATTACCCTCCCGACACCTCCTAGTTCGGCCAGCACACCAAGAACTTCGCTACCCAGGAATGTCAGGTCGACTTGGAAAAAGAGATCAGCTTCGATCGCCTCGCTCACGGAATCGGAAGACGAGCTGGTGGTCACGCCCCCTCGATCCAACAAGGCGAGAAAAGTTGTTACTGCAGTCTCTCCGAACCAGCCAGCAGACCCGCCAGCCACGCCAGGTTCTCGAACGCAAGCGCTGAAGACTTGGCGGGAGAGCCGAACGGATGCGACGGAGTATGTCGAGATCAGACCCGGCAAGGGCGCATGGCTGTCAATGGCGCGCGCAATTGACGCACGAGGCCCCCCGGTATGCCCTCACGATGACAAAGCGCATCCGAACGTCACCGGCCTGATGTACCGCGTCTACGACGAGCAGAGCCAGTCTCCCTTATCACCGCATGGCTTTGTGGCCGGTCGTCACGCGTTAACGCTAAGGCTCCCTGCTTCTCCACCACCAACAAAGCAATCCCCTGCATGGATTGACATGGCTGTAGGTCTACCATCCTCCACATATGGTGCAAGACTGACTTCCGAGTAGTTGCATCTCAATAGAGACAAAGTTCACACGCCGTTCGTGTCGTGCTCGATCAATCTGATGTGGACCCTGCGTCTCGCTCTGGAGGAAGGGCAGCGAGGGCGCGAGAAGAAAATTTCTATCATCGACAGCAGCCGCCTCGAGCGCAAGAAGGTGTTCTGGGCAAGACCTTTCCACGCAGCACTGTGCAAGGTCGTGCAGTTCACAAGTGAGTCTCACCCCTTCTCCGCTTCGCGAAGGGGATGCTTGCTAACCCAGCCGCTGCCATCAGAGGGCGCATTCTACTACCACGGCAAATGGGAATTCATGATCTACGACCGCATCCCACGCAACGCCGTCATCAAAACCGTCTCCGTGCAGGACATCTACGACCTCGCGTCCCGCCTCCCAGACGTCGGCGCGACGCTTCGCCTGAACCAGATCGCGAAGCTCAATAAAGGCTACCTCAGTCAAGTCCTGCCGGCATTGAAAGCACAGAACATGAAGCTCACCGCACCCGTCATCAAGAGCATCGCCCGCATCGCCGAGTTCCTCGGCGTCGGCCATACCTTCCCCCTGTTCGTCAGCGGTATCGTCTCCGACGTCATCTCCGAATGGGGCATCGCCGTCTGCCGCCAGACCGAGCAGGAGTGGCTCGCGAAAGCGGACATCTTCGCCACAACCATATGCAGCGGCGAGACCGTGCGCTTAAAGGACTTCTACCTCATGAAAGCGGCGTTCCGGGACGGCGTGCGCTGGGGCAACGCGAGCGACTATAACCCGCGCTTCGAGGTGGCCAAGACGAACCGGGCGGTGAAGAAGGCGGGGACGGTGGGCTTGGGGGGCTCGATGAAGCCGCTGACGGATGAGCTGGACGCGGCTAAGTTGGGGTTGATGGTGTTTGAGAGAGAGGTGCAGAAGAGTTTACCACAGGGAGCTGGCGGCAGTGGCAGTGGCGTGAGGCGAGCTTTGCTGGAGAACGTGGGCGACGATGAGATGGATGAGGCAGACGACGTGGCGGAAAACGACGACAGCGGCTTCGACGAAAGCATGTTCGCTGACGACCGAGCTGCCGACGACGACGATGGCGATGATGACGATGGAGAAGATGCGCTCCGGCAGTTCCGAGGAGAATTGATGAACGACTCCGATGACAAGAGCAGCGTGTACGAGCTTTGAGCAGGTGGTGTGGAAGATTATTGTTCTCTCCGTTCCGGACTGCAGAGCTGGGTGCGCTGGATGCTGGACATCTTGTGGACGCTTGATGGAGGAGGGGTGATGGTACGGCTTCTTTGTGAGGGTTTAAGGCGTTTGTGGCAGGCGTTCGGTGTAGGGCACGAAGAGTAGTGTACTTTTCTCAAAACGTCGGGCAAGAGGAACATGTTATTCATATATCGCTACGTAAGGCTACCAACGGCTCCAACCAGTTGAATCAAGCCAACGTGATGCCCAACAAAAGAAAATTAAAAAGACTAATACTTAATAACGAAAGCTTCTCAAACCTACCGCTAGCAGGTTGGGCCAAGCACTACACTCAGTCCCTCGCGACTGGGCACAGCAAGATTGACCCGCTCAGATAGCTTTGTGCGCAGGCAATGAGCATACGATGCACTTCTCCCCCATTGCAGCAAGCCGGACTTACGAGAGCGACAAAGCTTCTCCGGTGCAACGTCTGCCGGTGGCAAGCGAGGCGAGGCGTGGGGAGACTTTGTGTTGCGGATTCAATCGTCTGGAGTGCCGACGGTGAAGTTGTGATGTACCTGCAGAGCGTCAGCACGTGCCAGCTCAAAAGGGTGCACACCTCAAAAGCCAAGCGAAATGCGCCACGGCTTCGACCCGTATGTCGTGCGACCAGCAATGCTGGCGGCGGCGCTTCCTGTATTGATGCCGATTTACAAGGCGTTTTCGGAGCGAGGCGAGGCGATACTCCACGGACCTGAAAAAGGCGGTCGAGTTGAGAATGTTGTACAAGCGAGGTATAGCGTCACGGAAGATGTTGAAGGACTGAGAGAGGCGCAAGATAGTGCTGTCTGACAGGCGAGCGAGCAAGCGGCGTCAAAGCGGAGAGCGAAGCTCAATCGAGGATCGAATGTTGTTAGTGGCGAGGCAGGCGACGAAGATGGCGAGCTGAACAGCCGAACCGCACGGTGTAGGTGTGAAAGGGGGAAGCACTGAATCCGTTTCTATCGAAAAGTTGACGCCCGCCGAATGCCGCAGCATGCACTGGTGTCCATTTCATCGGAAATTCGTCCGAAAGAAGCATTCCCCATCTGATAGTAACACATGTTGCAAGTCGCATCGCACCGAGCCGAAGTCAATGGAAGCTGTAATGTTACAGTTTGCCGTGCCGCCTTGCATGAATGAACCCGAGTCGTGCAGTCTGAAAGCTTTTCTGGACCTGCTGTCTCCGCAGTCTCCTTTCGCCGATCGTAGAAGAGCAGCCCACTCGCGCCCTCCTAAGTTAGTAGTCAAGTGAGCAAGCCCTACCTCTGTCCGCCGCTTAATCGTAGGCACGGCGACGGTCGTCGTAGTCGCGTGGTGGCGGGGCATCACGAGCGGCACCTCCGTACCCAGCGGCGTCCGGTGGTGGTCCACGAGGAGCCCTGTCGTACGAGCCGTAGCCTCCGCCGCGCCTGTCCTCGTACCTGTCGCCGCCGCCGTAGCGATCTCCTCCGCGGTAGTCGTCGCGTCTTCCGCCGCCGTACCCGCGGTCGTCGTATCTATCGCGGTAGCCTCCACCACCTCCACGGCGGTATTCGTCGCGCCTGCCGTAGCCGCCGCGGTCCTGTGATAGAAGTCAGCACAACGCATACCGCCAATAGTGAATGAAGCAAACTCACGTCGTAGCGGTCGCGGAATCCACCACGGCCTGGAGGACGGTCATCTATAACAGGTGTCAGCAGTGCCAGATCACTACCCAAAAGGTAGCAGGGGTCGAGCGGACAGGGATCGTAGTAGTAAGAACGTGGTGGGGGCGGACCTCTCTTTGGTGGTCCGAAGTATTTGCCGGGCGTCGGAGTACGCGGCCTGGCACGACGCGCCTTCTCGATGCTCAGCGTCCTGCCCTCGTACACTTCTCCTTGGAGCGCTTCCTTGGCTGCGTCGGCGCCTTCTGCGGTCACCATCTTCACGAATCCGAAGCCACGGCTCTCGCGGGTGTGTGGGTCCTTCATGATGTTGCACTTCTCCACGGTGCCGTACTTCTCGAACAGCGTCGCGACCTCGTCTTCACTGAGGCGTGGGTGGATGCCGGTGACGAAGAGGTTGGAGCCTGGGTTGGCGGCGCCGTCGTCGTGGCCACGCTTCTCCGGCGGGTGGTCGCTGTGAAGGATGTCAGTAGCTATTCGCACGCGCTTGTCGGAGGATGAAGTGAACGTACCGCTCGCCGCGCCCGTTGGCCGGCTCGTCGCGAATCCTGGTGTCACCGTCGCGGTCCGGGCCTGGAGAACGCGAGCGCTCACGTCCGTAGTCGCGGTCGTCTGGAGCACGTGTCAGCGGCGGCTCGAAGACTGCGCGAGGAGACATATTGATGCTGGGGGGTAGAAGCTGTTCTCACTATGTCCAGGGTGGCCACGAAAGTGGTCTGGCTCGCGATTGCTGTTGCGCGGGGAGGTGTAGGTCTTACCTTCGTAGCCGCGCTGCTCTTCGTTGTACGTGTCCATGTCAGCCATGTTCACGTGAGCTCTGGGTGGGTGTTGTTCGGTGACTGTGAGTTAGTGAAGGCGGTCGGCAGAGGATGTTCTGTGGTTCAGAAGTTGGTGTCGCAAGTGTGAAAGTTGCTTGAAGCCAGAACGTGTTAAGGGACCGGCCGGGATCAGCCGCGCGCTAGCAAAAGCCAAGATCCAACGTCACGTGTCTGTTCAACCAGAACAACGACAATGCGATGTGAATGTGCGTTGTGGCAGGGCATGACAAGGCATTGCAGGATGCACAGAAGTATTATATGTGGATCTGCTACCGCACTCTAAAGCCGTTCCGTGAGATGCTCAAGACGATGATGAACCCGTAGATTGCATGTGTTATACATAGGCCATTTTCACTTCATTCCTTTCACATGATATACAAGCCCCCTAACTCCCTTGAAGCTCTCCAGCCATCCCACCCATCGTAACCGTCTTAATAATTTGATACTCATCAATCCCATACTTGCTCCCCTCCCTTCCGAAACCACTGTGCTTCACCCCACCAAACGGCGTCGCCGGATCCGAGATCAAACCCGTGTTGATCCCGACCATACCCGTCTGAATCGCCTCCGCGACTCTGTAACAGCGCTGGATGTCCTTGCTGAAGAAGTACCCAGCAAGCCCGACCTCGGTATCGTTCGCCATCGCCACGACGTCGGCTTCGGATTTGAACGGGAAGAGGCCGGCTACCGGGCCGAAAGTTTCTTCGTGCGCGAGTTGCATGTCGGACTTCATGTCGCGGATGACGGTAGGTTGGAAGAAGTTGGGGCCGAGGTTGGGCATCTCCTGGCCGCCGAAGAGGACTTTGCCGCCTTGCTTGACTGCGTCGTCGACGTGGGCTTTGGCTTTGCTGACCGCGCGGTCGTGGATGAGCGGGCCGTGGGTCACGCCGTCTTGGTCGCCTGCTCCGACTTTGAAGTTCTGTACCTTTTCTGTGAAGGCTGTGGCGAACTTGTCGTAGATGCCTTCTTGGACGTAGATTCTGTTGGCGCACACACAAGTCTGGCCTGAGCCACGGAACTTGGACGCAATGGCTCCGTTGACTGCAGTGTCGAGGTCCGCATCGTCGAAGACAATGAAAGGTGCGTTACCGCCGAGCTCGAAGGAGAGCTTCTTCAGCGTGTCGGACGACTGCTTCATGAGGATCTTGCCAACGCGTGTTGAGCCGGTGAACGAGACTTTGCGGACGGTTTCAGAGGAGGTGAGGGCCTCGCCTACTTCGGCTGTATTGTCGAGTGCCGTGATGATGTTGACCACGCCTGCTGGAATACCAGCGCGGTGGGCGAGCTCGGCAAGCGCAGCGGCCGTGAAGGGTGTCTCGCCTGGTGATTTGGCCACGACTGTGCAGCCTGCTGCGAGTGCTGGGCCAATTTTGCGGGTAATCATGGCGGCAGGGAAGTTCCATCTGGAGGCATTCTATCAACACAACAGGTTTCTTCCCGCCGCTGGGGGCGATACTCACGGTGTGATCAACCCAACCACGCCCACCGGCTCCTTCGTAGTGAACACACGGTTGCCCACCACACTCGCCGGAATAGTATCGCCATAATTCCTGGGAGCCTCTTCACTGAACCACTCGAAGAAGTTCGCCGCATACGTGACCTCGCCTTTGGCATCCGTCAATGGCTTGCCATTCTCCCATGTAATGAGCCTTCCGAGGTCGTCCGCGTTGTCCATCATCAATTGGTACCACTTCCGCAACATCCTCGCCCTCTCCCTGCCCGTCGTCTTCCTGAACGAAGGGAATGCCTTCGCAGCAGCATCAATGGCAGCCTGTGTATCATCCTTGTTCATCTCCGGCATCGTGCCGATATCTTTGCCTGTCGCTGGGTTCGTCACGGCGAACGTCTTGCCGGACTTTGCATCGACCCATTGTCCATTGATATATGACTTTTGTATGAAGAGCGACTGGTCCTTCAGCGTGGGCGCGTTGCTGGTAGCCATTGTGGCTTTGAGTATTCGTGGATGGTTGGTTCGTTGGATGTGAGAGCGGATTACAGGTCGGGCGGAGAGTGTGGAGCAGAGTGCTTTTCTCATGGTTGCAGGTGTGAGGGGGCTACAAAGAGTGTTTATATCATCGTCACCAGCGGGGGTTTAAGAGGTCATGCAACGGTCATGCAATGGGATGGAGAGCTGTTGAGCTGTTCCTGCCAATTCGGGACGTCGGCCGCGAGATGACGTAGCAAGGTCGTCTTCCTCCCTTTCTCCCGATCTGCTCCCTCTTCTCTTTTGGTCTTTCACATGTCAACCTCTCAGGCCAAGCTAGGAGACGTCGGTAGGGAGATGGTAAGGTAAGGCGTTGAAGGCGTTCGATGTCCGGATTGGCAGTAGGTCTCATAGCACATGCACGAACAAGCACAAATCTATTTATTCACTGTCTTGAAAACACCATATGGCAAACACAAACAGCAGATGATATACAGAACAGTTCTATTTATTCGGTCTCAAAGCTGACGACATGGCATCTTCGCTCGGTCTGGACGACAATCGCTTTCATCGTCAACCACACCCCACACATTGGATGACGAGCCTGCACCCAGCACGCCTCTTCTAATCATCATTACCGTCTCGAAGGAGGAGACGCCAGATCCCCATCCCTCGCCGCAGGAATCAGACGGACTTCATCGTCAGTAGAATACGCCGGCGCCGGCGTGTACATCTCATGCTCATACTCCGTCCGCTCCCTCGCTCCCCCCTCCGGCGCCCTCGAAGCATACGGTCCCGGCGGCGTCCCCGACCAGTCACTCACCAAATTCTGGTAGTTCGTTCCACGCCGTGCGAAAGGCGGTAGTCTCGATGCCTTTGGTCTGACGCACAGAGCGAATATGCGGACGACGCCAAGGAGGAGCTCGATCGGGTTCATGGAGTCGATGATGGCGGAGAAGAGAGGAAGAGGTTGTTCACTCCTTCTGGCGGTTGAGGAGTACTCGGTTGAGGAGAAGGCGTACCAGTTGATGGCGCTGAAGAGGACCATTTCGGCTGAAAGTAGGGCGTAAGGGATGCCGTACGTCCAGTCGCCGCACTGGTATGTCTGTCAGGTTCTCTAGTCTTGGATGATGCGGCAATTGCTTACTGTGAGTATCTCATCCGGCACGATGACTTCTTGGGTAAGGAGGATGTTGAAAATCAACTACACCATGTCAGCCTGTCCTGCCCTTGCAACTCCCAGCAGATCAGCTGTGCTCACATTCTGTATCAACCCAACAAACACAACCCCCTTCAGCGTAGCGAGCTTCATCACCGCCCTCCTCACCTTCATCACCCCGCTCATCCGTCCATAAAAATGGACAATCGAGAAGAAACACGTAACCACAGCCACCGTTCTAATCAACGTAACCTAGAAATTCCCGAAACGCGGCCTCATAGAGCTAGCACAGAAAGTCCCTCTCGCCTCCGTCACGCTCTCAATAGTATACGCCACCGCCTCAGCAACCGGCAGCTGAAAGACTGCAATCCACGTCCCCATCGGCCAATCCGCCCTATCGCGCTTCCGGTTCTTCACCGTAGCCATGACTAAAGCGGCGAACATGTCCTTTCCAAAATTCGCTCCGGGAGCGGCGAACTGCATGTACAGCAAGAACAGCGCTGCGAGGGAGAAAGCAGCGTACAGCTCGGCTAGTGGGACGACGTACGGTGCGATGTAGTAGTCGGACATGGCTGCTACGGCAATGATGGAGAAGACGACGGGAGTGAAGACGATCTTGACGATTTGGCGTTGTTCTTTTGGGACGCGGTAGCGGCGGAAGTGTTGGAGGATGAGGATGAGGCTGATGAGGAGGGTAAGTGCCATGCAACCTATCGTCACGGCGAAGCTGTGTGGCTGTTAGCGAGAGGTGAAAATATGTGGTTACGTCTCACTTACATGAGGTTGTACTCAGAGCCTCGTGCGTACTCTGTATGCTGTCCCGGCACCGTTGGGCAGGTGTACTCTCTGCGGTCGTTGTCTGAATAGCTCATTGTAGTAGCTGCTGATTTTAGATGGGGTGATCACGGATGGAAAGACGATGATGTTAAAGATGAGGTCGCCCGCTCGTGAGTGGATGGAACAGATATACCATTCGCAAGCGCATTGTGAGCACCTACCTTTTTAGTTGTTTTCGGAAACTCGACAGCACCAGACCATCCACCGGATTATGGCACTTTGCAGCCAACTTCAGCTGAACGCGGTGCGAGCGGGTGTGTAGCTGGAAAGCGAGCAACGGCCGCATTTAGTAGATCCAATCAGACCGGACGAGACTCAGATGCCTCCTCCGTGGACATGTTGGCAGGCAAGGCTTGGTGATCTGTCCGAATCTGGCAGGCGTGGTCCATGGAGACCGCGGAGCTGAGGTCAATGAGTATGGCCGCCAAGCATGAGAAGTCATTTGCACTCAACATTCGTCCGGATGCTTTAGACGAAGACGGCACAGTGCCCAGAGGCGCCATCATTCATACTTGAACAGCCTCTCCACGTATGGCTGCAAAATCGTACATTGGTCAGCTATCACCTACTTACAGCGTTCCTGCGCCCATTCCACACATCATCATCCTCATCCGAGCTCTCCTTCACTTCATCCTTCATCAATTCCTCACCCCCCGAATGGTGACGAGGAGCCCTCCGTCGAGCGCGAAGTGAATGCTACTCATCCTCGCTCTCCTCCGCAGCGCCGCTCGAACCACTCGCCTCAGACTCCCCGTCTTCCTCGTAATCCTCATCATCCGCTCCAGCCTCTTCATCAACCTCCATGAGATCGAACCGCGGGTCGTCAGATATATTAAATTCCTGCAACCGCCGTCCGGCTTCCCTGAACTGGTCGACGGCTGACATCTCAGCCTGTCTCTCTTGCTGCTGGGGCTTCCTGCCGGCTCCAGTACGTGCTCCGCCTCTCCTCGCTTTCCCCTTGCCTCTGCAGATGGCAGGCCGGTCAACGGCTTTCGCCCTGAGGTTCCCAACCTCGTCTTCGCTCTCATCGTGGTCGACGAAGTCTTTGACAAGATTAACGTTGCGCACGTGTGGTGCAGACTTCTCCTGCTTCTTCCCGCCGAGCTGTTCATCCGGAAACTTTGGACCATAGTCAAAGAACAGCTCCTGCCCAGCTGCGATGGGGCGGTTAGCATATAAGGCGATCCGGTGGACTGCGTTGACCATGATAATCCTGGGGTAGAGGTTGGCCTTCGATCTAGAAGCGTGATTGATGAACCGTACTTTGTTCCCGAAGTAGGTGCTGTCGATCTCCTGGGTGAGGTTGAGCTGGAATAGGTACGTGAGCTTCTGGTGCTCGTACACCGCACCACGGCGCTCGGCTTCTTCCTTGGTGATGATCTCGCCCTTGTACTCTCCGACGAACTCATTCTCGCGAATGTTCTCGCAGGCGTACAAGCCCAGGCCGTGAACACCGCTATCGCCCAGCAAGGTCTGCTTAGGCACACCACGCTGCATGCCGGCATTGCGACATCTGCCGGACAGAACGCTATCATCGTGTCTGTTTAGGGGGTCAATGACTTCACACACGCCGCAGGTGCCGCAGAGATCTGGATCGCATTCTCGGCCATTGAAGAAGCAAGCGCATTCTGAATCATTGAAGCACTTTGACCCTTTCTTCGCGCATGAGCAGCCCTGAAATCGTCTATTGCACTGTGGGCTACAAGCACACGTCTTCTCGCATGGTCGGCACTCGTTGTAACAACTGCATTCGGCCTCCTCGCAAGAGCTTCCGGGATGAGAGCAGGGGTAGAAGGGGCCGAGCTGGTCAGGTTCCTGGTACAGTCGATCGTTGCGCCAGTAGGTTGCATCTTTCTTCCTCGTCTTTGAACGAAAGTCAAACGAAATGGCGGTCGTCTCTGGCGAAGCCGGCGGAAACGCTACCCGCGTGCGGTAGTTCGACCTAGGCGGGTTGACGATATCGGTGGCCAGGACTTTGTCCTTTTCGGCGGTGGTATCTGATTCACTGTCATCTTCCGGACGCTCGTTCAGCTCGCCGTGGAATGGACAGCCCACGCGGAGACACAATCTGCACGTGAGCTTCGGAGAGGGTTCGTCTGACTCTGCATCCTGGCTGACAGGGTTCGCTTCATCACTCCTTCGCGCGACATGCCAGATATTGAACTTTGCCATCTTCTCAAAGTTGTCGCACAAGAAGCCCACCCTTGCCCTTTTCTCAGGGGTGGTTGGCGGCAGAGCAGCGAGGATTGCCTCCGAGCGCGAGCTCCTTGCGGAGAGATTGTGAATCTTGCGCCTCTTCTCCTCCTCCTTCTGCTGCTTTTCAGTCGGCTCTTTTGCTGCCCATGCTTGTTCCTTCTTCTCTTGCTCCTCGATCAGATAGCGGAGCAGGTCTGACCAGGAACACTCAAGATCCTGTAAAGTGTCGTTCACGTAAGGCTCATACTGCTGCGCTCGCAGCAGCAAAAGCAGCTTCTCCTCGCGCAAGTCTATGTCGAGGTTGTACTGCTCATGTAGGTTCTCAGCCTGCGCCATCTCAAAGTCGTCGCCGAAGTACGGCCAGCAATGTAGATTCGTGACGTTTGGGGCGAGCATGTTGTGCTGAATGCCAACGTAGTGTGCGTAGTTCGCCACATCCCTCTTCTGCGTTGCAAATGAGGTGTACCGCACGTTCATGCTCGTCACACCCAGAGCTTTCCCGCCAGGACCGATCTTTTCCACCTGCCACATCTGCTGCTTGTCACCAAGCGCAACCTTCTTCTGCGGAGGCAAGGAGTTGATGGGCTTCATGCTCGCAAAAGAAACAGCAGGTGTGGGCTGACCTTCGTTGCGGCTCACCTTCTTCAGTCGAGCCCGTTGAAGGAAGGTAGCAGCCCAGTACTCATTGTCTCCACGCATCTGTTCAAGATGCTTGCCAAGGACCTTTTCTACTTGGCTGGTGAGTGGCAGATTCGCGTAGATGGAGGTTTTCATGGCAGACGCAGCAAACGTGGGTACTGCGAACTTCGGTGGCGCCGTAGTCATAGGTAGCTGGTGCTCAGCTCCTTCCATGGCTTCTGTTCTAAGCTGCAAGTCCGCTTCGTCACTGGCGGAATGCGTGCGGCTGAGGAAGTCAGCCATATGGTCTGGCGAGCGAGACCGAGCAGCTCGCTCGTCTGCAGCTGTACTGTTTGGAAGGGGTTCCTGTGGCGCCTTTTGGGGAATCGTCGCCGACATCTCGAGAAAAAGCTGGTCTTTCGGAGTTGGCGCGCGCCCGTCAAGATCCTCGCGACTGTCCAGAGCCGATAGTTTCGACAGCCTCTTGCCCTGAATCTTGGGATCTGGGTCCCAGTGCCCGTTTGACTTTGATCGACTTGCATCATTGAGTGCACCGTCTGAGGTTCCCGCATCTGACCTGGAACCACTGGCTTTCCGCGGGCTGTCACGAAGCACACGAGCAGCAGCGCCTGCTGAAGTGCTCTCCCCACGGCTACGTGGCTCTTGAGCTTGAACGGCCAGTTCCGGATCCGCAGGCTTGCTTGCACTCGTAGGATATGACACATCATCAAGTGCCAGGTCTGCAGTGTATGAGGACTGCGCCATCTGGGAACCCTGCAGCCGTGGATCTGTAGTGCTTGCGGCTTTTGGTTGGCTCGACCTTTCTGCTGTTGACAGATTTTCTTGTCGATTGTCGAAGACTTGTCGCAAGTGACCGGGCTGTCTAAGTATTCGACCAACAGTGCCAGGACTCTCGGTTCTTGCTGCCTGCTCCTTTCGTGCAGAATAAGAGAGGCTGCTCCTGGTAGAATCCTGTGCCAGATCTCCGTCAGAATGCACCTTAGAGCTGCTACGCAGTTGTTCCCGATTTTTGCGAGGAGAAGCTCTGGTAGAGGGCGTTCCTGGACCTGGACTCTCGCCACTGACAGGAATTCCCACCCAGCTTCCTGCCTCTTTTTTGAACGCGGTTGGGCGACCTTCTCTGTAGGGCCTGCCATTCGCGAGCTGGCTTCTCTCCGTTCTGGAGGGGCTTGGTGACAGAGCCTGAGGATCTCGTCCAGGAGATCTCCGGATTGGTATGTCATGGTCGGGGTTAAGAGGTCTTGATGCTTGTCTCTTGGGCGGTGGCGAGGACGTCAGATCAATCGTCTGCGCGCTCGTTATCTTCTTGCTCCTTTCCATCATTGCCGTTGACTGCCTGACCGCTTGTGAGGGTGATCTGAGGAGCGGCCGGCGCAAACTCTCACCCCCGGTCTTGGCCTTTTTTCCCGTATTTACATCGCTGTGGAAGCTCGTTTGATCAACAGGGCGCTTCAAAGGATTCTTCTCACTCGATTTCGATGATTCTTGAGAAGTCGCATCTTTGCTCGGAGACTGTTGCGAGCTACTGCTGTCTCCAACCCGCGGCATCTTGAAGACCGGTGTTGTCGAAGTAGTCGCGCCGTTGTCGCTCAGAATGATGGGCTTAGGACTTTGCTGTGAGCGTTTGTTCTGGCCCAGTGGAGACGTCAAAGGCTCGCTTGCCTTAGGCTTTGGAGATGTTCTCGACTGTACGCGATGCTCCCCGTTGCGGAACACTTCGCCGTTCGTATGTCGTTGTTTGCTATTAGAATTTTGGCCGTTCCCCGGTACGCTTGACGTCCCGACACCATTCCTAGAAGATGCTGCGCTCATTGAGCTCTGTTTGCTGATGGCGGGCTTGGAAGCGGGCTTTCTTGTAGCACTTGTTCCTGCCTGCCCACCTTTGTGCGACTTCGCAAAGGAAGCAGCAGGCGCGTCGTCATCGCTAAGGGTCAGATCGACGACGTCCATTTTCTTTGCGGAAGTCATTCTGGCTAGCAGCGACTCTGCGAGGTCCAAAATGCCAGTGTCCCTCCCTGGACAGCTTTGAAACTGGGTCGTCTGCAGCTCGCCCACTCCGTGCTGTGTTCAAGATACACCAGCATTCAGGCCTCCAGAAAGCGCCGTCGCGCAAGATTGTGAAGTCTCGTAGCGAGTCCGTCTTCAATTCAGTAAAGTATCTGTCGGGTGAATGTCAGCATTCATGTCACTTTTTCATGCACACGGTGCCTGCGGACCTGCCGATCTTTGTTCACCATGTTGGCTCGCCGACGACTCCTTCCGCCACAATGCAATCCATGTTTAAAGTGAAGGTGTGGATGGCATATGGCAGCAGAACACCTTTGGCTAGCACGCTGGAGTCGAGATGGTGCTCGATCGCAGTGGTTGGAGGGTGAATGGACCGTGTGAAGTCCACGAACGCGACTCGAGTTTGGGAAGTAGTGCAGGAAGGGCTAGCGCGCGGCCACTGCCGAGCAGCCAATTATGTGTAAGCCACATGGAAGAAGGCGCGACACAGCTGCAGAGATCAGACGGCCCATGAGAGAAGAGCAAAAGTGAAGAGCCTATGAAGTATAATCTATACACTCGAACGGACAAGTCGTCCAGCTCTGTGTTCTACCCAAAGCATCTATCATTTATCCGTGGCGTCATGAGTAAGCTGATAACGCAGCGACAATTCAATCAATGTCCTCCAGCTGCGATCCCTCGCCGCCTGAACCCTCTGACACCATGACACCAACCATGCAAGAACCCAGCATATTCTCCCAGTTAACCCACGGATGGACCTCCATGAATAACTTCGTCCCATCTCTCCCAGCCGCTTTCATCAACTCATCTCTCCCGCCCGGGTGGAAATCCAGATAAGGCGTGATGTTGTACACCTTGCCCTGCCAGCTACTCCACGCGGGCTTGCCTTTGCGGCCAGTCATCTTTTTAAGCATGCTGGGTGTGACGCGCTGGAACGTGCTGACGCCGCTGAGATTTGATTTGCGAGTGAGAGCTGCCCAGTCCATAGGGGAGTGGCCAGGGGAGAGCAGGACTTTGCCGCGAGGGTTTGGAGTTGATGTGGTGCTGGTTGGAGCGAGAGAGTTGCCACTGTTTACACGCTGCTGGCTGTGGGGTGGGGGCCCACGGTTCGGTAAAGGACCTGTTGAGGGGACACGGAGGCCGGATGCTGGGCTTGGTGGTGGTGCCATGGATGGTCTCGCGGGTGGTGGCATAAGACTTGCTGCGTTCGATTGCTTTGTCATGGGTTTAGCAGTCAATGGCGCCGGCGGTTCGAGGACTGGCTTCGCAGGTGCCGACTGGTTACTTGCAACGGATCCGCTGGAGCTTTTACCATTATGCCGATCACCGTTGAGGAATAAGGTCGGCACGCTCGAGCTTGCTTCAGTAGCTGTCGCCTTGGGAGTCGTTTCAGCATCCTCGCTCTCAGGTTCGTGGAGCTGCACCTGAACCTGGAGACTGTCCCGTTCGCTGCTGTCAGGGGCTGGCTTCTCTTGCTCTGAAGGTGCTCCTCGAAGCCACTGCGGCAGGTAGTCCAGCATTTTCAGATGATGGCGATATGCCAGAAAGAACATTGATAGCAGCACAGCAACGAGGCTCCAGTGAGACATAGCCTGTCTGTTACGGGGTCTGAGAAGCAGGTGGCAAAGTCAGGTGGGGTCGCACTGAGAGCGGCCGTGGTATTCTTGATGCCCGCATGGTGGCCAGTCAACGCGACATTTCCCGTGACCAGATTGATCAACTCCTTTCCTTGTTGTATCGTCGGAATCGTTATATGGAGACGAGGGAATGGGAAGGCAAGTTTGCGGGCGGAGTTGGTGAAGTCTGAGCTTTTGAAGTCACCTGACCCTAGCGTTGGACCACATCCTACATCGCATGATGAGACGACTCAACGACGATCAGGTCTCCCACTAAGCCACTCAATATGATACCAAGAAGTCTGGCTCTCCGCATACTGCGCGCCTCACCGTCCATTCGGACATCAACACGAAGCCTCACTACAGCACCAAGACCAGCCCGGAGACAACACGTCAACACCATCCGCTCCGCATCACATGTCCCACACCAGACGATCCGATGGCTTTCGTCAAAGTCAGCAGCGGACGAGAAGATAGACGAGATCACCGAGCTGTTCTACACGGCGTAATACATCCCAACCGCTCCTTGAAGGCATTGCTAACGAGCTGTGCTTCGATGATCTAGTCAAGATGAGTTCGAGATCGCAATGGAAGAGACAGAAAAAGTGTCAGTGTATGCAGAAGAAGACCGCAAGGCGGCGAGAGAAGAGCTGAACAAGGTTCAAGAGGCATATCGAGCGGTTGTGGAGGGACCAGATCAAGAGCTGGGAGCAGAGATCAAGAGACGCATAGGACAGCGGATCCGAGAGCTGGAGCAGGGTGTCGGGGCGATGGAGGAGATGGCGCAGAATCAGGACTGATGTTCACTCGGGTAGTGACATGCAGGCGCCACTGTTGGAATGAGCACTAAACAAATGGGCGAAGGAAGATCCTAGGCCAACGGCTACGATCGAGACGATGTACAGATAAGTCTGTAACAGTATAGTTGAATGCATACGAAGCGAACATGGACGTCACTCTCTTCTGGCAGGCTGGGAGGCATTTTTGCTCCGCGACTGTGCAAAACAGCTCTAGTCGGTCAAAGATATCGACTCCTTGCCTGCAACAGAGTCAGCATCACACCTTGGAGATGTTTCCATGGCGAAGCCACAAACCGTTACTGTTGAACCCAGGCCTGGTATCCGCCTTCTCGTTCAGGCCCCAAGCGGTGCTGCTAGCGTCATGTACAGTCGTTCTCCTCAGGTCCTGCGGGTCCCGATTCAGCTTTTGGCTCACCAACATTGACCACCGGATTGTTTTGCTTCACATACCCTCACGTGCTTCCCCTCGAAGCTTCCGCCAGCCGCTCTATGCATCACCGCTCGGTTGCTAAGAGAAAAAGGTTAGTGGGGACCAGAGTCTACCAATATCTCTCTCTTGGACTCACTCCCTAATGTCACATTTCCAGTCAGCGGCGATTTCATTCATCTCAGCCAGGACATGGGTGTGAACTTACCAAATGATCAGATCACCAGGGTTCTTCCATTCAACGCCGACAGTGTTCTCCGGCCTTGTCGCCCAGCCCATCAACGTCCAGATCAGCTGCCAACTCTCCAGCTCCGATAGCCCTTCGATGTGGTGACAGTGGCTTCCGAGATACATGTTCATCCTACCGCTTGGCTCATGAACTTGCGCGATCCTGAACAGCACGTCAGCACGGCACAAACGTGACATCACCCAAGACAGCTGACCTATGCCGATGCATATTATATTCCTCCGGCTTCAGATCAGCAAAATACTCCGGAGAACCGCGCTTCCGACTATGATGCAGCGACTGCACGCCCACATAATCCTCCTTGATCAACCTCTCCTTCAGCTCCTTCGGCAACGTCTCAAACGCGCTCCTCGAATCAGCAAACTCAGTATTCCCGCCCGTATTCGGCGGCGGCAAGATGGCAGCGCGAAGCAGCGAATAACTCGCCCGCCGTGGATTGAACGAGCTATCGATGTGGAAGAACCCGTTTCCACGGCCATAGTGGTGTCTCGGGCTGTCAACGGCTAACACTTTGCCATCAAAGTCGACGTTGCCGGCGTCGAAGAGCTCGAAGTAGTCGTAGCGTGGTTTGCGGCCGCCGGTCATGTAGGGGCGGATGTCGTCGAGGTCTCCGAAGCGTTTGGAGAAGTTGACGTGCGCAGTGTCGTCGAGGCCTGTGCTGCGGAAGACGAGGAAGCCGTACTGAAGTTATGGTCAATATCTGCTCCGCTGTTGTTTGAAGGTGAGACATACCTTTGCCATTAACTTGAGGATCTCTTGGAAGCCATCTTCAGTCAGGTTCGCAAAGTCAACACCATCAACTTCGGCGCCAAAAGTTGGGTGCATGGGTTTGACATTGAGCTGGGATTGAGGACCATTCTGGTTGATGAGGCCTGGCATGATGTGATTCCTTAATGTTGCTCGATGTTGTATTGGCGGCCAGATATGGATTCGGTGGTCTTGTTCAAGCACTAGATGGCCTTCGCTCGGATCTGTGTCGATGCTGCAGCCATTTAGTTGTCTGACTGTCGATAGACTCACGATAGATATATTTAGCCGGGGTATCGTTCATAGCTGTCGGATCGCGGCAATGATATGCCGTCTCACCCGTGGGGTGTAGCAGTAGGTGTGCGGGGCTCCATTCCTTTTAGATGTATCTGGCTCGGCAGTTGAGCTGTTGGGTAGACGTGAATCAAGTGTTGATGCTTTGGACGGCCTCCAGACAGCACGAAAAGGATTATCACAGCCGAACATTGACAAAGAGCGGCAGTATCCAAAGTATTGTTCAACTGTCTATTCAACGGCACTGTTCCTCAACGTTTAACCGTTGCCCATGTCACCATTCGGTTGGCGATCACAAACAAGTCTCCGGCCCATTGCCATTTGTTGGATGAACTTCAGTCGTGAAGTTGTACGAAGCGGCCTGTCTCGGCAACGTCTCCAGCACCACAGCATCCCCCGTCAAGCACGTCTTGAAGTGCAACTTTGAATCAATGTCGAGCATGAATTCGTAGTCACCGGGGTAGATGACCAGGTCACCCTGTTTGTTGGCCCTAGCGAGGGCTCCCAGGTTGACATCCATGGACAACGTCTGTGACGAGCCAGGAGCGATGTCATGAGCTCTGGTGTAAGACACGAGAGCTTTGTTTGGATATGGCTCTGGACCAGCATTCGCGGTTGAGACGAACAGCAGACCGACATAGTCAGACGCCATGTCACCTGTGTTCTCCAGCGAAGTCTTGACCGTGGTGAAGGGAGAAGCATCATTCGCGCCTTCGCTAACAAGACTGCTGATTTCGTAAGACTTCTTCGGGGTGGCAGTCCATTGAAAGTTGCTCCAGGTGGTATAGTGAAGACCATAACCGAACGGTAGGACAGGATCCTGGTTGTACCACTTGTAGGTTCGTCCTGGAGAGGAGCCACTTGGCCGGAGGTTAGGATCGAACAAACAACTGCATTGATAGTCAGCGGAAACTTCGGTCGAGCGAGCAGACTGAGCTTACACTTCATCGATGTAATCAGCTGGATACTGCGTGGTCGTCAACCGACCTGCGGGGGCCTTCTTGCCGACCAAAGTGTCGATGAGGGCATGTCCACCATCTATAAACATCAGTTTGAGATCACTTGTCAAAGCATCAATCCGACCGACCTTGTCCTGGATAGCCTGCCCAGACCAGCGAGTTGACGTTTTTGTTCTTCAACAGCTGCGAGTCATCAATTTGACCACCTCCAAACTGAACCACGACCAATGGCTTGCCCAAATTCGACAGCCTTGACACTAGATCAAGCTGGTTACCCGGCCAGTCGATGGAAGTGCGGTCCATTCCCTCTGCCTCGATCGAGGTGTCGATGCCGCCGAGGTAGATGACCACGTCGGCGGCGTTTGCGGCGGAGATTGCAGCAGCAAAGCCAGCCTTGCTGGTAGAGTTGATGCCCGTTCCATTCACGTAGTGCACGTTGCTACGGCCCCATTGCTCTTGGGCAGCACGAAGCGGGCTGATAAGGTAAGGTGCGATGCCCTCATAGTTGCCTTGCATCTGTGTTGTAGCGTTCGTCCACGGCCCGATCATGGCCACACGCATATTGCTCTTACTAAGTGGCAGGGTGTCATCATTCTTGAGCAAAGTCATGCCTTCCCAGGCTGCCTGGTATGCCAGTGCTTGAGCCGATCCAGTGCTGACGTCGGCGAACGACAGACTGTCATACTCCGGCTGGCCGTCAAAGTAACCGACCGTAAACAAAGCATTGTAAAGGCGGGTCAATGAAACGTCCATCTGAGCTTCGGTGGTCCAGCCCTTAGCGACGGACACGTTGAGGCTCAAGTAGCCGGTGCCGCAGTTGGTGTCTGTTCCAGCGTTCAAGGCAACGGCAGCAGCGGCAGCCATGCTGTCAGTGAAGTTGTGCGGATCGTAGATGTTCTCGACGGCGGCACAGTCTGAGGTTATGTATCGATACGGCTCGACACCGAAACCATAGTCCTCCCTTAGCACAGTCTGGAGAAGGTATTCGTTGGCGCATGATGGCACACCGTCCACAGCATTGTAGCTGCACATAATGCTGCCGACTGCCTAGATACAACGAGGCATCGGCATCAGCAAAGCTCTTGACATGATCAAACTACAAGTGAAAGAGCTTTACTTACCACATCCCTGACACATGTCTTGAAGGGCTGGAGATAATACTCGCCAAGGTCTTGCTGCGTGGGATCGTAATTCTGACCGTTCCTGTTTGTCTCGACATCATAGACCGCATAGTGCTTGCAGGTTGCGATGACTTGTTTGACCTCAGGAGAGTCCAATCCACCTTGGAGACCTGGGATCAAGTTCTTGACGTAGCTTTGAGCGTGAAAAGAGTCCTCTGTAGGCACTTCTAGGCCACGGCCCCAGCGAGGGTCGAGGAAGGTCTGCAACAGTAAGTGTGAGTGAGTGGTGCGAAGATTGAGTGTGAGTGTTCTCACATTGATATTGGGCGTCCAAAAGTCAAAGCCGGATCTGATGAACAGCGGATTAGTCTTACAATCTGAAGGTACAAGAATGCAATCTGCGGCATCTTACTGTTCGTAGTTCCCAAAAGCACGAGCTTCTTTGCCGATGGTGGAGGCGACATCATATATCAGTGGGTCATCGAAAGCCTGCCGAATGTGTCAGCAGACAGACTTCTCGAGAGATCACGCAGAGGTCATGCCGCTCCCATCAAAATTGGCATCGGAAAGCTTGTAGCATAGCTGAAGTCCGATCCGTTGGGGCTGTTGAATTCCACACCCGGGCTGTCTGCCACGCCATGTAAGGCCTCGCTCCACCACTCGTATGGCGGCAGGCCAAGACGGGGGACGCCTGTCGCGGAATCAACCAGGTTGGTGACCTATGCACGTCAGCATGCCTGACGGCCATTTAGAGCCGTAGGAAGGACATACCTTCTCCTCCAACGTCATTTCCTTTAAGAGTGCAGCAATACGCTCATCCATGGACAGTGAAGTATTACAAGCTTTGAACGAGCAGAACGGATTGGTCTTGCACACCGGCTGCCGTTTCGTTGTCGGAGGCGGAGCGTTCGGGTTTGGATTCTCGATGGAGTACAGATTCATGAAGTCAGTGCCACCGCACGACTTGGAGGGATCACCAGGGCATGTGTCGTCGCAGTCTTTCCCGTTAGTCTTTTGGGCCATTGGGTTGATATTGTTACCGCAGAAGCACTGGCTATGCTGTTGTTAGCAGGCATGCTGATAATCGGTGCTTGAGAGGACCACTTACCTTGTATCTTCGAGTCCAAAGTATTTGTAACCCATGTTGCCGCAATTGTCTGCACAAGACTGCGGACTGTTCGTTGATGACCTAGAAAACTTTCCGCTCAAAGTGCGAGCCATGGAGTCGATCCAACATCCCATGTTCTTGATTTGTGCATGGTATTCCGTGATGTTGCCAGAGCCTGTGCATACGAAGTCACCTTGGGTAATCGAGGCTGCCGTGAGCAGAGCACTGCCTAGAACGGCAGCTTTCTGAAAAGTGAGCATTGCAATAGATAGCAGAAGAACATGAAGCAACTTGACAAGGAAATCGACCTCCAAACGACAATGCGGGTGCTGATGTAGTCTCAAGGAAGAGGTTGGCGATTGAGATCAGTCCTGCGGCATTCTACCTCGCTTTGGAGAACGTAGTATTGAGTTGTGGAGTACTGCTGCAGGACAGATTACCCGGTCGACATACGGCGAAATGTCCGAATGCCATGCTAACAGGCGCATGTTTAAGCCTTCTATTCAGTGGTAGGTTGTGGGTGCTTGTGAAAACCGCCAAGTTTATCCGCCTGAATCAGTGTGATGCGGTACCTGCAGACCAGCACTCGATCTCCACGGCAATAGGCGGGGTCGGGCGAAGCAAAGTTATATCTCTTGAGGTCGGGCACCGGTGTCGAGGGTTGCAATTGACTGAAGCATTTCGGGTACATCCCACGGTACTTCATCAGCGGGCGTCTGCCGAACGAGTCGATTCAACATTATGGCTGTGTCCTAGCAATACGTGCTCGGAAAGTGAAACACTGTGTTGAAGGTCCAAGATGCTGCGGATGTGGTGACGATGAATTGCAGGTGGAGAGGAGAGGAGGCTTTGTTTAGGGTCGGATGTGGAGGAGGTTCTGTGGAGTATGCAGCCGATCTCGGAAGGAACGGCAAGCGGCGCCACGGAATGCTTGGGCGTTCTAAAGAAGCACAAAAAAATGTTAGCTGCGCTCCTCCGGTACGGTCCATCAAGTGTGAACTGGTGCCCAACTACATGGTGTACACTCATAGGACTACAAGTCCGCTCTCGCCTCCTCACCAGCCCAACACCTCCTGATCGTCTCCCGGAGAGGCTCCTTTTCGATATCTCTCGGGTTCCAGTAAGGGTTGCTGACAGCGATCTCAGCCGCCTTGTCAACATCTTCCTCCTTCATACCAAACTCCTTCAGTCCTCGCTTGACCTTCAACTTGGTCAGCAGCACATTGAGGCCTTTGATCGCGTCGCCGTCGCTTTCGGGTAGTACTTCGGCGAGCTTCCGCATGGTCTCAGGGATATTTGGGGCGTTATATGCGATAGCGTGCGGAAGCACGATGGTGTGTGTTTCAGCGTGCGGGAGGTTGAAAGAGCCTCCGAGGGTGTGGCAGAGCTTATGGTGGAGGCTCATTCCAACGGCCCCGAGAACCATTCCGCACAGCCTGGACTGGTCAGCCTGAGCAGTAATTGTGGTACTCAATACCTACCATGCTCCATACTGAGCCCTTGACCGGGCTTCCACGTCTTGCAGGCTGTTGACGATGATGGGAAGCGATTCTGCTAGAGCCTTGGTACCGTCAAGGGAAAGCAAGTTGATGACCGGGTTGGTATTGCGGGCATACAATGCTTCCACTGCATGAGCGATAGCGTTCACTCCACTCGTGGCACTCATAGATTCGGGTAAGGTCATTGTAAAATCCACATCATAGATCGTTGTAGTTGGTAAGATCTTAGGGTCGCTTCTTGTCGTCTTCTTGCCATCGGCTGTCTCGCCAAGGATGGGTGTCATATCACCTAAAATCATCAGCGGCATACAAATGCAGTGGCGAGTAGGCTGCTTACTGCCCGCATATGTAGTTGGGATGCAAATATGCTGAAGACCAGTGCGGATGCTGATGGCCTTTCCAAGACCCTACAAAGGGTTTGAGTTGTCAGCGCTTGATCAATTGCGCGGGAAGTCCGACTTACGATAGTGCTGCCACCCCCAAAACTAATCACGCAATCAGCATTGCAGTCTTTTGCATACTGCAGCGCTTCATCCGTGATATGCGTTGGCGTGTGCATGGTAGCATTAGAATAGAGCCCAACGGGCGTGATCGATCCATTCTTGAGCACGCCATCTAGCGCTTGAACTTGTTCTTTCTGCTGCGGTGTTGACAGTAATAATGGCGCCGACTTCCCTAGCCGTTTGACTTCATCTGGTAGTTTTGACACGCTTCCTTGTCCAAAGATCACGCGGCTTGGGCCATTGGCTCCGCTGTATTCGAAGGGCTGCATTGTCTGCAATGGAGGTTTTCTTGATCGCTGAAGGATAGTATCGAGCAGGAGCTGTATGGAACTTCACCCACCTTCATGCCTTCTCGTCAACAGTTCCAGGTAAATCTGGTGGAGAAGGGTGAAGTCGGCAATCGTCAGGCACAGTCGGCAGATGGGAGACGCCAAGACCACTGAAGATACGACACGTGACTTCTTCCGAACACCCACCGTCGAGACTATCCAGCCTCTAAGTATTACCATGAGAGTATGAGAATTGCTACGAGGTGTATCGGACGGAACGCAGTACTGCTGAAGGTACGGTACGACATCGGTCGGTTTTGCGGCAGCGCTCTCCCATCGACAAAGGTCGGGCATGACAAGCGAGAGCGGTATGGCAACATGGCGGTGACCATTAACAGACCTCAACTTCTAACGTTCTCAACCCTCTTACCCGAGCGAGAAGCCTGTCTCCCGAAAAACCATGCCTCGATTCCCAGTCCGGAAACTCTCACACACTGCTGTGCACAGGCTGCGGAACCTCAGTGTGCGAACTGGAAGTCAAGTCGCTTGTTCCCCTTGTCCGTCGTCGTGGACAGATAGTCCTCCTTCTCGCTCTTGGTCATGGCGTTCCACGTTCGTTCTCTCCGTCTCAGATCCATTAGCGCTCCTAGCCCAATTCGGGAAGTGCATGACCTACCTGTTGACGGTCACATAGAAGACTTTTGCTCCTACGAAGAGGCAGATATTGTGGCAAACGAGCCCGATCAGTACCTTATTGCCGGTGAAGTAGAACGGACTGTCCGGAGTGCGGTAGATCTGAGTCATCGTTAGCTTGTTGGCTCACATCGCGGCGGAAGAAAACCTACATTCGATCCGATGATATTCGACGGCTGCACCATCATGTTGTACAGCGCACTCGCCACCGTTCTCGTCCTCACAGTGCCCGCGTTCCGACTGGTGATGGCCACGATGAGTGGATGGACGTAAGGCATGGCATATATCAGCACCGACAAGATCCAAGTAGCCCAGGGACTGCGAGTAATCGGCAGCGTTTCGAGCGCAATCAATAGTGGCAGAACCCATATCTGGCTGATTGTACACAGCAGGAAGCGCTCGTTGATCTTCTCCGATAAGAAGCACCAGAAGAGCAGATTGAGGATGAAGATGCAGTAGGCAGGTATCGTTAAGAGGTTTGTCGTGAACGACCCGTATCCGGCTGACTTGAGGACGAGTGTGAGGTACTGGTTCATTGGGACACTGGGTAGGAGCCAGGAGAGGCCTAAGAGATAGACGGGCCACATGTGGTAGTCGAGCAGGCAGTCTTTAAAGGCTGATAGAGATAGCCCTTGTTTGGAGCTTGTGTCAGTCGCTTGATGGCTCATCGATCGTCAGACAGCTCATACCTATTGTGCATGTCGCCCTGCGGGATTGATTTCAGCATTGTCACCAGGTACGGATTGATCATACTCACTTTGCTCGGGTCGTCACGAAGTACGCGATTGACCATGACCTATAAAATGAAGTTCAGTCTCGAGTGTCGCACAGCGTGGTGGTGGCTCAAACCTTTTCGTCGTACTCGTTGAACCAGCCATCCTTGCCCCTAAATCGAGACGCAGTCTGCGTTGGCGAAGGAGGGAGATACCACCAAGAGATGACGCCGATTAGTCCGGTCAAGGTGCCTTCAAGAGCAAACAGCCTGTGATACTGTTAGCACCTCTGGTGACTGGACGGTTGCCGATAGATACACCGACCATCGCCATCCAGCAAGCCCGTTCACACCACGCATGTGCAAGACCCCGAAGGCCAGAAAAGCAGACACGATGGAAGTTGCCTGATACGCCACCCAGAAGAAACTCAACCGAATGGGAAGCTCGGATGAAGTGTACCAGTAGGAAAGGTAGAGAATGTTGTCCGGGATGAAGCCGCCCTCGATTAAACCCAGCAAGGCTCGACATGCCCAGAAAGATGACTTGCCGGAGAGCAGTGCTTGACAACTGGCCACTAGACTCCAAGATACCATTTGAATCGGAATCTAGTTGTCGGAACCTGCCGCAATCAGCGTCCATCATACGATTCTAAAAATGCTGTAGAGTGCTCTGTACTGACTTACCGACCTTCTTCGAAATCAATTGGGAGGTCAATTCGGCAAACAGGAAGCAGAGGTAGAAGATCGTCTGGCCAGTGTTGTACTCGTTGGTCGACAGGCCAAGGTCATCCAGCATATTGTCGGATAACGCTTGGGAGATATTGCCTCGATCGAGTTGTAGTGCAAAGAACATGCTGCAATGCAGAAGCGGTCAGTATGGTCTTGAAACATAGAGCGATGACCTCTTCGAGAGCAAGAGCATTGCAAGCACTTACAGACACACCCAGCTGCAGATCTTCCAGTCGATCTTGTTATCCCGTCAGTGCCAGGAAGAGCAGACGCAGACAGACATATTCATACCTTTCTCACGATCCGCTTCTCGTCCTTCGGATCCCAGGCAAAGCTAGGGTCGTACCTGTGACGACCTTCGTACTCCTTAATGGGCTCGTAGGAGGTGGTCTCCAGGCTACTGTTGTCATAAGTACCATGGCGACCAGACCGCTTGAACAGCTTGGTCTCTGTAACGATTGCATCGCCGAGCATGCCCTTCTCAGGCTGCATAGGTTGGTCAGAGTCGCTGCTGGTACCCTCGCTTGGTGTGTCCATAATGGATGCCAGTCTTGTAGAAGGGGCTTGGAATCAAGAGTACGAGACAGATGAAGGCGACAACAGCGGCTGGTGTTCCATTCCCGCCCAACTTTCAATCTTCAATGCGTGGACTTAGGAGATAGGGCACCCATGTACCGACCCACGTCGCCTTCTGCCGTAAGGTCGTACAACAATGACCACGATTTCAGATCAGGAAGCTGCCGTACAGACGTGATGTGGTCCCGAGATACCAGGTCCGTATTATGCGAAGGCGTGACGATTGTGAAGCGTCGTGACATCAAGCACGCCATGACAGTCTAGTATGAGCTGGTATGCCAGCAGGCGGAGGTGATAGCGTAGCCAATGTCAACCCTCATGCCGCTTTACTTACAGCACGCCGCCCGAGATAGGTGCGGAAATAATGCATCCCGCCCACATGCTTGTCAAAGGCGTATCTTCAAACGAAGGTGAAGTCGAATCGCTCCTGCCAAGAACTGTCACTCGATCCGGCATGGCTCGAGCACGCAAGATCACACAATCTCGACTTCATCTTCTCCATGACCATCTTCTCTATGCCCAGTCCTTCATCAGCAACAGGCCGATAGGGCAAGCATGCGCTGGTGTTCTGCCGGTCTCCAAGGACGCGGCCTTCCTCGCCTGTTGCTCGACGAGCTCGCACGCAATCAACCTGAGCGAGGCTTCGACACTCCAATGCTTCCGGGACCTGGCCGTTCGGCACGTTGATTTCTCGTGGCCACGCACGCCAGTATACCATGTGCTCGGAGATGCCATCGAGATCCTCCGGGGCCAAATCAGACACGCATGGCCTCAATCAACCCCACAGGCCAAGGCGGCCGTGGTGCTCAGAATCAGCGGGCGAAGTCGTGGTCAATGTCGTCTCAACACCCTGCAGGGTCCATGGGTTATCGCCGACCAGTCTACCGTACACAAGACCTTCGTCAAGCTTCTTCCCATTTTAGGTAGGACCACTGGCGTTCTGAGGGCGACGGAGCGGGGTGTGAGAGTGCGATGCCGGGCAACCGACTGCATATATCAGGTTGGTAGAGATGCTACAGTTTCCCTCTCTTCTGCTCTTTCATATCTACCACAAACCTATATATCAATAAGCAAAGGATCGTCCTACAGCCATGGCACCATCACTCGTCGAGAGGACCGTTGATGACATCGCCGAGAGCGTCCATAAGAAGGACAAGAATCAGAGCAGCTACAAGGAGGCCTTCTCACAGCGCGCGGCCACCACGAATTACGAGGCCGAGATCAATAGCTCTGAGAAGGCACCACCCGCAAAGTACCCGAACTATCTGCCATGTAAGTTGAAAGCCTAGATGCTCAGTCATAACGACGCTCATCAAGACGACAGACTGGGACGACGTGAAGTACCCGCCGTACGAGTCCTTCGATGCCTACGAGCACGGCAAGGACGCCGATCCAAAGTTCTCCAACCTCTTCGCTTCAGGTGGTGAGGTCAAATAACTGACCGCCAACATCGGCGCGGAAGTCACCGGCGTGCAGCTGAGCAAGCTCAACCGCGCCGGCCAGGACGAACTAGCTCTCTTCGTCGCCCAACACAAAGTCGTCGCCTTCCGCGCCCAGGACTTCGCCGACCTACCCATCCAGGAAGCTCTCGACTTCGCAGAGTACTACGGACCCAGTCACATACATCAAACGAGTGGAGCACCTAAAGGCTTCCCTCGAGTCCACCTCGTCCACCGCAGCGCGAGCGACACCACGGCAAAAGACTACTTCGAAGAACGCACCAATTCCGTAACCTGGCACACCGACGTCTCCTTCGAAATGCAACCCCCGGGCACCACGTTCCTCTACCTCCTCGACGGCCCCCCAGCCGGCGGCGATACCCTCTTCGGCAACATGGTAGAGGCCTACAAACGCCTCTCCCCCAAATTCCGCAAACGTCTCCACGGCCTGCAAGCCGTGCACTCCGGGCACGAGCAAGCGCAAGCCGCCACCGCACGGGGCTCCATCTACCGCCGCGAACCCGTCAGCAACGTCCACCCCATCGTCCGCACGCATCCCGCGACCGGCGAGAAGGCTTTATACGTTAACCCGCAGTTCACGCGCCGCATCGTCGGTTTCAAGAAGGAGGAGAGTGATTATTTGCTCAAATTCCTGTACGACCACATCGCGCTGTCCGCCGATCTGCAGTGTCGGGTGAAATGGGCGGAGGGTACGGTGGTGGTGTGGGATAATCGGGTTACGGCGCATAGTGCGATTTTGGACTGGCAGGATGGGCAGCGGAGGCATTTGGCGAGACTGACGCCGAGGGCGGAGAGGCCGTTTGAGACGCCTTTTGTGACGCCGGAGCAGGAGGTGAAGTAGAAGTGGAAATGGGGTGTGAGGATTGATGGTTGTGTATGCGTTTCTGGAAAAATCAAGGAAAGCTCGCAATCAGCAATTTGATCCCAACGCCAGACGCCTTCCCGATTTCCCAAGTAAAGCAACAACGCAAGTAAAGTTCGAACGCTCCAGATGCCATCCTGCAGCATCGAGCTAGTACTCCAATCCTCTCAAATCTCATCCATCTCGTCCTCCCGCTCCAATCGCCGAAACACTCGCTCCACAGCCTCATCATCCATGCTCGGACTACCGGCAGCAGCAGCAGGTTCCACTTGAAAGCCCGTCGCTACCCTCCGAGCGCGGCGTGCTGCATACTCCCGCATTTCCCTACATGACTAATCCCTCACCATCCACCTCCATCGCATCCAGTACTCGCGGATGCGGTGTGGCGTATCTTTCAGCGGCCGTAGGGTTGTGAGGCCGTTCGGCGGCGCGTTCTCTCGCAGACCGCGGTGGACTAAGTGTGCGTGGGTTGCGATTCTGTGTAGCCTCGTATCCTGCCATCATCCTTGAGGATGAGAATGTGCCTTCGCCTCTCGGTCCTCTTGGCTCTTGAGACGCGCGATGGTCACTTGTAAGACGAGCACGCGGCGGAGCTCCTTGATCAGCGGTGAATGACTGCGGACGAGCGAGTACATCCGTGCCTCGTCCTGGCAAATTTTCCACCGACCGTCGAAGCACGCGTGGTGGGGGAGGAGGAGGAGGAGGACATCTAATCGGTGCACCTGGCGGCGGGAGTGCGAACGCTTCCCTCGCTCTGTTCACTGCTGCTTGCTGCTGCTGCTGCCCCAACCTTTGCCACACTCGCGGGTCGTTCGCTGCTCGATTGGCTGTGTAATCCCGTGGGTCGATCACTGCTCGATTGGCTGTGTAGTGACTGTAGTCTCGTGTGCCATGACAGTAGGGCAGGCCTCGAAAGGTGGCTCGGGGCGGTATCTCACCCGGATGTACCCCCGCAACAGCATTTCTCCTCTCCCTGTACTGCGGCTCCTTCGGCGGCGGCGCGAGCGCCGCACGCGGGTGAAAGTCGTCGTAGTCGTAGAGAGCGTTCGCCGCGCGTGGATGATTCCAGCGCGGACATCCTGCCGGAAGGCGGCTCCAGTGATCAGAGTGTCCGGCGGCTGGCTGGCCGCAGATGAAGCAGAATTCTTGCCCGCAGGTGCAGATGATGCGGTTGCAGCCTTCGCTGAGCTGGATCTTGCGCTTGCATCTGTGTTGCTGGTTAGTCGATGTGTCTAAGACAAGAAGGTGGACGGGACTTACATCTTGCTCGGGCAGATCTGGTAGTCCTTTCCCCTCGTCAAGCCGGCGAAAGCAACTCCATCATCATTGCTGCCAGCCTGATGTCCGCTGCTGCAGACATGCCTCAGTCCTTCACGCACCCAACCGTACCACTTATCCCCACAAGCGCAGCAGAACATCTGCAAGCACCCGCGACGGTGCACCTGGTCCACCTCATCCAGCCTTTCCGTAACGGATTGAGAGCAGTCTGAGCAGTAGATGCAATCGTCGACTGGGATCATGTACTCCCGCTCCTTCGCATGGAAAGCATCGATCAGAGCTTGCGGTAGATGGCGGCGGTAGTGGTCCGGTTGAAGGATTCTGCTGCCCAGTTTTGGCGGGTAGTCGCTCTGGTCGTTGATTGCGCGTTCGAAGAGTCTGCAGAGGTCGCTGTGGCAGACTTCGTGGCCGTCGATGCGGAAGGAAGAGTTGACGTCTTCGAGACAGATGACGCACTTGGTCATGGCGGTGGTGCTGAAGGTTGAAGGTTGTGGGATGGTGTTGATGTCCGTTGTTCTGTTGGCTGCAAAAGCTGCAGTAAGATGTGGTGGGTTCTAGATTGGCTGTTGAGTTGGTTCTTGTGGTGTTCTCTGGCAAAGGCGAGATGATTCGGCTAGTGAGGTATTGGTGTTCTGTAGTACTGGTGTGGTCTCGTCTGAGAAAGTGGTGCCTTTTAAGAGAGGTTCCGCGCCACGATACGGACATCGACAATGCATTGTGAAGGAGGCTTCGGTGTATTCTGCGGCGGAGCGAGTGAAGATATCTGTAGAGCGATCACTGACAATCGAATTGTTGCCCTTGCGGTCGGAGATGGCTGTGGCGAGGTGTCGGTAGACGTAAGATGGGATGGAAGACATCACACATGAAGACAAAAGTGAGGTAGGTGAATGATAGTTTTGTTTCTCCATTAGTGTGGCTCGTACCTCATACTACTGCAAAAGCACTGGCGTAGCTGACGCTGCTTTCGCTTGGCCTCTTCACCTCACTGCTGCGCTCATACCGCACGAAGCTGAAAGTGGTCGCAGCTGCCTCGCCACTCTTCTTAACCTCCTCCATCGCAGCCATGATGACGCCGATAGGATGCCGTCCACAAACGGTATTGTGGTTCTCCTCCAGACAACCTAGCCACTTCTCGTGGCTGCCAGTCTCGCAAGCGCCCATGCAGTCGAAGTCGACGGCTTTGATCGATTCGTGGATGGCCGGGTCCTTTGGTGAGCTGGTCGAAGCGGACAGGTTGACGGCAGGGCCGGAGCTGGGCTGATAGTAGGTGTAACGGAATCGCTGGCCCCAGTGTGCAAAGTCAGAGCTGATGACGAATGCTGTGCTGGGATCGCTGAGATAGGGTGCCAGAATCTGAGCGAGCTTGCGTTCGGTTGAAGCCGAGGTGTTGCCGACCATGATGGGGACCAGGAGTGGGAAAGCTGAATCGTCTTCGCCAAATGTTCTGTAGCATTGCGTCAGTTTCGTGACCTTGGACGCTTTGGAAAGCTTTGATGATTGCTAAACATACCTGCTCAGCATTTTGTAGATGTAAGGGAGGTGCATCTCCAGACTGTGCTCGTCCTCGTCGACGGACTGGGACATCCATTCGAATTGGCTAGCTGTGTAGAGCTCTGCCGTCGTCTCACGGTCTACAGTCAAGTTGCCCAGAGGTGTGCCGTAGTGCGTGCATTTGCTCAGCGCGGCTTTTGTCAGGTAGTGGTGATGTGATGGTCCTAGCAAAAATACTCGCTTACTGCTGGGCGTTAGTGCTTGAGGCAGCTTCATCAAAACCGCAGATACTGGAGATTTTGATTTTCATATGAAGTAAAGCAAGAAAAGGTTCGAATCGCTTACTCACGCCTTACTGACATCCCATGACTTGTATGCATATGCTGCTGCCGGGCCGGAGTAGGAGTACCCAGCGTGTCTGGGCACCATCAGTCGCGTTGAATCCATGTAGAAGACGACTACTCTACCTACGGAGCAATGATGACTCTCGCGCCCGGTACTGGCAGCTCACTGGCCGTCTGACCTTCTGAATGAGGGCCGATGCAATGGAGAGGTGATTTGACAGCATCAAGCCAGCCATCTAGCTGTGAGGAGAGTTGGTTCCTTGACGATGAGTACCACGAGCCCGCATGGCTGGGTTCGCGGACGACGGGTTTGGAGCTCATCGTGGATAATAGTATCTCGTCGAAGTTGGGAAAGTAAGAGGTGATGTTGTCGTTGGCAGGTGAGGTTAAGGTTGAGATGGCCGTACATCTGGGCACTGCGTATATTTCAGCCCGGCGCTCAGTTGATCGTCATTGCCTACTGTCGCGTCGCGTTTCGCGTTGGACGAAGACCGCGAGCATTCAAGAATAACATCACCATTGCAACGCAGCGTCAAGACAGACAGAAATGGCGCTCAAACGCAAACGATCCACGCCGACAGTAGGGGCAGCCTCACCGTCCTCCTCCACCAGCAGTACCACCACCGCCTCCAGCCCTCTGCCTCACTTCTACGCGCAGTCCAAACCGGTCGATGCGCTCCAGCAGAAGCCAACATGGGCCTTCCCGACTTACGAGTCCGATGAGCCGACGTCGTCGCATCATCTGAGCAGCCGGACGAAGAAAAGACATCGAGACAATCGACCGGATGAAAGTAGCGTGCATGGTGTGCCGCGTCGACAGTGAATGGTACAACTTCACCTCATGCTGACTGCTTGACAGCCAACACCATTTCGAAGCTCTTCTCAGCGCAACGACAGCATCCTCACGCGGAGCCGGTACAGTCTTCTCAAAACACACAACCAGCCTCACAACCAACGGCACCGCAACGAAGCAACCTGCATGCCTTCTGGACCATCAGCAGCAGCCCGGTCGCCCCGCCCCATAGTAATGCTATGATGATCGATGCGGCTCCTGGGTTTGGACCTGGTGCAGCAGTTACCTCAGATCTGAGGTGCGAGGACTGCGACTCGCCTTTGCTGAGAGAAGATGCTATGGATCTGGACGATGGGATGGTACAGCAGGAGATGGAGTGCCGGAACTGCAGACGAAAAGTCTGCAATGGGTGCGCGGTGCTGTGGGACGAGCGGATATGCTTGGGGTGTGCGAGGATGCGGTGATTTTGAGCGAGCGCTGAATAAATTCTTTCTAGATCTTTAATGCAACGACGGCATTCGATGCTGCCATGGCCACCGCAAACGTCCCGAGCTCCAATTCAAACCAGCAAGTTTCGCCAGGTCCTTATCGAAGAAAGACCAGTGCCATCGGGGCTGAGAGCTGGAAGGAGCCACCGCTGCCGTGATTTCTCCCAAGGCTAAGGCTATCGAAAGCACGACCGACATTTACCCGGACAGCCAAGCCCAATCTACATAGAACGCGCGGGTATTCCCGCTTCATCAGAGAGCTCTGCGTTGCTCCGAACTCAGCTGGCTTTATGGTGTAGTGGTTATCACGTGCGTATCCTACTGTCTTCAATGCTACTACAAATGCTGACCGGTTGGAAAGGTCTGCTTTACACCAGTAATACGCAGAAGGTCGCAGGTTCGATCCCTGCTTGAGTCACTTTCTTTTGCGCCGTTGAGATACTGTTCTGTCGGCGTTGGCGGGTCGCGAGAGCAGTTGAACTTCTCAAAAAGCCGGTGCAGACTCAGCAACTCCACTTTTTGCAGACGGCCCTTACGAACGGTAGCACGGTGGAGAGAGTGCAAGGTGCTTCAAAAGAATACCCTTCGTTCTGAGCATCGACTTGCCAAATCACATTTGGAACTCCCGGCTTTCCCACGGCCGCTAGAGTTTCGCCAGAGATGGGCTGCAAACGGCATGCGAAGCTGATAGATGCATCAGCCATCGTTGCAATTTACCGATCTGTTCGGTGACGAGTGACAAGACTGTGAATCCAGCTGAGGGATTGAGACGGTCGCAGCAAATGTTCTCCTCCAATGTGTCAGCACTGGGAGCTGCACTTTTGTCTTGCCATGAAGCCTCCTTGAGGTTGGAGCTGGAGAACAAAGCTATCTCCATGGCCAGATCCTCAACGACCCAACACAACACGAACTAATCAACACCCAAGGACCGGATGATGGCCTCCAGCCCAACAGCAACCGAAATCCTCGCCCGCTTCTACGAAGCCGAATCCATCTACTTGGCTGCACCACCCCATGAGCGCGACTTCGCCAACGGTATGGCCACCGTCCTCTCCCCCGACTTCGAGCTCTATCAGTCTCCGGACCTACCACATTCGCAGTCCCTCTACGAAGGCCACGCTGGCCTCTTGAATTGGAGCGAGGAGATGGCTGCGCTGGTCGACCAGCTGAAAGTTGCGGATCCGAAGTTCTTTGAGCGGGAGGGAGCGGATGAGGTCGTGGTGATCAGTGTTTTGAAGTTGCGGACGAGGGAAGGGGGCAGGAAGACCGAGTTGCCCCTTTTGCAGATCGTGAGTGTGGATCGGGAGAAGGGATGGATCACGAGTACGAGGCCGTTTTATTGGGATGTTGCTGGGTTGAGGGGGTTGGTCGGGAGGGAGGACTGACCTTCGAGAGAAGCCCGACTAAAGAAAGAGAGTAAGAGGCCGTCAGGAAATGAAATTTGAATTGAAGAGTATGTAAGCCCGCAGCTTCTCTCCCAAAAGAATGTATGTGCCCCCACTGTGCCCACTGATCACCTACTCAAACCCCCTTCTTCCCCGCGAGATGGAAGTCCTCCTACACCCCGGTGCCATTATTCACATACACCAAAATCCGATTACTCCCCCCACAAGCCTGGCTACTATTCCCCTTACAAGGAAAACCACACCCCGCCGCCAACGCATCAACCCCACTCGCCAACGAACCCACCCCCGGCGCCGTCCCGCCACCATAGCACTCGGAGTAGTACTCCTCGCCGCAGTAACTGTACCCTTTCGCTGCGCAGGCGTCCATGCAGTTGCCGATCGTTGCGTTGCTGCCACCGCCGAACGCAGCTAGCGAGACGCCGCTTTCTAGTACTCGAGCGGACGTGCTGTCGACGTAGCAGCCCATCAGGTTCCAGGTCTTGTAGCTTGGTTCGGCGAAGAAGGTCTGCTTGAACGTGGTGTCCAACACTACACTCAATCGATTACCGGCTCCGCAGAGCTGCGTGGGATCGCCGGAGCATTTCATACTGCATGCAGTTGCCGGAGCCTGGGTGGTGGGCTCGGAGTTGCCGCACCAGCATTCCGAGGCGTATTCGGTGCCGCTGTAAGCGTAGCCTTTGGCGCGGCAGGCGAGGGCGCATTGTTGAGGGGTTTGCTTGGAGGAGGTGCCGTTGGAGTTGGAGAGGGCGCGGGAGGGGTTGTTGTCGATGAAGCAGCCGAGGGGGGTGAAGCCGGAGGGGAGGGCTGTTGAGGTGGGTGGGGTTGTGGTTGTGCTGGTGGATATTGTGCTGGTGGAGGAGGTGGAGGTGCTGGTGGAGGAGGTACTGGTGGATGTAGCAGTAGAAGTGGTTGACGTAAAAGTGCTGGAAGTAGACGTGCTCGAGGTGGACGTGCTGGTGGCCGATGAAGTGCTCGAGGTTAAGGTGCTCGAGGTAGACGTACTAGTCGAAGAAGTGCTCGTGGATGTCGACGTACCAGAAGTTGAGGTGCTCGAGGTATACGTCGTTGACGAAGACGTGGTCGAAGGTATCGTTGGGGTAAGGGTGGCTGTGGGAGACGTAGCGGCTGTACTTGTCGAAGACGTCGAGCTCGTCGACGATGTAGTCGATGTTGATGTGGACGTCGACGTCGACAGAACCAACTTAGCACCCCAAACGACATTCTTCACCGGAGCACCAAGGGTGGACTTGAGATAGCACGTCGCTCCGAGAAAGCTGACATCCACACAGCCCGCCGTGGTCGCGCAGAGATCGATGCAGTCGGCGAAGCTGTTGAAACCTTTACTGCTCATATCGCCACCTGCATGGTCGATGCCGCACTCGATGAGAAAGTTCTCGCCGTTGGCTGCTGTGTAGGTCGTGCTGTTGGCGTCAGGACATTTGACCTGGATCGGCGTTGGCGTGCTCGGAGAAGTGTTCGTACTCATAGTAGCAGTGCCACCTGTTGTTGTATGTAGTGTGGCCAAAGTCCTGCCAGTGCCAGTGCTTGTGCTTGTCGTTGAAGTGAATGTCGAGGTTGCAGCTAATATCATCAACTTCGCCCCCCATATCGCCGCATTCGCTCCACCACTTCCTAACGACGACTTCAGGTAACAAGCAGATCCCGAGAGGCTGACGTCCACGCACTGAGAATTCTGAGCACAAGCATCGATGCATGTCTGGAAGCTGTTGACGCTGAGAGAAGTGAGATCGCCGCCGAAGTGATCGATGCCGCACTCCACTGTGAAGTTCTTACTACCAGACGCAACGACCGTGTTGTTAGAAGCAGGACAAAACGGTCCAGATGCAGAGCTGCCACCACTAGTCGGAGTGGAGCCAGAAGTACCGCCGGTGTTTGTCGTAGTCGGAGGCACGCACGTGGTGTTCTGGTAGACAGTGAGCCGGTTTCCAGCTCCGCAGAACTCAGTAGGATTGTTCGCGCAGGTCATGCTGCACTCGTTGTCATCTGTGATGCTTGCTCCCACTGCGAGAGAGTTGCCACAATAGCACCTGGCTCTAATCAGTAGCTGAGCAACAACAGGATTGATGGTAGGACTTACTCATTGGCATATTCAGTGCCTAAGTACTTGAAGTCGCCACAGAAGCTGGCACAATACTCAAGCGACATGAAACTTCCCGACGTCGACTTGCCGCTCAGCGCCCGTCCGCTGCTCGCCTCAGTATAGCATCCAACATAAAAGTCGCCATTGACTGTCTCTGGGGCACCAGGCTGAGGCTGCACGACCGGCCGACCATTTGAGAACAGTGAAAGGCGGTTCAGACCACCACATACTTCGCTTGAATTACCAGGACAGGCAGTGGCACATGAGCTTTCGACCACCTCAGTCGCTTTGTATCCAAGAGCGGAGCCACAGAAGCATTGAGTGCCGAACTCCAGGCCAGCAATCGTGTTGCCTCCTTGGGCGCAAGCGGAGGTGCAGCCCTCGATCGTGTTGGTGTTGGTGTTGTAGGATAGATTGGGGAGTGAACGTGGATTCTGATCCGACCAGCAGCCCCAGTAGGTCATATTGCCGGCGTACGTTGCATTGTTGATGGACGAAGCTGTGTCTTTGAGCGCTGGATTCGGATATGGGTCATCGCCAGTTGTCTGTCGAGGGTATCCGAAATCGTACGAACGGCTGCCGTTACCGTAGAAGTTGTCGGTGAACAGACGAGCCTGGCCAGCTGGAGACGCCATCATCTGCCCGGCATCGTGTCCGACGTTCACGAAGTCGATAGTGTCGCAGTTGCGACCTGCCGGATCTGAGCAAGATGGAGGGAAAGCAGCGATGAAGTTGAAGAACCTCTCGTTGCGATTGGCACCAGCTGTTCCCGGTGCGCAGGTCGAAGCATCGTCACCAAGATCTTGCGTTCCACGACCGTAAGCGATAGCCTTGCTGTTGAAATTGGCGAGAATGTTTGCACGGCCCGAGTTTACAAGCGACACCCCGTATGTCATCGGATATTGTGTGAAGTTGGTGAAGCCTTCGCGGTAGTTGTCGTAGATCGGACAGCCAGCAGTGGAAAGCGGGCGTGAGGTGCTCAGCCAGACATAGCTGTTGGGGTTGGCGATCCAGTAGGTGACCGGCGAGCGAGTGTTGCCAGGCTGGCCGATGGCGGCGTACCTCTGAACGGTCTGCGCACCCAGCGAGTGACCAGCGATGACAATCTGCTTCATGTTCGGGAAAAACGCAGCATTATCGAAGTACTGAATGATCTGGTCCAGGACCGTGTACGAGGACGTGTTGGTGGAAGTGTACGGGTATTGGTTGTTGCCGCCAGCAGACCACTGAGATGCCTTCCAGACCAAGCAGTTGCTTGTTGAACCGCGACCGGGAGACAAGCCGTTGGTCCAAGGGTAGCCGACGGTCTTGTCGTCTCCGTTGGCAAAGAAGGGAGCCATTACAGCCACGGAGCTTCTGTTGACGTTGCGATCCGAAATTTGTGACAAAGCACTGAGCATGTTGGACTCGTAGGTTGCCGGGTCCTGGTTGAGGCCATGAATAATGACCACAGCTCGCTGGATTTGGCTCTCCACGATGCACTGGCCATTGAGTTGGCGCGAGTAATAGTTGATCAACGTCAGATTGTTGTTCTTGCCTGCCGGATCCTTGACCTTGAAGAAAGTAATCTCGCTGCCAGGCACAGTCGGGAGGCTGTTCGGGATTGTGTCGCCAACGTATTGTTGCGCACCCGTGGCCTGGAAAAGAGAGAAGAGAAGCAAGGGGAGCATGATCAGACGGAGTGGAGCAGGCATCTTCTGCGCCGGGCCGTTACAAGATGGAAGAAGATCTCGAACAAGACTGTAACCCGCCCAGGTAGGAGGGATGACGAGCGCAGATGTCACTTGAGGTGACTGCAGAGGTGGTATTACATGAAGAGAGTAGGGCCCTAGTACTTATCTTGTCCTGAGAAAGACAGGAGTAGGTCAATGAAATCTAAGCCTTGAGTATGAAATAGGCCAAGCCGCGCTTTCGCGGTCTCATGTGAGTCGTCAATAGTGCAGTCGATAGTCCTCAAGCTCACACAATGGAGGACGTATCTTCTGTGGCGCGTTTGTGGCGAGAGCGAAAGACGAGACCGCTGGGATTTGTGGGTATGCAGATGGCTGTTTGTGTCGAGATTGGAATCAGTTGTCATTATGGCCACAAGACCAACCACCCCGTCTGGTAACTACGTGTGGTAGTGGGGAGGCGAGTTGCCAAATGATAGTCGAGCCAAGCGGACAACGCACCTATGCATGCTCACAGATCAATGGGATACCGCCAGACGTCGAGCGTATTCGACCATGTCTCCAAACGGCATACGTCTGCATAGTCGACAGGCATTGTCTTCCCTTGTTTTTTGTTGCTCGAGAACGGACTGAGATGGAACAATATTCTATTGCATGTAGTCACCATGTTGGGATGTTCCAGCTTTCCATTGAAGAGCGTGGCGCAGGCCTTGGAGAGACTGCAACAGTTGCCGTTTTCTGTCCTGTATCGACTTCTTCAGAAACAGGAAGCAAACGTGCGATGGTCCGATATTTTCGAGATGAGATCCGGACGCTGTTCTTGGTTTCTCGGTTCCAGATGGCTGTCTCGCTGAGCCTGCGACCTCGTTGAGCGCTCACCGGCACGTCGAGAGACATGTTCATTGCATCTCACGCGGTAGGGCTCGACTTGTGATGATTCTGAACGCTCCAGTCCTGTACACGTGGCCGTACTCGGGCAGAAGAGGCCCTGAGGAGGTGAGGAAGGGGGAAGTCGAAAGACGGGAGTGGTCTCGTCTCATCTCGTCCCTTGCCGAAGTCAAGCCGTGAGTAACGCCGAGACATCAACATCAACCTCATTAGACAACTCTCTCCTGTTTCCATTCGACATCTCACATCAATATTATGAAGCTCAAGCATACATGTACATGGCCCAGACTGGGGAAAAAGTCTGAGAACTATCGATATTGAAGCTGAATCGCGCGAATCCGGACGACGATTTAGAACCATTATTGCCAGACTATCCACCGGGTTGATTGACTGATTCCCAGAAGCACAACGCCACAGACTCTTCTGCACCATGGACGCCATCTTCAACACGCCGACTCCGTCAACTGCACCCCCGCTGCATACCCTTGAGCGGAAGCCAACCCCTCTGGTATCAAATCACAAACGAACTCGCCATCCACCCGCAAAATCGGCAAACTCCAGAAACACTTCGGCAAGCCCGCTCCAAAACTCACGCTCGTATCCAGCCGCCCGCCATTGCAGTCCACAGCATTCTGATACATCTCCGCCACATTGATATTGTACCCTTCACCACCATCCAGCCTGCTCAAAATATCGCTATGGATCGGGTCAGTGTCTCGGCCATCGCTCGAGCTGCGCTTCGACAGGATCATGCACTCGTTATTGATGAACCGGCTGCCGAGCACACCACACTCGCCTTCCGAAAGCTGGGTGTTGATGAAGACGTACCAGTTCTGCGCGCGCATGAGACCGGCGACGAGGCTCTGCTTGACCCGTGCGAAGCCCGCGTCGAGGCCGGCGGTGAGGCTCGACTCGTCTTGGTCGGCGAGGAAGGCGCCGCTGGCGAAGATGGTGCTGATGGAGTTGAGACCCTCGGTCGTATCCACCAGGCCCGCGGATCGGAGGCTCGAGACTAGCCCGTCCAGGTCGTAGTCGGCATCGCCCCCGAAGAGTTTGCTGTTGATCCCTTCTATTGCGTCTGCGGCTGATGTGAAGGTCGCGCCCAGTTGGTCGCTGAGAACTCTCTGCCATTCGTCTGTGCTGTCGATGGGTTCTGCTGGAGGGTTCACGGCGTTTGCAAAGCCCAATGCTCCGCCGACGATGTTCAGGATTGAACTGAGGCCTTCTTTGCCTGCTATGCCTGCTATAGGCCCTGCGAGGAAGAACCCGGCAGCAACGGCGTTGACGAAGTTGAATCCAGCCTCCGGCGGATCAGGAGCAAAGTCTGCAATGACCTGGTCGATGGAGAGGATGTCGCTAATCGTCGTGTCTTGGAGTTGCTCATGTGCCAATGTGAAGAAGTCGTGAGCATTGGTGGCCGCGATGCGTACGAGTCGCAGTACCGGTGGTGTGAAGTCTTTGCATGGGGTGATGGGAGCCGCGCAGGTATTCCCTCCTAGAGGCTTGCAATCGAGGACAGAGTCGAAGCCGTCGATTTGGGTGGTGTCGTCCATGGCGTTGAGCCAGTTGGCTGTTCCGTTGGCGTCGAACCAGTTCTGCATGAAGCTGGTGGCTGCCGACGGTTCCCATGACGCTGGATCGCTCTGGTCGAGAGAGCACACGTCTACTCCACTTGGGGAGACGACGGCGTTGACGGCACCGACGGACACCCCGGTGAAGGATGACTCTGTGGCCGATGAAGTGGTACTGACAGCGGAAGACGCAACGGCAGGAGGACTTTCCATCGAAGAGAATGCTGCTCCAAAACTCGCGGAAGGGAAGGGAATGGCAAGTGATCTTGCGCTCAAGGCAGAGAGCAGGACCAGGATTTGGGAAAGCATGGTGAATGGGCAACGTTGGCTGGCGTTCTGGATCAAATGTGGTTTGTTGTCCTCAACATAGATAGCAGCACGATTTCTTATCTAGAATCTTGCTCGTGGTCCAGAAGAACTCGCCATCGTAGGAGAATATCTCGAGGTCACATCGTGCTTACAGGCTTACAGCTTCATTCCTCCGTGTACAGCGCCATCATTTCCAACAATGTTTATCTTCGTAAGTTTTGCCTATACATAGCGTGAGCATACTGAATATCGACTTGCGCTAGTTATTAATGGCCAAAGGTGTTGCTGACAGAGTCGACTGAAATTCAAATAGATGCGGCCACCCGATCCACATTGGCCCAGGTGTTGAACATCCAACAAGGCGACTGGGGATTTTTGCAAATATCTGCGTCGCTTAGCCATTCACTGTGCTCGCGAAAAGAATTATACATCTGCTCTGCAATTTGAGAGACGACGAAGGGCGCGGAGAAGTCAGCATAAGCCTTGCATTTCGATGTAACGGTGAGATATGATCGCGATGCGGGAGGCAAACACGGAGGGATTTGTAGGAAGACATATAACGGACTGCGATACCTACCGTTCTCCCACCAAACTACAATCTCACCCACCTCAGCGTTGAAGTCCTAGCAATGGCGACCTCCAGCTTATTTTCCACTCTCCTGCTCCTGGTGACCCTGACCACCTTCACGTCCGCTTCCAAAGCGACCGTCAACCTCTACCACGGTCCCGGCTGTGCGTTTCCAGCTGTAAGCTTCGTGGGAACCTGCGAGCGCAAGTGAGTCTTACCTTATCACCTCGCGCCATATAGCATTCGAGGCATATCTAACCCTTCCGCGTTGATAGCTGCTTTAATTACGACTCCTTCGACTCAATCTGGACCGTAGGCGGTGCGTTGGACCACAGCCTTCAAGGATAGATGGGGCTGCTGACAGTTGCGTGCAGGTACTGGTACGGTGCGCTGCGTGGCATACTCCGACGGCGAGTGCCAGAATGAGATCAAGGATACTGGGGATGATTCGGGCAAGGGGACGTGTTCGGAAGCGAAGGGGGCGAAGTCTGTGAAATGTTTTTCGGGATGTTGAGTGATGGGAATGAGATGAGTTTATGGGCGGGATGGAAGCGGACCGTAATATGAAGGGAGGCATGGAGCAACGAGCGGTCGCGGAGATGAGCGAGCGGAAAGACCTTGTCTTCTGGCAGAGAAGTAGTGTACGTGTAGATTGCACTGGGGCGTTTTAGGGAAAAGAGAAATAGGAATTACTTGCCTGCTCTACCTTGGGTAGCCCACAAGGATCGGTGTGCATCTCTCGTCGTCAGGCTCTACATGACTGCTCTCGAGCCAAAAGCATGGTGGCCCATCCACGAGTAGGCTCCAAGACTGTGCGGCGATTCCAAATGTCGAGACATTGTCCATCACCGCCCCCTCCTCATCTGCCTTCGGACGATCTTGCAGGAGTCCCTTGAATGTTTGCTTTCAAGAACTGCTGTTCCTTCGGAAGCAGAGTCATAATCTAACCATGTCTGATAGCCTTCCGGGTCTGCCACATCATCCCAAGGAGTGGTTGATGGTGGTGATGTTGTTCACACCAGAAAATGCAGGAGCCAACATCTTAGCCGAGGAAGTCCCAGCCAACCCAGCCTCCACGACCACCACGCTTGTCTGAAGATGCAAGACTCATCAGTTGGCGCAGCTTTCCAATCTGCGTCTTGTTCCATCTCGTCTCTGCTTCGTCGAAAATGCCAGTTCGTGGCCACGGTCCATCACGAGTCGCACGGAGAGTCAGATCGGGCCTATTGCGCTCGCCGGCACAGGAGAAACCAACGCCGACGACCACCCCTGCTCCTCCGCGACGGCACCCTACTCGCCGCCTTGTTCTGCTGCCAAACAACCGCGTCAGCGACCTCTTCCTTGCGGTCTTCTGACACCCTTCTCCTGTCTTCCAAATGTCATCTTCTCTCCCATTCGCCTCGGCTTCCCTGCTCTGTTTCGCGCGCCTCACTTCAACCCAATGAGACGGCGTAGGTGCCTGGCGTACCTGCGTCGACGTAAGCTGCAGAGAGACAGCTGCACGGACGAATGCGGCCAGATTGCTGCTCGAGAAGATTGTCCACGACGACACACATGAGTCACATTTCTTTCTTTTGCGCCATTTCAATCGTCCACGTCCTCGGCGGACCGTTTCTGCCTGGTGAGCATTGGGCAATGGGCACTGTTTCGACGACTCAGCCCTGCACAGCGCAGGCCAGTGCACAGGCCGTGGCGAATGACGAGGAAGGATGCCGACCACAAGACACAGACACCTTGCTGCGGCCTTGCAGCGACCGAGCGACCTTCTCTGTTCTTCTGTCGTCGCCTTCTTTCTGCTGTATAAATCGCTGGTCGATCGTTTCTTCTTTCTGTTTTCTGCTTGCTGCCTTGGACATCATCTCATTCACAGCATATATAAGACGAGGCCGCCCACCAAACTCGAGACAGACATTTATTGAGCATCCACCACAACTCATAAAGCAAAGACAACATCTCCACTCCGACACTCGCTGCAGCAACAGTCTTACTGTTCGAGACATCCAGCTGGCGTCCCAACAGCAACATCAATCGTCCGACACCATCGACACCGCCACCACCACTACCACCAACAACAAAACCACTACCACCAACACCAACAGCACTACCACCAAACCAAAGCGAGACTCTAAACTCCCAGACGAGCTCCAACCGCCGACACAACCGTCAACAGCCCAAGACGAATCGGCCGCCAGTACCACCGCCGAGTCATCTACCACCCCCGACACCATGTCTTCCAAGCCATCCCGCAAGCCGCAAGTCTCCTACACGCCCTCCTCAGCCTCCTCCTCCGGCTCGGGCTCCTCATCCGGCAGCAGAGGCTCCGCGAGCCCTACCACTCGCCCCTCGGGGCTGGTGCTGCATCAGACGGGCGGGTCGACGGCGAAGGATGATCGGGAGCCGAGGAGTAGCAGCTCTTATGAGTATGGGAAGAGGCATCGGTAGTTGAGGTGCTAGTGTTTGGGTAGGGTGGGAGGGGTGATGTAGTTGTGGAACTGGGATGGGAGGCAATACAAGAACAAGAAGTGTGGGAGGCTAGTTGGACGTTCGGACGAGTACACTCGTTCCGTCAGACAATGGGTATGATGGAGTTTACAGAATGATATCAATGGGACAGGATGGATTGGGAACAAGACTGGGCGGCCTCTCGGCCTGGCGCATAGATTTAATGGAAAAACAAATGATACCCCAAACAAAACAGATCGAGACAGACTGTTTCTTGTACTTTATGTTAGATTACGATGGATGTCACTCATTGGCAATGGGGTGTATTTAATGTTACAACAGAAGAACGCTGCCTCGGTCTCCTGCTCACTACTCAGGTACAACACCTCTTCCATTGATCTGCTTTATGCTTGTACCGAACAAGCATGAGGAGATCGTGTCTACATGAAAATAGGCTATTGAGCTAAAATGCCGATTTGCCAGCAGACGGCAGTGACAGCACTCGTTCCCTCCTTCTGATGCGGAGCAAGATACTCCGAATCATCATCACACTCTCATCAACATCAGACACTCTCCACCAGGGCGGGTCCAGTGTATTGCGTACAGAGCTCCCAGGTCTAGATCTGATGTCTCTTCTACAAAGGTAGGTAAAGTCTTGCTCTAGTCTTCCTGTTCTCCGTCAACCTCTGCACATCTCCTTGGACTTACATTCAATATGCGCAACACTACAGCACTGCTCGCCTTGCTGGCTGGATCGGCACTGGCAGCACCGAAATCCACATGCTGGCCAGGATGGGAAGGCATCTCCCACATGGTCGTCTTCGGCGACTCATACACCACGACCGGCTTCAATGACACCTTGGCTCAACCTTCGAAAGCAAATCCACTGGGTAACCCGGCCTACCCAGGCTACACCGCAACCAACGGACCGAACTGGGTCGACTTCCTCACCACTACCTACAACGCTACTTTCCTCAAGACCGTCAACTTGGCATACGGAGGCGCCACAGTGGACTCTGCTCTCGTCCGGCCATACCTCCCTACCGTCCTCTCGCTGAAAGACCAAATCTACCAAGAGTACATCCCAAACTACAGCACCCACCCCAAGTCCTTCAACTGGAAGAAGAAGAACACCCTCTTCGCCAGCTTCTTCGGGATTAACGACATCGGCAACGCCTACAGCAACGCCAACGCCTCAACCGTCCTCGCGCAAGACATCGCGGAGTATGCCAGTCTGATGGACGTCCTCTACCAAAGCGGCGCGCGCAACTTCCTCTTCCTCAATGTACCGCCGGTCAACCGCTCCCCACTCACCGTCGCGCAAGGCCATGCATCGCAAAGGCTGGAAGCGGAGTACATCTCGGCCTACAACGCCAACATCACAGCTATGGCGGCGAATCTGAGCAGTACTTATGCCGACGCCACGACGTTCGTCTTCAACACCCATCGCATCTTCAGACAGGTCTTGAACGATCCGTGTTCACATCTGGAGACCTGCGCGTACAAGAACACGACGGACTATTGTGTGGATTATGAGAATGGGACGGATAGTTGGTATACTTTTGATGCTGACTGTGGGGTGGCGGTGGATGAGTACTTTTGGTTGAATTCGCTGCATCCGACGTTTAGGATGATGAACGCTACGGCGAAGGCTATTGTGGAAGAGTTGAGTGGGTCATTGTGGTGATCAAGACGTGCCAGGCGAGGTAGCAGAAGAAGTGGCAGTCAGGTTCTGGCTTCTCCGTGAAACTATTGTTTACTATTGAGACTTTTGCTAAGCAATGCTGCTCCTACTATCTCGGAGAGCTATGCTGTCCGCCTGACCATTCCTCGTCTCTTCTCCGTCGAACAGTCTTCTACATACCTACTAGAGGCTCCTAAATATACTTTTCCTACCGTCTGGACTGCGGAGACTGTCACTTCTTCTACTGCATCGCCTGGTGCGGGCTTGAAACGTGAATGAAATGGCGCAGAATCATGTCCGGTATCGAACATCAACATCTTCTTTGCTTCTACCAACCACAGCTCCCCCAATCAGGCAGCATCCACCATCCAGCATCATCTAGATATCCTCGGAAGCCAACACCGTACCCTCCTTGTCAACAGCCAATTTGTGCGGGATCAACGACTCCTTGACCGGCCTGGGCGCCTCAAAGATCTTGTCCAGCTCCTCGAGCGTCCTACGCTTCGTCTCGGGCATCATGAAGTACCACACACACCATTGGATAGCGTCCCAGACGACGAAGATGATGTACGTGTGCCATCCAATCTGGGCGAGGGAGATCGGCCACGCGAACTGGTTGAGCAGACCACCGACCGCGACGGCCAAGCTGCTGAAACCCATGCCCTTGGCGCGCATCTCGAAGGACAGGACTTCAACCGGGTAGAGAGCCTGGAGCGGGGTGATACCGATAGAGTACACGGCGCCGAAGAGGAAGATACAGGCCAAGGTGGCTTTGGCAGCGGAGGCGTTGGTCTCGCCGGACTGGCTGAAGACGGCCGTGGAAGAAGTAACGCCGATCCACATGACGCAGCAGGAAGCCATCGAGCCCAGCATCATCCAGCGACGACCGACTCTGTCGACGAATGCAGCGCCGAAGAGGGCAAAGGCGAACTGGAAACAGGCGTATGCGAGGTTGATGTTGGCCTTCGTGACGTCCGCCTTGTATCCGGCCGTGTCCAGAACAGCGGGTAGGAAGTAGGTCAAGACACCGTTGCCAGCCCACTGGGCAAAGATGGCGAAGATGCAGTTGCATGCCAGACGGTAGCGGCTCGCCCGGGTCTTGAAGAGCGCACTGTAGTCCCAAAACTTCTTGTCCGATCCATTCTCGTTCAGGAAGCTTTCGTACTCTTCAAGCTGCAGCTTGACCCAGGGCGATTCCGGATTTCCGTTGCCGTGCCATTTGGTAAGTGTTGCCGCGGCCTGGGTCCTCTTGTTGTGCACAAACAGCCAGCGGGGACTCTCGGGGACGAACCAGACGAATAGAACAATGAGGCCTGGGAAGACGAGCTGGGTGAGAGTTAGTCATAATGTCCGTTAATGCCCGAGCAGCGAATCGCCTTACCTGAAGCCAGATAGGGAGCTGCCATGAGGTGTTCCCGCCAATGTTCAAGCCACCGCGCACGGCACCACCTGCGAGAATCGAGCCCACGAACCAGAAGGTGTTGCAGTAGGCGGTAATAATACCACGCCAGGCCGGGTGAGCAGTCTCGACAACGTAAATAGGGCCGGCAGCCGAGGCGATGCTGACACCGAAGCCCAGGAGGAAACGGCCACCCTGCAGTTGGCTCGTAGCTTGGTGGTAGTCGGATGCGTAGAGGGTGACGCCGTTGAGGATGCATCCGAGGATGATCAAGCTGGAGCCGATGACCATGCCTACACGTCGACCCCATCTAGTACCCGTTAGAACATGTGCAACGTCGAGAAGGTAGTGAAGCTCGTCGACCTACGTGTCAATAGCTGGCCCAACAAACGGCAGCCCGCATACGCTCCCGATTTGGTACATTGCCGAGTTCAAAGCAGCCCATGTTCCATCGTTGGTACCATGAAAGTAGTCCAGGAAGTTGGAGTTGGCGGTCAATCCACCGAAGAGACTGCCATCGAAACCGTTGACTGTCTGGCAGAAACAACCCAGGAGCAAGCAGCCGATGAGTTTCCAGGTGACTGCGTCCGACAAAGATGGCTTCTCCTTCAACAACGCCTCAGCGTAGGCTTCGCTGCCCTTGATGACTTTGATCTCTGCGACGTTGGCCTGTCATTGATGGATCTGGTTAGCTGACGCTTCATCAATCTCAGTGCTGGAGCTGAACATACCTCTGCCAGCTTCTCGACCTTGGTCATCCCCTCCGCTTTCTCATCGTTGACGGAAGACATCTTGGTGAATGCGTCTCGTGCGTGTCCTGAGCGATACGATCAGGCCTGGGGACGGGCATCTTGTAGGAAGATATGTCTTCTGGAATACGGATGTGTACCCGTCTTTCCTGCGTTCTAGGCCGTATCAATGCATCGCTTGTGAGCCGAAGACCAGTCCCATGGGGTCTAGCAAGGCCTAGCTGACCTCGAACGCGGAGGGGATCCTTCCATGCCCACTTTCGGGGGAGCATCGACCCGCATCCTGAGCACGTGGCAGGGTGGTGGAAGTGAACTTCCCCCAACATTTGCACGGGGATGTGGAGAGGACGATCCGGGCTAGAGCGCTTAGACGGACAACATCCTTCCGTCGCCGCATTGGGCATAGGGAGTACGAGGCTCCGAGGTATCACAAGTTCTGAATCATTCTTTGACAAAAGTCTCTCCGGCATTTCGGACAGCATCCGTTTTCGAGAACGTATACCCACCCAGATCGCGAATGTAATACTCGGGCAAACACGCTCCGTTCCTGGAGAAGCGCCCAACCCGGATCTCGCAACTTGTACGTGCAGTCTGTGCGCGTTTCGATGGCCTCCACCTCCAGGTCAATGGGAAATTGGGTAGAGATCTACAGTATACCTGAAGCATGATGCTGCAGAACTATATCAAACGGCGTCTACTTGACACAGAAAAGGCAGGTGATGCTGGACGTTGTTCTTCCGGTCGGTATGGTTGTTCTCCTCGACTCAGGTATTTATTCCAAGGCAAGTCGTTCCCGTCTTCAATCTCTCAACGCTGACGCTTCGGGTTATCTTCTCCTTCAAATCATTCCTTCGCTCGTCCAAGATGCGCCTTCTTTTTAACCTTGCGGCTCTGGCAGCCGTTATCCCGTTTGTTCTTGGCCAAGATGATTGCTCGGTTAGCTACGTGTGTAAGTTAACAGATCTAAGGCATGGCTCTTGGAGACACCTCTGACTGATGTACAGATGCAGATGTCAGCTCGTCTGTGGAGGCCGCACCGAGCTCCGCTGCGTACCCGGCTGGGTCCTCTACATTGGCAACCTCCGTGAAGGCATCCTCGTCCGCGGTCGTCTCCGCTTCTTCTTTGCCCGCTGCATCAAGCGCGTCTACCCAGCCGGCTTCGAGCTACACAGCAGCTGGTTCCTACCCGACGACCAGCGGCACCTCATTCGTGATCGATGGCGAGAAAAGCTACTTCGCTGGCACCAACTCGTACTGGATCGGTTTCCTGACCAACAACGATGATGTTGACACCGTCATGCAGCACCTGAAGGAATCGGGACTTGAGGTTCTTCGTGTTTGGGGTTTCAACGACGTCAACACTACTCAGAGCTCTGGCACGGTCTACTACCAGTCGTTTATTGGTGATGAGCCGACCATCAACACTGGTCCTGATGGTCTCCAGCGGCTTGATTATGTCGTCAAATCTGCCGAAGGTATGTCCTGATGCTATGGTCCAAGGACACTGTGAACTCGGCTGACATTGTATGTTCGGTCAGCGCACGGCATCAAACTGATCATCAACTTCGTCAACAATTGGACTGACTATGGTGGCATGGCCGCCTACTTCAACTGGGCCGGCATCAGCTCCAACCAGGAATGGTACAACAACACCAAAGCCCAGGGCCAGTACCAGAAGTACATCAAGGCCGTGGTATCGCGCTACTCCGACAGCTCCGCCGTCTTCGCCTGGGAGCTCGCCAACGAGCCCCGCTGCAACGGCTGCGACACAAGCATCATGACCACCTGGATTGCAGACACGTCCAAGTACATCAAGAGCCTCGACTCCAAGCACATGGTGACGACCGGCGAGGAGGGTTTCGGCCTCGACACCGGCGACGATGGATCCTACCCTTACACGTACACGGAAGGTACTGACTTCGTCGCCAACTGCGCTGTGCCCGACATCGACTTCTGCACCTACCACCTCTACCCGTCCAGCTGGTCTGTCAGCCCTGCGCAGGCCTGGGGCAACAGCTGGATCGAGAACCACGGCAAAGCCTGCGCCAAGCTTGGAAAGCCGTGTGTGCTGGAGGAGTTTGGATTCGAGACTGACCGTTGCACGATTGAGAGTTCTTGGGAAGCTACGTCGCTTCAGAGTGCTGGTAATGCTGGAGACATGTATTGGCAGTATGGCGATACGCTGTCGAATGGACAGACATCGGACGACGGGTTCACCGTTTACTACGGCTCAGATCTCTTCGACTGCCTTGTGACGGTGCACGTTGAAGCAATCGATGCGGCTTAGTCTTCCAAGCGCAATGAGGTCAAAACAATTGGAACATTTGCCTGTCTTGGCAAGAATACTCGGGGATATTTAGAGTGCTGTCGAGATAACACGGACATGTGCCTTTGCTCATGTCCGCTTTCTGTGTATAATAGTTGGTACGCGAAGAGAGCGGCTTCCCAACCTCTCGGCGATCTTCGGTCATTCCAAATCAGCAGTAGACGCATAGAGACGCGCGGCTAGCAGATGCGTCGCTCCTGAATCGTTAATGTTCGTGAAAGTGGTCGCCGCTGCTTCCTCTCCTCTTGGACGACACCTCGGCCCACATCTGTCAATCAATCTGCCGCGGGCCAGTCAAACTGATGGAGGCCTTGCATCCAGTCCCCAGTCTCCGGGAAGGTGCCCCACAGCATGTCGTCCCAGAAAGATTCCATCGCGGCGTCGTTGTCCGGGCTGGGAAGGAGTGGCTCCTCGAACGCCACGAGCTGTCCAAAGTCGGCTGGGTAGGCCGATGGTAGATCGTTGGAGTGAGCAAGTGTTGTGTCGGAAGCTTGGGCAACATCATCAAGTGCGCACTGAGCAGGGCGAGGGGGTTGCGTCTGCTGCTCACGATGTCGCTGAACGTGCTTGCTGGCTTCGTACAACCTCTCCACGACGTCCTTACTCTTCTTGGCTGCGACCGAATAGCTGCGCATCTTGTCGAAAAATTGCAGCGCGGTCTCGATCTGCCACTTCCACTTTTCTACCTCCTCATCAGTCGCGCCAGAGAACAGACTGCTCTCGCTGCTGTTCTCGGCATCATCGTTCTTCGTCGACAACGATATGTGGGAGAACAGAGACACAAGCGGCACCATGACCGCCTGGTGCATCTCCCATACAGCAGCCCAACCGGCGATTAATTCTAGCCGACATGTAGCGTCAATGTCTGCAATGGTCTGTCCAGCTATGACGCGGCACCGGGTCACAGCGATCTTTTGCTCTGCACCCATGCCAGCGAATCGTGTCCGGCGCAGCGCTGCCGCCAGGAGATACGGTCGGTGCATGAGCATGCGAAGATTCTGGTATCGCCAGTGCATGACCGCCACTGGAGTCTTGAGGATGTCAGGGCAAGCAACGTAGTCACTGTCTGGCGGCTGAGCGAAGTCGAACGGAGTCCGTCTCGAGGAGTGTGCAGGGGCAGGTGTCGTTTGCACTGGCTGCATACCTTCGGAAGCCGAGTTCTTTCGTTGGGTCGCGAGCCCACTCAAGTACGAGTCCCGGAGGATCGGAGGGAGCTCATCGTGCCATTTGACCAGTTCTGCGTCGAAGGCGAACAAATCTTCGAATTTGCACAATGGTCTCGCCGCCAGGCTGTCTTGAATGCGAGTCGCCAGCTTACAGAACTCGATGTTATGGATGATTGGAAGAAGCCTGAGGGAAGCAATGTATTGTGCATTGTTCATTTGCTCGGGGATCTTGGGACTCCCTACTGTAACACCGGGACCCATTCGGCCGAGTGAGGGCCGGCCAGTCGCGACGTTACCCCAAGTGTCCAGGCAAAATAAAGTCCACCATGTCCTTCTTCTAATGCCGGCGGGCACCTCCCGGTTGTCTGATCGCCCTCCTTGGCTTGAAGGTCCGGAAGACAAGCTTACGTCGTACTCGCGGTGAAGACCAAGCGCAGTGGCCATCCTGAGCGTTGCTCCCATGAGCGAATTTGCCTCGTTCGGACGGTTCAAGTAGTGCAAGTAGTAGCCACTCAACAATCCCATAGCTTGCAACATGAGAAGATTGCCACTGCCGAATGTCTCGAGATCCAGGTGCCGGCGGGCTCGCTGGAAGTATGCGTAGTGTTCCTCATTGTCGCAAGTAGAGCCTGCCAATGACCCCAGCGCCATGACCATATTCAGCAAAGCAAGCCAGGGCGGATCGTGACGGTCATCGTAAAGGTAGGTGCGCCAGAAATGGTCCTCATCTATCATCGGCATCTGGACATGGACGTGGTTGAAATAAGATTCAATCAGCTTATGGCCAACGTCGGGGGAGGGCAGGTAATGTGGATCTAGAATTCGAGGGTTGAGCGGAGGAGTGGTGCTCCGACTCGGCGGGACAGTCTGATTGTAAGTTTGGGCTATGTAGGGCCCCGCAATAGGTGCTGTCTTGAAGATGACCTTGAGAGCTGCGCTGATGGAGGAGATACCAACGTAAGACGACTGCTTGTCCACGGACAATGAAAGACCATTGACGTCGTCAGATATGGCGTTGACCTTATGCCGGTGTCGTTTCGCTTCGTCAATCTCTGGGTCTCGCTCTGGCGCCTGTTCCAGCGCATCGAGACTCTCTGCGTCCTCTGAGCTCCAAGTGCCGGTATGGCTGGTTCCTGGATCGAGCCCTGTCTCCGGCGGGATAGACGACGGCCGACGCGGTGCTGGCAACGTTACTGCCAGATCGACAAGTTGTTCTCGCGGAAGCGCTAGAAGTGTATTGAGGTCCCGGCCTGGGAACATGCGGTCCACGATGGCATGGTAGATCTCGACTTCGTGTTGTAGCTTGTCCAGTGCCTTTTTGGATGGTACCACCCGCTGCGTGGGTTTGGCGTAGGTGCAGCGCTGCGGCTGCTGATAGAAGGCGCATCGTCCGCAGGGAGTGTTGCCATCACATCGGATTTTCCGCCGTCTGCACTCCACGCATGCATTGGTCGTTGATATCCTCTTGTATGATTTCCTCCCTGATTCCACTTCAACCGGCTCTGGTGGAGCCGTCGTTGCCTGGAATGTGTGGAACATGCCCTCTACCATCTTTTGCTCTCAACCCTGTTCTGACTGTGTCCTCGTAGTAAGGCATGCTCTGTTGTCGGCAACGCATTAACAGACGTAGGACTCCGACAGAGGTGTCGATGCATCATGCCAGGGGAGAAGTCAGTCAGAAACCTAGCTTCGGAGGTCTCGACGGCATCATTCTCCGCTCGACAAAAGCACATCGTCTAGATGTCGTCTTGCATTGAGTGGTCTACCCCGCGGGGAGGTGAGGTGGACAAGCGGCGCAAATGCGGCTCCACCGGCCGTCGGCAACATGGAGGCAGGGGGCTCAATACGCTTCTTCATCACAGCCGTCCACGTTGAAAAGTAAACTAACTTCACAGGAAGGACGATATACTCTCAGCGGCGAGATTACAAACGATGGCGCAATCCTCAGACACGACTGGTCCGGTGACAGCAGCATGCCACTGCGGCGCAGTGAAGATTACAGTGTCCAGAAAACCCAAAGAGATCAACGAGTGCCAGTGCACGCTCTGTCGGCGGTACAGAGCAGCGTGGGCGTACTACGACCCCACGGACGTGGACGTCCTTGTGATGAACGACACCCAGCCTCGAGAGTACCTTTGGGGCGACCGTGAGATCCGCTTTCGATTCTGCGGTGCATGCGGGTGCGTGACGCACTGGAGATCTGTCGATGAAGGGGGCCAAGAAATGGGCGTCAACACGCGAATGATGCATCCCGATCTTCTGAGGGATGCGAATCGAAAGGTCGACAACGAGCAGTTGTCGGTGCCGCTGAAGTCTAGGGACAGCGCGCATCCTGAAGATCAAGCACGGTATTTGTGACTTTGAAGCGTGGGCACATCCTCTCGTTCTCGATGATAGAAGCGAGAAGTGGCAAATGGGATTCAGATGGATCTTATGGACTTGGGTGAAGATGGACGACATCAACGGGTGCTCGTGGTCATGCCTCTTCCGCATCTTTCGCAGGTTCGAAGGCTCCATATTGCTCACACATCTTACGGTCTAGGGGAGCGGGGGTAATGAGGGTGGACGATATTCCTACTCACGGCCCTAGCTGGTCATCTCGGGCCCTCACTCTCCGTGTACAGACAGGAGGAGCGGAGAGGTCGTGAGGTAAGATAGTAAAGATTGATGAGAAGGCAGAGCAGAGTTGGCTTCACTGGGTCGTCGAGACCAGCAGGGCAACAAGCCACGACTCTCCCGTATCTCTATCTTGTCCTCCACCGATACATGTACATATGTGGATTCGACATGTAGCATATCGGCTTTTGAAGCCTCTCAGGTAAGGCTGAGGGCATAGCAAGATCACGAGCAACTGTTGGTTGTGGTAATGGTAACACTTATCTATCCCTTCTTGGACATGCAAAATGAACTCACAACGCCCGCTCAATCTTCACCGTCTCCTCAATCCGCCCCCTCACCCCCTTCTTCTGCTCATCCGTCAACGCCGCATAAGGTCTCCTCGGCGCCAACTTCGCCTCCGCCCCTTCGATCCCCGCGCTCTTCGCGCTCGTCAGACTGGCCGCGAACTTCGTGTTCGCGATCCCGGACTTGCCAATCACCTCGGCGTGTGCGGCGACACGGTGCAGTTTCAACGCCTCGGCGTGCTGGCCGGAGGTGTAGAGGTCGTAGATTTTGCGGATGGTTTTGGGGGCCACGTTGCCGAAGCCCGAGATGGTGCCTGCGGAGCCTACGGCGAGGCCGGCGATGAGGAAGTCGGATTGGCCACCGTATCTACAAAGCATGGGTCAGCTGGATGTTCGTTGGGACGACCGGTCCGAACGTACACTGCGAATTCTTGGGGAGTAAACTCAGCTGCTAGGCGGGTTATCTTGCCCACGGATGCACAGGTCAGTTTGACACCCACGATGTTAGAATGCTTCTTGTGCAGGGTGATGAGCATATCGCTGTCAATATCGACGCCGTTGCACTGTCCACAGCGTCAGCACTTCCACTCTACGAAAGCCAGCATATTGATATAGTAAGGTTAGAACTCACCACCCCCGGGAAATTATAAACAACAACCGGCAACGGACTCTTCTCCGCCACCTCGCCATAAAACCCCATCACCACCTCCCGACTCGTCTGCGCCCCAAAATAAGCACAAGGCAGCACCAGCACGCTATCCGCGCCCGCCTCCACCGCATCCCCGATAAACTCCAACACCTGCTTAGTACTGTGCCCGCCCACGCCGGCCATGACCTCGTAGTCCGGGCCGACGGCTTCACGGGCGCATTTTAGTAAGGCGGCACGTTCGGAGCGGGTGAGCAGGAAGGTCTCCGCGTTGGTGCCGAGGATGACCAGGCCGGTGAGGTGCTTGGACAGGTAAGAGTAGTACTTGGCTTGGGCGTCGAGGTCGAGGGAGTCGGTTTCTTGGTCGAAGAAGGTGACTGCGGGGGCCCAGACGCCGGCGGAGGGGACGCGGGTAGGGGATTTGGTGGTGGTGGTGTGGCCGTTCATGGTGGTGGTGTTGAGTTTATTCGATATGTCGATGTGGACTGCGGTTCAGCGGTTGGGCCCAGGCGGGATGTGAAGCAGTCCTTTTGGTAGGTTCGATTCTTTCTTTATTTGCTGGATCTCGGGGAATGCGGTACACAATCTGTCGGATTCAATTTTTTGATTTGATTGTTATGGAAGAGAAGTGGCAGATGTAGCTCTCCCTCCATTGCTCTCAAACGCCGATGCCGGGGCGTGGATGAATAGAAGAAGTACATGAGTACCGTGAATAGCCGCCTTGATTGAATACAATGCCAGCGATCACGCCTCAATGCCGTCGGGAATGGGAAGCAACATCGAGCGAGAGTGGGAAAGAGATCAGACCAAACATTAATTCTCCTACCTAGAAAAGTAAGACACCATCGCATTCGTCAAAGCCAAACGCCAGAACACCCACGAGTGCCTGTCCGCCTGCTCCTCCATTCGAATTACCACGACTACCTCAGCAACCTCAAGTCCAACCATGGGTATACCGTCACGCCCGCAGTAACAATCTCCTTAGATCTCGTTCATCACCGTCACAATTCATCAGCAAGCTTACGCAGCCACCCGCTCCTCCTCACGTCCCCGCTCAGAGTGCTCGACCTCATCATCATCCTCGTACTCCTGGTGCTGGCTAGCCGGCAACCACGACTCACGGTCCATGTTGTTGTCCTGGCCGCTGAGATCCACGCCCTCGTTCCTGTTCGCCCGCCTCTGGCTCAAAGTCCTGCTCCTAGTAGACAGCTTCGACTTGACGGCGGCATTCTGCTCGACCCAATTCGTGAGCGAATCCTCGCAGTCCTGGATGATCGCCTTGCTCGCCTCGTACCCGTCGTACGCATTGCGCGTCTCGCCGGGGGTGACGGGGGTGTCGTCGACGAGCTCGAGCAGGTGCTTGCCGAAGCCGGCGATGATGGCCATCTTCTCGCTGTGCTCGCGCAGGGCGTCAAACTGGTAGGTGAAGGCGGCCTTGAGCTTCTCGCGCGTGATGTTGGAGAGCTGGGCTTCGGCGACGAGAGACTCGGCTTCGGCGCGGACCAGCTCTTGCTCGAGAACGACGATCTTGGGGCTGTTGGGCTCCTTGTACTTGAGCTGCGCGATTTGGTCGGTGATCTTTTGCTTGCCTGGGGTGGTGTTAGCTGTCGCATGCGATGATAGGGTAAAAGGTTATGCTTACGGTCTCGGCTGGGTTGCACGGAAGCCTCAATGTTGCGGATGCTTTTGATGGTCACGCGGTACTGGTCGTAGCGGTCGACGAACTGGTCCTCGAGCTCACCAATCTCGTAGATGAGTACACCGAGCTTGTCGGTCACGTCGGAGACGTCGTCGTCGCAGGCCTCGCCCCAGATGGAGAGTTGTTGCTGTTTTGATGGTCAGCGCCTTATCGACGACGTCATCGCTACTTATGTGTACTTACCGCGACCTCCATCCTCTCCCTGCCGACAAGCTCCATGGAGCGCATGACGTTCTTCTCCATTTTCACGAGCGACGACAGCTTCTTCGCGAGATCTGGGCCAAAGGCGCCAGGGTGGACGGACTTGCGGAAGGTGTGGCCTGCACGTGATTATTGTCAGCGCTAGTCTTACGGCATTGTTTGCTCCGCGACGACTCACCAATGTTGGACTTGCCGAACAGACGGGTGCCCTTGGTCGACGACGACGGCGGCGGCGGGTTCTGGATCTGCGACGCCGTCGGGGCGCGCGACTGGCGCATCGAGTATGTGCGGTGCATCTTTGCGGTAGTGGGTGTGGTTGTTGTGTGGAAGTGTAGTAGGGTAAGCGCGAGTGATGGATGATAGTGGTATAGAGAAAGTGGATGTTGTTGTGGCTGAGGAGAAGGAGGAAGAGAGGCTTTATGGGAGGTGATGCAGAGCAACAAGCCTATGGATCCCCTCGGAGGAGGAGGCGTGGAACTCTGAGGGCTGGACCGTGCAAAACTACGTCACCACGCGCCTTCCTCTCGCGCTCGAGACCGTTCCATCGCAGCTACCACATGGGCGATGTGTGTATGAGAATTGGCAGGTACGATCGTGATATATCTTCTCTTCCAATATGACCTCAATTCATGTGTTTCTGCACATGTGCGTGCTGTTCTTCTGCAACTCTCTCCATCTCCATGATCGACTGATCGACGCGCCAGATCGCCATGGGCAACCGCCTCGTCCACCCACGTCACCGGCCCCGATTCTAGTCCAGTCCAGTCCGCCAACAGCCACACATCACCACAACAACAACACCTCGTTAGCTCGCCTCGCCAGCCTTATGGTATAGCGCTTGGCAACACCTATGGCTGTCCATATTTAATTGCAGGTTAGTTAGTCACAGCAAAAAGCTAAACACAACTTCGACGAAGAAGATACATCTGCACCAGCAGCAACCACACGGCCGCCCCCACGGAAGCCCCAAACTTGCGTGTCCTAATCAAAGAACTCTCTGGCTGGGAATACCACTCCTTCAAAGGTTGCATCAACACCAAGGTCAGGAAGAAGCGCCTACCTCCTCTCGGCAAGGTTTGGTACCTGCCTTAGGACCAACGCTTCTCTGCGAGCTTGACGCCTTCGTTGACCTCTCCCGAGGAATAGTCAGGAATCGGATGCTGTGGCATCTTTGGATTTCGGAATCGACCAACTGGTCCACCGGAAGGCTTGAGACTTGAGTTTTCTACATGTACAGGTGAGATGGGAGGCTATACGAGGTCTTCACAACCTTCAAGACTTGAGAGTATGGTCGCTTACCACGAGCCTTGAGAAACTCTTTCACATTTCCTCGCTCAGAGACCTACTGCACAGCTGGTTGTCGTGTGAGGCACCGGTAACGACAGGGATATCGTTTCGTTCTATCTGCTCCTGTTTCTAGTCGCCCTCATGCCATTTTCCCGGATACGTCGTCCCCCTCGCTGACACGCTCATCAAAATGTTGACTATGACTGATCTCCTACAGTGATCTTGCAGGAGAGAACGGCAGCTGGGATGTTTACTATCTTGATTCATAACCAGCTGGACACCAGTCTTATCACAACACAAAGCTGATGGGGTCCGATTTGCGGTATAAAGCAGGCCGTTGGGTAGTGTCACACCATCCGGCAAGGTAGAAATCCGGCAAAGCATCCGACTTCACGCGACCCGACCACTTCCACAACAATGGCTCCCACTACAGACAGCTCAGGACCTTTCAAGAACATCGCTCTCCTCGGCGCCGGTGGTTCGAACATCGGCTCCTACATCGCTCAAGCACTGTCCAAAGGTCTCGCCTTCACTACCACCATCATTGCCTGGAAGTCCTCCAAATCAACTTACCCCCTCAACACCACGGTCATCCGCATCAACGACGATCTACCACACGCAGAGCTCGTCGCAGCTCTACGAGCTCAAGACGTCCTAATCTCCGCCGTCGGCCACGATGCGAAGAAGATCGACTACCGGCTCGTCAACGCCGCTTTAGAAGCAGGCGTGAAGAGGAGACAAGTCGGCGGAGGTCCAGTTGGTGCAGGTGGGATTTCTGCTGCCGGAGTATGGGGCGGGTCTCGTGAGGGCGGGGATGAACGTTGTGGATGGGGTTCTTGGGCTGCCCAAGGTTAGTTTGGAGGAGGTGGTGAGAGGTGCGTTGAAGGGTAATATGTAGACTTCAAGCGCGACGATCCACTCATGGCAAGCACAATCAACTCGTTAGTGCGGCGCAACTGGGGAGGTGCAGAGGCTACTCATGCTACGGCTTCTTCACGATCTGACGAAAGAGTTATGACTTGGACGAAGGTACTTGCACTAGACAAGAGAGTTTCATGCTGTCATAAGACACCGTATTCAATGACAGATAAAGAAGGAGATTGGGTGTCTTCAACGCTCAGTTTCTGCTCTCTATCAATGCTAGGATAAGTATGTTGTTTCCCAAACTCCGAAAGCAGCTCTGTGCCGCGATATCCAAACGCCCATGAATACAGTACTCGATCCAGAGAAAGCAGCTCAGCGCCGCGAAAACAGTTCCCAAATTCCTGCAAGAAAGCAGCTCTATGCCGCGACAAAACTCTCCTCGCACGATCTCTTCTTCCAGTCTCCTCGCTCCGTTCCCTCCTACCACATTCTCCTGCTTTCCTTCGAGACGGCCTTACCCGACGCCACAACTGAGGCCCAGGTCTTCTTCGGCGGCTCCGTCGGCGGGCGAGCAGTCCCTACGACCGCCAAACCTTGCGAGTTGGCCGTGGCGCGAGTGGTTGATGAAAGCGAGGCCACCTGCTCGGGCTCGCGATCCTTCGAAGCCGTGCTGATAGAGAGGGTGTCAAAGGCGCCTGACGGAACGACTGGAGTCGTGGTCGTGATCGGGACGGTCGGCATGATGGGTTCGGCAGCAACCGTCAGGTCCTTCTTGCGGCCCCGATCAGTCTGAGTGGCGTCCATGTTCGAGCGACGAAGTAGGTACAACTTCATCGTCGCTTTCGCGTCCTCGACACTCGAATGTCCGTTCGTCTGAAGATCGTGTTGGCCGAGGTTGTATTTCGCCGCATTCTCGAGTCCTCCGCCGTACTCGACTTGGGTGTCGCGCAGCACGTAGCCGGACCAGTCGACGTCGCTGAGCATGTCGAGCTCGTTCTTGATCGCATGGCCGACGATAACGCCAGCACGGTTGAAGATTTGAGTTGCAACCAGGACGACCTCTGCAATCGGCTGCGCACCACGGCTGGGGATGATGTCCTTGTACTTCACGCCCAGGTTGCAGCGCTGTAGTGGTGGGCGGCCCTCGGCTTCTCGTGGGTAATAGCAGAACGTATCGTAGATGATAGTTCCGTCTTCCGCAACCACAGAGAATCGACCGCAGCCTTTCTTTGCACTACCTTGGTAGGCATGGAGAACCACACCCTCGCAATCGATAGCCACAGCTGCTCCCGGCGTGAGGGCGCCCAAATTGACGGTGAGCTGTTCTGCCCTAGACCGCGATGATGGTGAGCCACCGTGAAAGCCGCCTCCACGCCCGCGTCCGTTGAATTGTCCCGTCGAAGGGCCACTGAGTGTGTCGGATTGTCCTGTGGTGTATGGTTGGCCCTGGCCAGCTGCTACGGAATGATTCTGCGAGCCTTGATTGTTGAATCCTCCTCCACGCCCACGTCCACTCGTCTGGCCCTCGGAGCCGCCGCTGAACGTGCCGAATGGTCCCGCCGTAGTTGGTTTGCCCTGGCCAGCTGTGGCGAAGTGGTTCTGTGAGCCTTGGTTGTTCAATCCTCCTCGACCGTACCTGGCAAAGTTGCCTCGCTGACTATTGCCAGCTTCTCGTCCACTCCTGTCGGGAGCCTTGCCCTTGCCTGAGTACATGGCTGAGTCTTTCGATGGGGATTTGCGAGTGGTTGGTGTTCAGTTGTAGTCTCTGGATGCTGGTTCTTGTGGATTGCGTATGGGAGTTGCGGGCGTAGTCGTGGGTTGTACGGGATGGAGAGGAAACATGCCGAGTAGAAGGTTCCATATATATGAGTGCAAGCGGGTCGTATAAACAAAGAAAAAGCGTGAATGGCATTGTAGAAACGAGTGGTCGTCGAGGTATCGTTACGCGAGAAGTGTTGGCCGAGATGACGAAACAAAGCCATTTTTCAGCATTCACATCGCTGGATTCCATCACCCGCTGGTCGGGATGGCACAACAAAGCGTTTATTCACACGGCGGAACTCTGCAGGCGCCGGGTGATTGAGACGTCGCAAGCTGCCAATGTCGACCATCGAGGGCCAGCGAGGAGTAGACGCCAGCCATCGTTGGATGGCAATGGTAGTGGACAAAAGCTCTTAATAAGAAGACGCAACAGTGTAATGGAACGGAAGAAGAAGGCCAGGAATCAGAACACGTCAAAGTTGAAGACTTACACTGACTACCTGATCTGAGACATCATGCGTTTCCGGTCTCCAGCAAGCAGACGGCTCGGTTCTGCGAGCTACCACGTCAGACCTGGGACTCACCCGAGACAGGCGATTGTTGTCGTGAAGATTACATGCCTAGCTGCAGAGATGTCAGTCGGTGTGCAAATAAATGTCCTGGTGTTGAAAACTTACCTTTCTATCGTAGTACCTACCTCAAAACATCATCAGCCACGAAATCGCTGAGGTGAGACGAGTTGCGCGTCTTCGTCCATGTGGAGGACTCTACGCATCAAGCGTACAACCAGTACTCCCCTCGCTCCACCCTGTCAACCGATTCGCAATATCACTAAAATAGCAATGCGTCGCAATCCCATCCTCTAGATTCCCGCTCGCCGCCACACTCCCACTGTTGTACATCCTCAAGCCGGCGTACATCGCCTGCACGCCATCGTCGCCCTCATCCTCAGCCTGAGCAATGACGCCCTTCAAGAGTGGTCCATCAGCGGTGCCGGAGACACCATCCTTGACCATCTGAACGATCTCGGACTTCGGACAGGGCGTCCTGTTGAAGCAGCTTCCTTGGCCGTTGTGCGACTGGAAGAGGCCTGGATTATTGACTCCGTAGTTGGTCGACCACACGCGTACGCAGCCGTCGCTCTCCTGCATCATGGTTGCGAGTGCAAAACGGGGGTCAACGCCTGCTGACCTGGACTCCGAGAGGATGGCGGCGCGGAGGTCTGCGATCTCTTCGGGAGAGTTGTCCTCCTGGTCGAATTGAGCGCAGCTTGATTTCATAGTCTCGACGTTGGCCGTCCAGAGGTCGTCGAAGGATTGCCAGTCGGATACGGTTGGCCAGCCCTGGGATGGTGAGCCGTTGCCCAGGAAGGTCGTGTAGTGGGATGCGCCGCCTGAATGCGCTGGTGGTGCTGGTTTTGGCGCGGGCGCTGGGTGGGAGGGAGCCGGTGGAGCCGGCTTGCTGGTGGGCACCGGTGGAGGACGCGATGGTGGAGGTGCTGGAGCAGTTGGGGGTTGCGAGTCCGCTGCAGCGATGGTGCAGAGCTCGCTGTCGTGAGCGGTGCAGACACACAATGTTCCTGCGGCCACATCTTGGAAGACTGCCTGACCCCAGCTGCAAATGGCGAACTTGCTGCCATCGGCATTGCAGAGTAGTGCTCCCTCAGTCTGGCAGGTTCCAGACCTGGCAGTGATGGGTTTGCTTGCAGCGCCTGCGACCAGCGCAGCGGTGAGAAGCGCGTGACAAAGCATTTCGAGAATGTTCTTGTTGATCGAGGTGTAAGGCCGTCCAGCGGTTGTTTTCTTACTGTCCAGCAGTAGATGTGTGGTATACAGTATATCGTCGAAAGATGCTGGGATGCCAAGACCAGGTTGGTGGGAGAGGGTCTCCTTATACGAAGGCGCATTGTCCCATTGTGACTAAGAAAGGCGCCGCCAATGGCCGCTTTATTCCTTGACTGTCCGAAGAAAGACTCAACGTTGGTGAAAAAGACCCATTGTGTCGTAAAGGGTCACGTGGTCATGTTCGCAGTCGACAAGAAGCGGCGGTCTGAGCTCGGCCTTTCGGTGTGGTATGAACGGCGTCGCAGCTCACGAGGGAGTGAATTCGCCCAGTCGTCCTAAGCAGTCAATTCATAGCTTCGATCTCTCACCCTCATCCACCACCTTCACCACAATCTTCCCATACACTTTCCGCTCGTGCAAATCTCCTAGCGCTCTTCCCACGTCCTTCAATCCCTCATACTTCCCATAAATCATCGCCTTCATCTCCCCCGTCCTCAGCATCCCGAGGTAGCCCTCCCAGATCTCCTCCAGCGTCTGCGGGAACCGCCGCCCGCTCTCGCCAAAGCGGTAGCCCATAATCGTCACAGACTTGAGCAGCAGCTTGTTCATCTTGACTTCCTCCATCACGCCCTTCCGTGCGGCAAAGCCGAGCACCACGATCCGGCCGAAGTAGGCGAGGCAGCGGATGGCGTCGTTGACCATGCCAGTATTATCTAGGCATACCTCTACCCCTTGGCCGTTTGTGAACTCCACGACCTTGTCGATCCAATCGCCCTCCATGATCAAGACCAGATCAACGTCCATATCCTTCTCCATCGCCGCAGCTTTGTCCTTGTCCCCTGCCAGTGCTATAACCTTTGCTCCCTTGGCCTTTGCGACCATGCAGCATACATTCCCAAGGCCGCCACTCGCTCCACTGACCAACACCGTCTCTCCTGCTTCTACCTTCGCAATGTTGACCACCGCAGCATAGCTCACCGCTTGTCCAGACATCGCACACGCCGTCTCCGCGCTCAAGTCTGAAGGAATCTTCCTCATCTGCCTCTGCGGCACACACACAAACTCCGCGAACGCTCCAATACCCGCACCAAACACTCTGTCGCCCTTCTTGAAAGCATCGCTCGCTCCATCACTTGGTACTGCTTCAACCACTCCGGCAAAGTCGTAGCCTAGGATGAACGGAGGATGGCACCAGCCCTTCTTCGCATTGTTGTTCTGGTGCTTGCCCTGGGCGTGCAGGATGTCGGCGTGTTGGGGGCTGCAGTGGGTTACGCGGACGAGGCATTGGTCGGGTTTGGGGGTGGGAAGAGGGACGGTGGTGGGGAGGAGGGTGGAGGGGTCCGGGGTGAAGGCGGGGATGTTGATGGCTTGCATGGTGGATATGGGAGTAACAGAATCGCTTACGGTGAGTACAGTGAGAGTCTATCTGCCAGGAGTGGTGCTTGCAGCATCTTAAGTGCGACGGAGTGCAGTGTTGTCAGAGCCGAGGTGAAGGTGAAGTCAGTCACTCTGCCTCTGCCACGGCACGGGTCTTGGCGTTATATCAAACGATTGGTATCATGCTAAGGTATCTACAACCACGTCCCCAGATTGACATGCACAGCCTTCTTGTTGGTATACGCCTCCAGCCCTGCCTCGCCCAACTCTCTCCCGATCCCACTCTGCTTCACGCCTCCAAACGGAATCCTGTAGTCGGAATCCTGACTGCTATTGATCCACACCATGCCCGCCTCGATCTTCCTCGCCACCCGATGTGCCTTCACAATGTCTTTCGTGAAGAGCGCGCTGCCGAGTCCATACGTCGTGTCGTTGGCAAGGGCCAATGCTTCCTCTTCATCCTTGAACGACACCACCACGACAAACGGGCCGAACACTTCTTCCCGGAAGATGCGCATGCTGTCTTTGACGTTCGTAAACACAGTCGGAGAGACAAAGAATCCTTTGCCTTCGCCAACATTCTTGTACGCCTCCCCGCCCATCGCCAGCGTAGCGCCTTCACTCTTCCCGGTGTCGATGTAGCCGAGTACACGCTCATACTGTGCTTTCGTGACCTGTGGACCTTGGAACGTCTCGTCCTTGAATGGGTCGCCGACTTTGCTCGTCTCAGTGACTTGCTTCTTGAACGCTTCGATGAATTTGTCGTAGATGGACTCCTGGACTAGGATCCGAGAGGTAGCGGTGCAGATTTGGCCCATATTGCTCATGATGCCAACGTGGGACCACTTGACTGCTTGATCTAGATCTGCGTCGTCAAAGACCAGCAGTGGAGACTTGCCGCCGGTTTCGAGCGTGATGTTCTTCATGGTCAGCGAGGCCATCTTCATGATCTCTCGGCCAGTGGACGTGGACCCGGTGAAGGCGATCTTGTCAATGCCTGGGTGCTGGGCCATTGCTGCGCCAGCCACTCTGCCATGTCCGTTGATGATGTTGATCACGCCTGGAGGGAAGCCGGCTTCCTTGACCAGGTTGGCGAAAACGAGGATGCTGAGTGGTGTCTGCTCAGCGGACTTGAGAACAACAGTATTACCGCATGCTATTGCTGGTCCGAGTTTCCAGGCAGCCATGGCAAGAGGATAGTTCCAGGGTATGATCTGGCCGCATACACCAATGGGTTCGCGAATGGTGTAGGCGAGTTTGGCGGGAGAGGTGTCAATCACTTGACCATGGATCTTGTCGGCCCAGCCGCCGTAGTACTTCATACAGCCAGCCACTTCTGCGAGGTCCTCGTTCAGGGCGACAGAGTAGGGCTTGCCTGGATATCATCAGTCCAACAACTCATTTGTCCTTGTCGGGAACGTGTTACCGTTGTCCCACGTCTCAATCGTAGCCAGCACCTCTTTGTTCTGGTCAATCAGCCCGGCCAGGTTGATCATAAGATCTCCTCGCTCTGTTGTTGCCATATCCCTCCATGGCCCTTTAAAGGCTGCTCTTGCTGCTTCCACCGCCTTGTCGACATCTTCGGGCTCTGCTGCATGTACGCTGGCAATCTCAGACTCGTCGGTGGGGTTGATGGAAGTGATCTTGTTGCCTTTCGAGGATGCCACCCATTCGTTGTTTATGAATAGGCCGGTGGGCTGGGTGTATTTGACGCCATTGGGCGCTGTGAGCTCGACTGTGAGGCTCGACATGGTGTTGATCTTTCGAAGGGGTGAGATGCTGCCAATACGGGAGTAGACGGGAGAGGTTCTGGAGAAGAGGGAGAAGATGGAACGGGAGAGCATGTGAGAGAAGAGCACCAGACCTACCTCTCCAGCGATACCGCAGAGCTTGACCTTGAATTGTTGTGTTCTTGGTCCCGATCAACAGAGATACAGGACCCCACCGTGCCCCTCAGCCACGTGCTAGCCTCGCCGCATTGGGCAGGTACACGCGCGCTGCCCAGAAAGGAAGGAGCCACAACTGCACCTCAAGTCCATTTCGTGACATAGAAGGGCAACTTCCCATATCATGGCATGAACAGGTCTACTTGAGCAATGGCAACAAGATCTGCCTCCAACCCCACCGGCACGCCTGCCCAAGCGACCGCCTACCTCACCTCCCTCCTCAACAAGACCCTCCACATCCACATCTCCGACGGCCGCATGTTCGTCGGCCAGCTCAAGTGCACCGACAACGAGCGCAACATCATCCTGGCCATGACACATGAGTACCGCCAGCCGTCGAAGAAGGACGTTGAGAGGGCGGCGGCAGAGCATGAGGCGAGCGAGAAGGCGGGAAAGGTTAAGGTAGACATGAAGAAGAGGTTCGTTGGGTTGGTGGTCGTGCCGGGGAGGTATATTGAGAAGGTGGAAGTGGAGGGGTGAGGGGGATGTGTGGTCTCGTCAGTTGTACGCAGATGGGCCACAGCATAGCAGACGTGAGCTGTTGCTGTTGCACCTCGCGTTACGTCTCGTCACCAGAGTGACACTACACATTGGGGCGGCAAACGTCTTCAAGGTCATTTCAGCTGATCGAAGGCCGCCTATGCCTGATCCCCCTTCTCCACCATCTTACCCGGACAGCATGTCTTCTTCTACCAACGACGCTCCTCAAAACGAAGCGACTCCTCTCGAACAGTTGCAGCAAGTAATATCCCTCTGGTCCAAAGGTACCCAAGACCTCCGGTCTATTTTTACCTCTGGAACTTTCACAGAATGCGCGGAAAAGATCCGCAAGCTGCCTCTCGCCGCTGGAGCTGAGCAGATCCTCCGCACGTCTCCGGACTTGGATACTCAACACGATCTTAAGGTGATTACAGATCTGGCTGAGTCACTGGTCAAGCTTTCCGTGTGGCTCGAAGAGACGGTATGCAAACATTGATTGGGCGGCTCTCCATGCGGAGCAGCAGCTGACCATCCTGCGATCAGAGCACTGAGCTCCGGAGTATCCGTTCCGATCTCGATGCTGGCGAAAATGTTATCATGGCATCGTGGAACAACAGACCGAACATTAGTGACAGGAACCTTTTTAAAGCCGTGGAACTGACGTTTTCACTGGCAATTAAATTGCCAGAGCTGCAGTCGTCATTTGACCAGGCCATAACGAAGTGGCGGGGACTCTTGCATGACCTCGTTGCGAAGATGGAATCCATGGAACTGCATATGACAGAGCGGGAGGCGGTCGAGCTTATTGTGGATGAGATCATGAATTTAGACAGCCGGTAAATCCTCTAATGAATATTCACGTCGTTTTCCAAAACCGCAGTCAAAGCTTACAATCGTGGCTTGCAGTCTGTGACCACCTCAACCAACCTCATCACTTCCTCCGCAGCTCCATAGCTATACCGATACCCCGTCCCGCCGAAGCCATAAGCGTGCACCACCTTGCCTTCCCGCTCTATTCGGAACCCAGATGCACGTCCCGGTCTGAACCCGACCACATCCCGTACAACATCCCGCACCAAGTCGACATTCCGCAGTGCTCCGCCCGTCATTTCATTCGTCCTACGGAGGATATCCTTCCGCAGCTCCTGATCAACAGTGGTCGTGAGGTCTCCGGGCTGTTCGATGCCACCGATGATTGCCGTGTCTGGAGCCGCAATCCTGGGTATGACATATGTGTATTCTCTGCCTCTTCTGACTCTGATTTCGGAGAAAGCTCGGTTTGCCGTTGAGCAGCCGCCAGCATGCACAAGCATCGTCTGACCACGGATAGGAATGGCTTCTCGATCGCAAGCTAACGCTCTCGCGCCGTTGCCGGAAGCATTGACGACGATTCGACATTTCAGGAGCCCACGAGCTTGTTCAAGCCCGGTCACTTCCCGCTGCACAAACTCAACACCATACCTTGTTTGGAGCTGCGCCATGAGCCAGGGCAAATAAACATCTGGATCGACGGCGAGCGCCCTGAACGTGTTGCCGCAGAGTGTGCCAGGCGCGAGTTCATGTTTGTCCAGACTTCGAAATCCAGGGAGATGGTCCGCATACCAAGGTCTGTCCACTGTCTGCCGGTCATCCCAGTACTCTGTCGCTTGGACCGCCTATTCCATTGTTATCGGCATCGATCACGGCATCGGAACGGCATACTACACTTACCTGCACACCTGTTTCACTGCCTTGCTTTGCCAATGCTCCAAACTCGTTGAAAGCCACTTTCTGCATCCGAACATCTCTCTCGTCTTCAGTCGACGCGGGCAGTATCACTGCACCTGCCCTGTTGCGCATTAGCAACTCTGGATTGAACTGGTAGCTCTGTTGCTATCTCACCAAGGACTGGCCCAATCGAGTGTTTTGTCCCCGGGCAAGTGTTTTGCCACCACTCTAACCCGATAGCCTTTCCGACTCAGACACAGAGCAGAAGTCAGGCCGACAACTCCGGCGCCAAGGACGCCCACGTCGCAGGGGTTACTTGCCATGCCGTTGATAGATGGGGTTATGTGCGGTGTTGATTGAGAACAAACACTTTGAGGTTGGAGAGCTAGAATAGTCTCAACACCCGACGTTGAAAGAGTTCCAAAGCGGATTTCCGAATGAATACAACCCATGTCCGTTTCACCACAGGTCCCATCGATCTACTGAATCATGCAGGTGGGCACACAATCCAAGCTGCAGCTGATACGGATCGGGGCAAGCCGAGCACCCTCGGGAGACATCCGAACAAGTTATGAAGTTGGGGTCTGACATGCCACGCGATGAGAGCGGAGAGGGTCATGTACCAATTTGCAATGCGCAACGAGTGAACTGCATTCTCACGATCCTTCTGTGTAGGCACCAACAGCATTGCCATGGTTACTCCAGCAGCTTCCCACCCGACAGCTCCACCTCCAGGTCGAACTCGGGAACAAACTGAGTATGCATGCAAGCTGGGTACCCCGACACTTTGTACGAGTAGAGCGCCTCCTCATCACCAACCAGCTTCTTGGGGATGCCATTGGCAGCAGCGGATTCGGCTAGAAGCTGCGCTTCGCATGCCCGCTCGAGTGCGATGAAGGAAGCCGCTGCTTCGTCTACGGTGTAGCCTGCGGTGAGGAGACTAACGTGCATTAGCGGAAACGAATTGCCCGCTCGGTCGTGGTGTTTTACCCATGGTTCTGGAGAATCAAGTTCTTGTTCTTCTCCCCCAGTGCATCGGCAAGACGCTTTCCCTCCTCCTGGGCTAGGACGACACCACCGAAGCCTTCGTAGACGCCAAGGCCTTGGTAGAACATGCAGGAGTCTTACTGCTGGTCAGCTACAGGCGGGAGTTGAGGTGGAGAGTACGTGCCTTGGTTCAACATCTCCAGGCCTCGACCAAAACATGACCACGCTCGGCCAAAAGGCGAATGCATGTGGCAGATGGCATTCAGGTCTGGTCTCGCTCGGTGGATGGAGCTGTGGATGATGAACCCGGCAGCATTGACCTTGTGCTTCGTCGGCTCCATGGGAGTGCCCTCATGGTTGATGAGTACAAGATCACTGGCTTTCATCAGAGCGAAATGTTTGGCGTATGGGTCTGTTTGCGATCAGCAAGTAGTTAAAGTCTTTAACCTCAAGTCCGACATACTGATCCAAAACAGCTCAGGGTGCACTGGGTCACGGAGGCTGATGTGACCAGATGCACCGTCCGCCCATCCGAGTCTTGCAAACGTCCGGAAGGCTGCGGCCATGTGTTGTTTCGCCCATTTGCGCTCCTCGTACTTGTCTTCGAACTTTGGTACTACGTGCAAGCTCGATGGAGCTGTACCATCTGATACGTCCCAGTTGAGAGCATTGTTCACCGCGGGCTTTGGCGCAGTGGACAGCTGGAGAGGCGCAGCTGGGGCGGCGGTGGTGGTGATTGTTGATGTTGACATGGTCAGCTGGTGGATATGTGTTTTAAAGGTCGAATAGATCTCAGCGTGCTTTGATGATCTCGACAAAAGAGTCACCGTTGAAGAGCTCTTGAGATCAACAAGCTGTTTCGGTGGTTGGCAATGTCCGACCCATGCAATGATGCAGCAGGCTCGAGCCGAATGCTGATAACGAGGTTCGGTACTACCCGCGGGACAGCATGATCTGCAGCAGTCTATTGACAGTGGCCAAGGACGAAGGAATCGGAACAGTACGCGTCGCAAGCACTTCAACGTTATCTCGCCATGTCATGGAGAAGATTGCGAACCGAATTGCACATTCCCAGCTGCGCAATGCCGTTGATTCCGCTCGACGCCTCTTCGGAATTGACCAGCGGGAGAGATAGCTCTTGCCGACCACCCTCCTGATTCGATAACATTGCTTGAGCCCGATCGGACAGCATGTTGAACGTGTCTCGATACGGCTGAGCTGCTGCCCACCGCTCCGTCATAATCACAAGCACTATCGTGCATGAGGTACAGATGCTGGAAACTTCGTGCTTGCTGTACGTCGAGCGGACCTGGTTGCTGACACAGAGGCAATGGATGAAGACGAGACCAGCTACGAAGAGCACGTGGAGAGCTCCCCATCCGGTGTAGTTGACAGTACTTGTGAGATAGAAGTCTCGATAGATCGTGCAGATTGCGGATGCCGAAGCTGCACACTCGAGGTACACTGAGGCAAGGTTCTCGTTGCTCGACAGGGTTAGATCTTCCAGTCGGCGACGGTGCATCAGTAGTAGCGTGTGGTTGTAGCTCAATTCATACCACTTGCGTGATCCGAAAGCCACAGAAGAAGTTCCAGGCTGTCGGTCTTGTCCGGGATGTGTGTTGAGCCAGTCTTGAAGTTTCTGTCGAATCTGTGCATACTCAGCATTGGTTGTAGAGTTTGTTTGATCCCGTCGATTGACGATGGACTGCATGTCGCCCCATATACGTCTCATCTTGATACCGTGTATGGCAGCAGAAAGTGTCGTCGGGTACCTCGTGTTGTCCTCGCTTGGTTGGCACAAAAGACCGCCAGAGGTAACATTCTCATCATCGATGTCCAATGGCAGCTTTTACCATCAGCACGAATGTATTGAAGCCATCGAAGGATGTTGTCACTCACATCAACACTGATATCGGAGTCTCCAATACCAAAGGGCCGTCCCAGCGAGAAAGATGCAGAGCGATCAATTGTGTACGCCACCCAAAAGGCTCGCTTGCGGGTTTCAGCGGTGAGCACATCTACACTGTCCAGCGGCCAGGTAGTAATGCGGTGGTATCCCAACTCGATGCACTGACGGAGTGCGAATCCAGACAGCGTCCTGTCCGTTGGTGAGCAGCAAGTTTTGCCAGTATTGAGCACAGATTTGACTTACCACAACGATGCACCGCTGATCGATCTCATCGAATACATCGCACAGCAAAGGATAGCCTGCACACATTCAAGCCCATCGTCTGACAGCACTGCATCCAGCGCAGTCTCTGCAGCAGCCTCAAAGTTCTTGAATCGTATTAGCGGCATACCATATGATCGCGTGGCTAAACGTCACCATACCTCCGCTGGAGTGGGACTAGAAGTTGGCGTAACCAGTGCTCCCACTGCGTATACCTGCTCCGAATCAGTCGATACCCTCTGGATAGGTAGTCGCCGGGGTACCATGTAGACGAAGAACAGGTGCCTTTGAGATGGCTGAATGCCTGCTTCAGTTGCTCTGTAAACTTCGTCCTGCCATAATTGGAATGTAGGTCGATGCAAAAACGGATACCTATCTTGCGTTACTCGGTTCTTCAGGCCTAACGTCGCAATGCAGCCACAGTCAACTCACTGTGGATGTACGTGTTCAAAATAAGAAATCTCCAGCAGTTGGCCAAACAGTTGGCCAGGCAATGGGGCAGGCTCTGGTCGTGGTAGCTGCTGTAGTATCGAGTCTCGGATGCCGCCCATCGTGAGGCCTGGTCCTTGAACGCGTAAGGAACGCAGGGAGGACCCCAGGATCCTTGAAAACGAGAGAGCTGAAGACGGCCCGTAGTATGATGACTTTCCCACTGCTGAACTCATGCAGAGCCTCTCAATAGTAGCCGTGAGCTCTTCGGAGTCGGGCTGGGGTGCTTCTTCGGCATGCTGCTGGAAGTTCGCGGTCGAGCTGTGATCGGTCAATTGCTGCATGCTAACATCACTGCTCGACATGCCATATGTGCTCAGTCGGGGATCGTGCACTGTCAATTGATCTGCGCCAGAGGTTCCAGGGGAATTGAATGAGATGGAAGCATCAATAGTGCGTGTGTCGTCCACAGATGTCTCTGAGCGGGACCGGGAGAGCAGACATTCGAGGTATTCGACTCTCTGCTCCAAAGTCTCGATGTAGCCTGGTGGTATCCTGCGTTTGGTAGATGGGTCTTCCAGCGTACAGTCTGATCATGGTGAATAAGGAAGCAAGCTCGAGCTGAGACGACGTTGCGTACTCTGGCCACTTTTGCGACAGTTACCACAGGAAGGCGTTCCTCCATCACACTACAGTACATCAGCACCGGTCACGCTGTTCGTAATGGTTCTGCCTACTCGTTGCTTTCGGCGCTTGCATTGAGAACATGCGATCCGGATCCGCTTGGACGGCGGAGTGGCGGATGACATTGTAAGGCTATCGTGGTAGCGAAGGATTAACGTAGTGTCGACTCAGTCTAAGGAGGGTCATGGTATACAACGGCATTGTAGCTGTTGCTATCACGATACGACTGTTGATACGGATGTTAAGCTCCTTGTTATCCGGCCAAACATCGGTACTGTCGGCAAGGAGATTGTCTCCGCACCAGGCCTGAATCATGGCGTTGCATCCATCCAGAATGCACTCTATACGATTCATCTACCTACGTAGTCGACGCACTTTCCAATCGCTCAGCATTGATTGGTGATATGGCCTTGCCGGTCGCGAAGAACGACCTCATGTTCTCCAACGCCTCTCGATATGCCTTTTGCCACGCCATGTCGGTGATGCCGCCTGCGAACGTCTTGTCAGCATGGAGGCCGAAGAACCCGAAACAGACCACTTACCCATATGAGGCTGGATCATGACCCTGTCGCTCTCCAGGAAGTATTTGTTTGGTCGAGGCTCACCAACGAAGACATCCATCCCGGCTCGAGCGATCTTTCCGCTCTCCAAAGCTTCGATCAAAGCTGGCTCGTCAATGATGGCCCCGCGAGCAGTGTTCACCAGAAAGCTGCCATCTTTCATCATGCTCAGCTGCTCCCTGCCAATCATGCCGCGAGTGTTTTGGTTGAGAGGACAGTTCACAGACACGACGTCTGATACTCGGAACAGCTCGCTCAAGGTTCCGCAGTACGTGGCATCCAAGCTGCGTTCCATATCGTCTGGCAGTTGGTTCCGTTGGAAATACACGATCTTCATGTTGAACACCTTGGCCTTGCGTGCAACATGCTGGGAATGGTCAGTACCTGAGAACGTGCAAGGACACTGTCGTAATACGCACCTTTCCGATTGCGCCCATACCGATGATGCCCAAGGTCAGCCCTGCAGGATCCCGGACCGGCGCCAAACCTCCTCGCCATCTACCCTCTCGCATGCTAATATGCAACCTGCTGTAGTCCCGCAAGATCCCCAGCGTTAGGAAGACGGCCAGATCTGCAGTGGACTCATCAACGGCTTTTCGGCTGTTGCAGAAGAGGATGTTGTTCTTGGTCATCCATTCAACATCATAATCGTCGTATCCAGCAGACGCAGAAACAAGAATCTTGCATTGAGGTAACAATGGCTTCAGCATCTCCTCATCGAATGGTTCGTATCTGTCTGCCCATGAGCATCTCACGCCACCAACGACTGCAGACTTGCTTACGGTCCCGTTCCCATGAGGATGGCGATGGCTTCAAAAGGCCCATCGCTTTCCACCTTGGCCTTCAATGCAGCTACTGTGCCTGCTCGATCGCTCGGCTCAATCCACTGCATCAATCAGCAATTGCAGAATTTCGAAATTCGCAGACTCGACATACATGGAGCTCAAATTCCTTCTCGAATGCCTCTAGATATTCTTTGCCGGCCCACGATGGATACGATATCGAGACCACCTTCGGTTTTCCATTGCTTCTTCGCACGTTCTGTGGTGGCGACATTATGAGCGCTGATATTGTCTCTCTTGCTTTGCTCAGCATAGGCTATCAGATCGACTGACAAGGCTGAGCTTCTTGTCCTTGTTGCTCACTTCTCATATACGGGACTATCTTGCTGTGGGTCTGTCTACAGATGCCGCCCTGCATGTGCGAAGGCGATCGCTGTGGGTCCCGGTTCAAGCCGATTCGGGTGGATGCGATGTATGAAGGCAAGCACATCAGCAACGCTCTTCGATTGTTTAGCTCCGGCTAAGAAAGGAATCAAGATATAGCCTTGAAGCTCTGCATTGATTGAACTTGCGAGAAAGAAGCGTTATCATCTCACCTGCAACCATGGGCTCACTCGGCGAGCCTGATCGACCGCGGCAGCCGCCTCTTGGACTGTTAATGTCGGAGATCAAGATATTCAGGTCGCCAGGAGATGTCAACAACCCTCGAACCTTCGACTTTCCTACGATCCAGGCAATGGCAAAAGACTCGCTGCTTGTTCGCTTGGTATCGAGCGAGACTTATGGTCAGGACTTCATCGACAATTTCGTCGCTGCCGGCGAAGACCTAGTTGCTCGAGGGGCAGTCGGCATCATCACGAGTTGTGGGTTCTTGGTGCTGGCGCAGAAAGAGTAAGTGTTGGAGAAATGGGGAATGCCTTCATGCTAATAGTCCACCAGATTATCTCGCCGCCTGCCAGTCCCCGTTGCGGCATCCTCGCTTCTGCAGTTGCCTACCATCCGGACGATTCTGCCGCCTCAGCAAGCAATAGGTGTTTTGACCTTTGACGGAAGCCGGCTGAATGGAACTCACCTCAACGCTATAGGTATCCAGGACCATAGCCAGATTCACATCGCAGGCCCACCAAAGGACGGGTACATGAAAAGGTACATCCGTGATGGAGCACCATACGACTTCGAAGCTCTGGAAGCGGAACTGGTTGCAACAGCGCATGCGCATATCAAGCGTCATCCGGACATTGGCGCCTTGGTTCTGGAGTGTACGCAGTTCCCACCATTTGCGTATGGTCTGCAGCAAGCGACCAAGCTCCCAGTGTATGATGTGTACACTTTGGGACGATGGCTGTACTCGGCCATCGTCAGGACACCTTTCGCACAGTGGACCGAGGAGGAACGGATGGAAGCAAATCAGCAGGTCCCGCGCACTGCAAGAGAGCTTCTCGAGCATGGCGATTCGCAGAACTGAGGACTCGTCTGGCGGGGGACAGTGCGTTGAGCATTCGCAGACCCTACGTAGATTGGCTGTACACAATCATGGGGCCATCGGTCTTTGTCCGCGTTTCAATACCCACTGTTCACACTGCACTCTGCCCATTGCTGGTCGTTGCGGTCTAAGCCGATGCTTTCGAGGATGCAAGCCTGGGCAAGTTGGCCGATTTTCGAGTCATGGGTGAGTTCTTCGGCACGTCCCTATCATGTATCTTGTATCCTTGCTTGGCCGCCCGGCAGGTATCCGCAGAGAGATAACCAACAGCTTCTCGTTGACATATATGCAAGGCCGTCAACATGCCATAAAGGTAAGTCCCATGCTGCTTTTGTGACGGAACACCTAGTTTCATCTCGTCGAAGAATTGTTAAGAACACCTTCTTCACTTGCATCGTCCACCCGCCGAGAACATGACTACTGCAATCGATGGGGCCGCGAAGAACAGGGTCTCGTTGACGGTCGAGCCTCATGGCCCAACGTCCTCCGGAGACTTCGGCAAAGGCGACATTGCTGAGCTCGACGATGGAATGACATACGTCCCAGATCCAGAGCTGGAGAGGAAGCTTATTCGAAAGATCGATTGGATTATGATCCCGATGCTATGGTGGATGTGTATCCTCGCATACGTCGACCGCAACAATATTGGTAACGCAAAAGCTGCGGGTGGGTACTCTTCTGATCCGTCGGATAGATTGATGAACTGACAGACGCAACCAAGGCATGACTGACGCATTGGGAATGGATGACCAAGGTGAGCGCTATCCTGCGAATCGTCCAGTCTGATGACCATGCTGACACGGAGAAGCCTACGCTATGCTTATTAACATCTTCTTCATTGCATACTTGCTTGGAGAGATTCCTTCCAACCTGATATTGGCCCGGTCCAGGCCGAGCCTCTACCTGCCCGGGATCATGGCGATATGGGGTGCTCTAGTGTGCGGCATGTCACAAGTGGACTCCTACGGCGGCATGTTGGCCTATCGATTCTTCTTGGGCTTGATAGAAGCAGGCTTCCTGCCTGGTGTGCTGTATCTGATGACGTGCTGGTACAAGAGGAACGAAGTCGGTACGTAGTGGACTCCTCCAGTGGTGATGGCGAACGCTGACGCTGTTCAGGCAAACGGTTTTCGATCTTCTTCACCGCGTTGTGCTTTTCAGGAGCCGCCAGCGGTTTGATCTCTGGGGCCGTCATATCGGGTCTTGATGGTTCAAGAGGCATGGCTGGATGGCGGTGGTGAGTGTTACCGTTGAACCCAGCTTTGTGGAACGTGAAGGCTGATGGGCTGTCCATAGGCTGTTCCTCATCGAAGGAATCCTGACCGTAGCAACCGCAGCCGTCGCTATCACGGTCCTGCCAAACTACCCTGCAACGACGAAATGGCTCAAGCCAGAACAGAGGCAGCTGTTGGCTGCCAGAGTACTCGCTGACCGACGATCAAAAGAGGCAACTCACGTTCCTCGCAAATTCACCGCTTTCGAGGCTTTCAAGGCTGCCCTGTCCGACCTGCGGACATACTTCTTCATGGTGCTGTGAGTGAACGAATCATCGGTGGCCATTCGGATGCATCCTCTGACTTTTCGCTTCCAGGTACATGCTCGACAACGGATCCGCCATCTTGAACTATTTCGTACCGACAGTGCTGCAGCAGATGGGATATGAAGGCGTCGAAGCGCAGTGGATGACTGTGCCCGTTTGGGTAGTCGGCACAGTCGGACTCATCGCCCTTTCTCAATCATCGGACCGTACTGGCGATCGACGTTGGCATATCACAGGCGGCCTCACCCTCGCTTTCACGAGTGGCCTGATTGTTGCATTCGCCAGTATTGCCGCTGCCCGCTATGCCTTCATCTGCTTCTTCATCGCTGGGGTGTACGCGACACTGCCTTTGATTTTGACCTGGCTGACAGAATTCATGCCATTGCCTTCGGAGAAGAGAAGCGTCGCGATCGCCGCCGCAAACGCTGTTGGAAACATAAGCGCTCTGTACGGGAGCCAGCTCTGGCCAGACAGCGACGGACCAGCTTACATCAAGGGGTTCACCGCAGTGGCCTGCTTTAGTGGTGTTGGTGCAATCCTGGCCGCGTTGCTGCCTATCATATTCAAAGTGCTTCCTCGCTTTCCCACGAAGGCAGAGAGGGAGTATGCTGCGGAGGACGAGGCGTCGACAGGTGGGGCTGGCGTCAGCCGGTCGGAGTGAGGAGGAAATTGGAGACATCAACAGGAGAGTGGCCGGGCGGGATCGAATACCAGAGGTTGTTGGACACTTTTGATCGTGGTAGGAGGTATAGAAGCTCAGTTCCTGCGACTGCGGAGGTCGTGCCATCGAAAGACTTTCTGTAATCGGCCTGTTCCGTCCTTGATGCCGCTCTCGGCCAGCTCCGGTAACATATAAACATCCTCTGTAGCCTGCTTTGTCTCGTCGAATGACTGAAGTACACTGGAGAGCCTGAGACTGCAAGAACTCGCAGATGCTTGGACTCCCAACAGCCTGCAGAATGGGCCCAATCGAACATCCCCAGTCCGCCTTGTTGCAGAGGTCAACCACCAAGCAATATCCTGAAGCGGTCTCCGGAGATGGTGTGTACATCATCCAGGAGGATGGAACTCGCATTCTGGACGGCTGTTCCGGGGCCGCAATATCATGTCTCGGGCACAGTGAGCAAGTCGTGATCGATGCCATCGTGGAGCAAGCCAGGAAGTTGTCGTTCGTGCACGGGTCATTCTTCACGAATAGGCCGGCCGAAGAACTGGCACAACATTTCATCAGCCTCAGCGATGGCGCATTTTCGAAAGCAGTCTTCCTGAGCTCGGGTTCGGAGGCTATTGAAACGGCGATAAAACTGGCCAGACATTACCACCTCTGTAAACAACAACCGAAACGAACGAAATACATTGCCCGTTACGGCTCGTACCACGGAAACACCATCGGAGCCTTGTCAGCCAGTTTCAATCCAGTGCGGCGTGAACCCTTCGAACCGATTCTGTCGCCAGTGTTCCGCCATGCGAGTGCTTGCCACTACTCACGCGATGGGCTACCAGGAGAAAGGGAGGACGATTATGTTGACCAGTTGGCCTTGGAAATGGAACAGCTGTTTATCGAGGAAGGCCCAAGTACGGTTGCCGCTGTCATCGTCGAGCCGGTTGTTGGTGCCACCCTCGGAGCCGTTCCAGCCGCGAAAGGGTACCTCCGTCGACTGAGACAGCTCTGCGATCGCTACGGAAGTTTGCTCATCTTCGATGAGGTAATGTGCGGCTTGGGACGAGTCGGCACTACCCACGCATGGCAGTCTCTCGGCGGAGTGCAACCTGACCTGCAGACCATCGGCAAAGGTCTAGCTGCCGGCTACCAGCCAATCTCTGGAGTCCTGATCAGTCCTACTGTCGCCGATCAGCTGGAGCAGTCCTCGAAAGCCAATGCTTTCGTAAGTGCACATACGTATCAAGCCCATCCGATCGCTTGTGCAGCAGCGCTTGCCACACAGCGGACAATAGACAAGCGGGATCTCCTCGGTAATGTGAGGAGAGTTGGAGAATTGCTTGAAGCCCAGCTTCGCTCAAGAGTGCCGTGCGTGGGCGAGGTTCGGGGTATGGGCTTGTTTTTGGGGGTGGAACTTGCTGGACCGATGGCATCGAGAGTCACCGATGCATGCTTGGAGCGAGGTGCAGCGGTATATTTGTGCTCGCCGGTGGTGAATGCTATCATATTGGCACCGCCGTTCATTCTCACGCCGGAGGAGGCGCACGACCTGGTCGAGATGATACGGGAAGCTGTGCTTGCGGTGTCAAGTAATGACAATGTCAATGCTTGAGGCTGCCATTCGGGCCCGTCTATGTAAGACTGCAGGTACATTCGTAGGTACGCCATGGTGAACATCGAGCTTGCCGTTCAGATCCCATGCGGAAGGCGTGTGGACCAACCAGCAGTCTGATCTCTCTTGGACTTCCATGACCCATCTGAGAACTTCATCCGTTGTTGAGGAGGCGCTCGTAGTGTTTAGCAATGTCCTCACTGGCTTTGGCGCACTGCCTCTGAGCATCGATGGCCGTCTGGAGCATACTTCTCAGCTCTTGGAACTCTGAGCTCACAGCCTTGGTTTCGCCATGGCCCCTTTTGTATGTGTCCTGCTGAAGAGAAGCCTCCACATCGCGAGGAAGTCCTGTGACTGCGTTCTGCCCTTTTGTCATTGCCTGCAGACCGCCATGGTCGGCAGCTATCACCATTTCTCTGTCCTTTAAGCCCTGTGGAATTACGACACCGTCAGCCGAGTAGATCCCGAGAATGCGTGGTACATACCAGTATATGACCGTACATCAGCAGTACGAATACTGTAGGCACGACAAAGGCAATCAAGATTGCTCTGTTTCCTCCGCTGCCCGTTGACAGTGATAGACTGTTTTTCCAGCTGCTCCCAAGGTAGGTACCCATACCAACAATGAACAGCAGGATGCCCATGACCACTATCTCGAACGGCGCCTTCAAGATCATATGTGCCACCACGGAGCTCTGCAGTTCCCATTGTCCGGTCGAGTCACTCAAATGCCTCCCGTCGGCAAGCCATATCCGCAGGTCTTTTGTCTCAATCTGCCCACCAAAGGACGACTGCTGGAGGCCGGAGAAAAAGACTGACAGCAAAGACAGGATGAGGGACATGACGAAGCTGCCCCGGGCGACGTAATGGCACTCTTCAAGTGTTGGTAGTTGCAGGGCCGTAACCGCGCATGAGCTGATGAGGCCGCCCTGTCCTTTGTCAGTATCGCTTGTACGGAGTAACTCGTGCACCGTTCCACCCACGATAATGGCTATCATGCCGCACACACTCAACTGGCTGATCCTCCAACTCTCCACCTGCGCGTCTGTGCCATGGTTGATCAAGTCCTGCGTCTCCTCGAGCTCTTTCACGTCAATCATCAGCCATGGCTTCCATCGCACGCTCTTCCCGTATCTCTTCTCGGCATAGTCGGTGGTGATGCGGGCTGTCGAGCCTCGATTGCTCACGTAGCGAGAGATCAGCAATGCACGACCGGCGAGACGAGCAGGAAGGCCGAGAAGAGAGAAGAATTCGACCATATCCATCATTCATGTGCGCTGAGGCTTTGCCGGGGCGAGCCTTGAGAGGTGTGCGAATTCTCCGAACAGCGCGAAAGCGAGTCCCGATGGCCACCCCTGCCACCGTGTCCACACTACATACATGTAGTATGAACGGCATCGTTCTTGTGGCCATCCGCCGTCAATTGCAAGGTCGATGCTTCAACAGGGATACGGCCCTGACAGCGATCTGTCGCTGGCGAGCGACTCTGGCGGGTCGCAAAGGCGTCAGAACACACCACCATCAACCAGTTCGCTTCTTACACCTTCATCACCGAAGGAGCTGACATGAGCAGTCAGTTGAGACCTGAACGATTTATGGAGCATAAAAAGGGTTCGACTGCGCTATAGCAATTGGTCATGACCGACTAGTTCTACTGGATCTCAGCCCTGGGGATCCCGACTTGCATCGTTGTAGGGCTCACCAGCTGAACTTCTAGTCGCATCCGTTGTGCGATCCACAAATACTGCCCCAAACTCCTCCTCTGCGTGTAAGTGCTTGCCTTTCAGGTTCTTCTAAACGTCCGCTTTCGCACCATCTCTCACCCTTGGTCCTGTTCGTACTACCAACATCTCCAGCCATGGCACCCGGAAAAGACTACAGCAGCTTGGGCGCCTGGGTCGTGATCCACAACTCGGACCTCAACATCGACCGCCACAAATGCCACCGCGTCGTGCCCATGCAAGTGCTCTGCTTAGGCGCCCCTCGGACTGGCACGTTCTCGATGCAGGAAGCGCTGGCGATTCTCGGCTACCAATCACCCTACCACTATTCCAGCGTCTTCTCCAACGTCCAGGACGCCGACATGTGGCAGGAAGCACTGCAGTACAAATTCCACAGCAAAGGCAAGCCGATCGACTGGAGGAAGCACTTCGACAAGCTGCTGGGCCATTCCGCCGCCATCACTGACGCACCCGCTGTGCTCTTCTGGCAGGAACTTCTCGACGCATATCCCGGAGTGAAAGTGGTGCTCGTCGAGCGAGATGAGGAGAGGTGGTACCAGAGCATGGAAGTGCTGCTAGAGGGATTGTTGAACCCAGTGGGACGAAACGTAATCCGCTTCACCGATCCTCTTTGGTTTGGTCGAATCAGCAATCTCGGCGCAGGGTGGATCGAGGCGTTGTTCGGGAGTAGGAAGCTGGCGGAGGCGAAAAGTAATGCTCGCAAAGCGTACCGGAAGCACTACGCTGAGATTCGAGCTGGTGTACCAAAGGAGAGAATGTTGGAGTTTGAACTGAGCAGTGGCTGGGCGCCTCTCTGTACGTTCCTGGAGAAGCCGGTACCCAAAGTGCCTTTTCCGCGACTGAACGAGGCGGCTGCGCTGGAAAATGCGTTTGGTGCTTTCATTGTAAAGGCGTTGAAGCATTCAGCATTCAATCTCGCAGTGGGAGTTGCGATAGTAGCGATATCTGCCGGGGCTGTATGGAGGTGGCTCGGTTGAGAAGAGGTGTTATTGCAAGGTGATCCAACGAAATAAATCGCATCGCTCTCGAGCATGCACCGCATGCGCCAAAGAAGTGAGGGCTGCGCAGTTGGCTTCTCCACCATGCCAGAGCTGCGAATGGAATACAACAAGTGGTACTGGCACCGCTCTGACCGTCCCACTGGCTACGGAATCAGCTGTCTCACGGCTTGAGATGAATGCTGTCATCATCATGGTGACGGGCCTTCTGGTTGCAGTGAGCTTCGAGACATCATTCGAGGGACTACTTCTGGAAAATGGGATGCAAACACATTTTACAGCACAAGTATTGGTCCTTGACTACCTCACTCCCTCAGCTTCTCAGTCATCATTCACAAACACCCGCTTCACCGTCACCGGCTCACACGTTGGATTCTGCGCCTCCGCCTCGCCAAGCTGCCACGCCAGTGTTTGATAAGTGTAGCCGGTGTAGTACGTCGTACACGTGAGCCAGCGGTATAGCTTCTTGCCGTTCACGCTGTTCGGTGGGTTCTTGGTGTCGTCGAGGTACACACGGATGTACATCTTGTCATCCGAATCGAAGCCGACGTAAGCAGAGTCGTAGCCGGGCTCGAAGAGGGGGAGGGCGACGTTCGTGGATGGGTCAGTGTACAAGGTCATCGTCTCGGACACTGGTAACGGTTCAGCATGAATGCGTCTCGCAGCGACGTATCTCACGGACGAATCTCACGCACCTTTAAAGTTGCCACCCTTCAGCAGCCATGCCAGAGAACCAACGTTCGGCTGGGACCTCGTGTTGTTCAGACGGAAGTTGTCGGCCTGTGCAAGCTTCTTACTGCCGATACATAGTCCCTCGATTGCTGCGCCCTCATGGCATGCAAAGAAGTAGGTGCCGTCCACAGTGCTGTTGTCAGACACGGCCTTCAGGTGGAAGGGCTTGGACTGTCTGGCTGCGGCGGCAGCAACCAGCGTGGTAAGGATTGCGAGGGTGAACTTCATGTTGATGTGTATTGATTTAAATGTGGGCAGGTGAGGGTACTGGTGGTATGCTGATCGAATGAATTGGACAACAAGATACTCCTACCTTCTTATACACCTCGCATGGCCACGCTTCCACGACCCTACGTCAAGCGCCAAACGCAAAAGAGATGTCGTGTTGACGCCAGAGGAGTCTTCTCGCATACTCAATCCACTCTCAGCTGATGGTGCCAAAGCAGAGTGGTAGGTGTGACCAGCAGAAACGATGGGCTACGAGATTCGGAGGAGGTGTGCCTCGTATTCGTCCCAAACTCAGCCAAGCCGACGCAAGCTTCTATTGATTCTGTTCGGGAAGAGCGGGGAGTTGCATGGGCCCTTCTGGACAGAAGAGAAGAGAAGCTTACCATGGTTTGCTAATGGACGACCGTGGCTCACAACGTGTGTTTAAAGGCAATTAGCGAGGCCGTTCCAGCTTCGGACGACGCAATGATGGACAAAGCCTGATCGATGTACCCAGTGACGCTCGAAAGATTGGAACGACGAGAGGTCCAGAAGATCTGAAGTACCCAGCTGAGCGCGTGCATACAGCAAGCCACCGGCTACAAAGTCCAGCTGGAGCTGCAGAGGCTCCCAATAGTACACTTCTTGTGGTGGCAAGTAGCCCGTGTAGGCCCGCTAGGTGCGTGAGCAATTGGGTTTGGAGCTTTTCTGTGAAACTAAGCTGACATGCTGTAGCCGGAGAAGAAAGTACTGAGCTACTCTCGCAGCCGTAGCTGCGCCAAAGTATCCGATGGAATTTGAATTCACTAAGTTCGGACGGGCGCTCGATGCGTTCCCGTATTCATTGATACGTACGCTGATGGCCATCAACTACAACGATCAGGTACCTTGCCCCGAAAGTTTGGATATGAGATCTGCAAGAACACGAGGGAGATGAGCCGGTTGTAAAGACGACTTCTTCGATCGCCTTCCGGCCTCCCACTGGTGCCGCGAACGGTAAGCCGATCGCCTTGCTATGAGAAGGCAGCACGGATGGCCTGACGTACCTTCCACAGTCAGCATATGACAATGGACGGCCAATCTTGCGCATTACCTCGTAACAACCCCGTGACACGAGTCTGTCGGCAACAAATGAAGGTCCCTCTAATGCGTTAGTGGAGTCACAACCTCGACTGCAGGCCCCCTTGTACCACCTGCACAACCCGAATCTTGATCGCATCAGCATGACTGGAATCATGCCCACCCAATTCTCGTATTTTAGCATTCGCTGGAAGGAATAGCGACGACATCTCCGTTGGACGTAATGACATATCAAGAGTTGTGGGCATCGGAAGCGCCTACCTTGCTTTGCTCTGCCCTCTCCTTAAGTTTGCCCAAGCAGGCCGACAGTAGACAGAGACACAAAGAGCTTCATAACTACCTTACAGCCTCGAACTAAACCCCCCCTTCTCCGAGACCATCTTCAGCATCATCGGCGCCCTCATCAGATCCAGCTTCGCCAATTTCTTCTGGAAACCCGTAAACGTCTCGCTCGTGCCGTGGGTCTTCAAAGACTGTTGGTCCTTGTATCTGCAGCAAAGGTAAGTAGAATGGTCGGAGAGCAGTTTGGGGGAGGAAACATACCTCTCAAGCATGACGATGTCCTCCGTCCCGTCCTTGTTCGGTCGCAGCGAGCGGGTGATCTCGTACTTCAGCGTTCCAGGCTCGTTGGCTTTGACGTATTGAGCTACTTCTTGAAGAAGCCCGACGACCTGTGATCCTGTGAGCTTGTTGAAGTCTGTTGACGATGGTCGGAGGGGATAAAAATACCTCATCGGCCTTGTCCTTCCTCGGGTACAATACCGCAACGACGCTGAATTCTGAGGATGCCATTGTGGTTATAGAGGAACTGCTGATGGTGTGTATGTATTGATGTAGGAGGGAAGTAAATGTAGGAGTAGGAGTGAGAAACACCTTCGGGCCGAACGAGATGCCTCGGCTTGACGAAATGGCCATTGAAGAACGTCGAGGTACACGTAATCTGGTATGAAGGCGACGTCAAGAAGATGAGATAGAGAGGCTTCGGTGTCGTGGTTTGAATAGCAAGAAGAGGAGATGATGGTATCTACATATACATCAACTGCTTCATCCAAGCAGCAAGTCTCGATCTACATCTATGCTACAAGAAGCCCGCAGCCCAGTCCGAACACCTCTCAATGCATGAAAAAATGCCTGTACAGTACACCTCATCTCTTGTCACGAAAGAAGTATGCGATGATCTACCGCTTATTCCTCTCCATCCTCTCCTTCTCATGCTTCGCCACCAACTCCTTCTGCAACTGCGGTGGCGCAGGCGCATAATGCGAGAACTCCATCGTGAACTCTCCCTTCCCTTGGCTCGCCGCCCGCAACTGGCTGCTGAAGCCGAACATTGCATTCAGCGAACAGTCTGCGGTGAGCACGAACTCATCCGGCCCGATCTCTGTATCATTGATTGTGGCATTCCGCTTGTTCAGCAACCCGACAATGTTGCCCTGGAACTCGTTGGGAGCGGTGATGACCGTCTTCATGAGTGGCTCAAGCACCTGCGGCTGGCCTTGCCGGAAGGCTTGTCGGAAAGCGTGCATCGTCGCGGTACGGAAAGCCAGTTCGGAGGAGTCAGTCATGTGGGTTGCGCCGTCGTTGATGATCATGCGAGTGCCGAGAACCTTGTGCCCAAGCATGGGCCCTTCGATGCAAGAAGCCTGGAACCCTTTGTCGCAAGCGAAGAGGTACTTCTCGCTGATCGTGCCACCGATGACTTGCTGCTCGAAGACATTGTCGCCGAGCTGGCCGGTAGGCTCCATATAGCCAATGACACGGGCATAGTCACCAGCACCACCAGTCTGCTTCTTGAGAAGGTGGTCGAAGGGGACATGCTGGGTCATCGTTTCTCTGTATGCAACCTGAGGCTGGCCGGTGACGACTTCGACATGGTACTCACGCTTCATACGCTCAACGTAGATGCTGAGATGGAGCTCTCCCATACCAGAGATAATGCTCTCACCGCTCTCGTTGTCGACGTGAACACGGAAAGTAGGGTCCTCACGCTGGAAGCGAGACATAGCCTTGCTGAAGTTTGGAGTGTCTTTCGTCTGCTTCGGCTTGATGGACAGCGAGATGACCGGGTCTGGGACGAACATGCTGGTCATCGAATAGCCCAGACCGCCCTCAGCGAAAGTGTCGCCAGAAGCGCAGTCGACGCCAAACACGGCACAGATCTCACCAGCTCCAATCTCCTGAACATCTTCCATCTCGTTCGAGTGCATACGGACAATGCGTGGGATCTTGACCTTGTTGCCGGTTCGTGCGTTCGTCACGTTGGCGCCTTTCTTGAGCTTGCCCTGGTAGACACGAATGTAGGTGAGTTGGCCGAAGTTGCTCTCTTCGAGCTTGAAAGCCAGCCCCACGAATGGCAAACTATTGTAGGATACCAGCTTGACAGGTGCTTCTGCTCGTTTTCGGTCCAGCGCCAAGTTCTCGACCTCACTTGGATTTGGTAGGAAGTCGCAGACTGCATCAAGCATGGGTTGTACGCTCTTGTCCGCCAGCGCTGACCCCATCAACACCGGCGTGAACTTCAACGAGATGGTCGCTCGTCTGATCGCTGCCTTGATCTCGAGAGGGCTCGGTGTCCGCTCATCCAAGAAAGCGTTGGCAATGTCCTCATCCACATCCGCCAGTGTCTCAATCAACTTCCTCCTCTTCTCCTGTGCAAACTCCCTGATATCGTCTGGCACCTCATCTTCTCTAATCACCTCGCCATTCTCACCCTCGGAGTAGACAGCCTTCATCCGTATTAAGTCTACCACGCCCTTGAATTGGTCTTCCATTCCGATGGGCACCTGTACCGCTGCCGCCGCCATCTTTAGCTTCTGGTTGATTCCATCAATAGCCTTCCAAGGGTTGGCACCAGCACGGTCCATCTTGTTCACGAAGCTGATGCGAGGGACGTTGTATCTCCGCATCTGCCTGTCCACGGTGACTGTTTGACTCTGTACGCCACTCACGGCACACAAGATTAATACAGCACCATCCAGCACTCTCAGCGCCCTCTCCACCTCAATCGTAAAGTCGATATGGCCGGGTGTGTCGATCAAGTTGATGTGGTACTTCTCCTCTTTCATCTCGCCTGACACCGGATCCGGGTTCTTCTTGATCCAGTCGCAGAAGGTGGCGGCAGACTGGATGGTAATGCCTTTCTCACGCTCCAGGTCCATCGAGTCCATCTTGGCTCCCACGGCATCCCGCCCTCGCACCTCATGAATGTCCTTGATCCGGCCGGTGTAGAAGAGCACGCGCTCGGTGGCAGTCGTCTTGCCAGAGTCGATGTGCGCTGCAATTCCGATGTTGCGCACCTTGTCCAGTCGCGCCGCCTCCTGGGGGTCCAGGTTCTCCACGATGGCTTCTTGTGACAGTGCTGATGGGTCGTGGACCGCCGTCTCCTGCACCGCTGCTGCCGCGCCGGTCTGCCATCGTCTTTGCGCCGGCCATTGCTGTACTCCGCATTGTGACAGCCCTATTCTCGGATGATTCTGGCCATTGGCTTGGCGGAGGATGGGGAGGGAGTAGGAGGCAAAGGTGCGTCTGCACGCCAGAGCCTCGCCATTGCGCAAGGCGGCGTTGCGCAGGGAGGCGCGGGAGGCGAGGGCAGTGGCTCGCATTGGCGGAGTCGCGTGAATGAGTGACTGGCAGAAGAAGTGTAGAGACAGTCGCCGTCATTCACATGAAACAACATTTTCTCGGGAGTCTCGCCGCAATCTTGCCGCGGTCCATTGTAAACTTTGGCTATATTGAGGATGCCAACCTCGTCTCACACAACCATAACAAAAATCAGAGAGTCTCCGGGCAGAGAAGTGTATCGCGGATGTGTCAATAGCAGTTCACCGGAGCCATGCGAGTCCACCATCTTCTCCTCCTGCCGGCCATCCTCCGCTCCGCTGTGCTGGCATATACCCCCCTCTCGGAAAGCACAATCCAAGGTCTCCCATCCCCTGGAAAGGACTTCGATATCAAGGACGGCGCTCTGCTATCACCCATACTGATACCACGTGTCCCCGGCACACCAGGCTCTGAGCAAGTCTTGCAGCATTTCGTGGACTTCTTCTCCGATACTCTGCCTGATTGGAAACTTTCCTTCCAGAATTCATCCAGCACGACTCCAGTCTCCAATGGCAAGGAAGTGCCGTTCCGGAACCTCATCGCCACACGCGATCCTCCCTGGGTTGAGAGAGAGGGAGAAGTAGGCCGACTAGTCCTGGTCGCTCATTACGACTCCAAACTCACGCCCAAGGACTTCATCGGCGCCACCGACTCTGCCGCTCCATGTGCCATGCTCATGCATGCTGCGAGGAGTATTGACAATGCACTGACCCAGAAGTGGGATGACATGGCGGGCGACGCTCTTGATGAATTAGAAGATCAGAAGGGAATCCAGATCATCTTGCTCGACGGCGAAGAGGCCTTCTCATCCTGGACCGATACCGACTCCATCTATGGCGCGCGAGCGCTTGCAGAGGAATGGGAAAATACATATCACCCTCCTTTGAGCACCTTCTCAACTCCGCTCGCAAGCATGGATCTCTTCGTTCTACTGGATCTGCTGGGCTCGCCACCGCAGAGAGTGCCAAGCTACTACAAGACCAGTCACTGGGCCTACCTCAACATGGCCGATCTTGAATCTCGTTTACGCAAGATGGGCAGCTTCAAATCTTCGCCTAACCACAAGTCTAAGCGCTTCTCGAACGAGCCGCGGAAGAAGGAGCCCATGTTTCTTTACGAAGCCGACAAGAAGGACACCGATCGGTGGACAGGCGGCTATATCGGTGATGATCACGTACCATTCATTGCAAGGGGTGTCGAAGTGCTTCACATCATTCCATCACCATTTCCGGATGTGTGGCATCACCCGGATGATGACGGCGAGCACCTGGACCCTGACATTGTGGAAGACTGGGCACTATTGACGGTGACATTTGCGGCGGAGTGGATGGACCTGGAGGGATATCTGGATGATGGAAAGAAAGACCGAAGGAGCGCTGAAGTGCTCAAGGATGAATTGTGAGTGAGTTCGCGTGCTGTATTTCGCTAAATATCCGCTACACAAATGCTAACCTATCACGTGACAGGAATGGAGAGATGACCTGAATTAAATGCCAGAACGACTGCCCGTCTCAAAAGTTTCGGATGGATATAGTTGGAACTTCTGCTACGCAGCCTGGACCACATCAACTGCTCTTCGATTTCACCTTCACAGCCACCCGATGGCCGACATACTGGCTTTCCAACCCTGCTTGAAGATCACCCGCGATGAAGTCCACGCAATCTTCCAGTGGAGCAGCATACCCCGCCGCTTGCGCCATTACATTGAAATACTTCCCCAGCAACGGTATCCACAACAGCGTTCTCGACCAAGCAGGCGGCGATTCAACCTTCGCGACTAGTTGTTCTGCGCCAGCGCCCGGCTTTGGGGTGTAGTCGACCGCTTCTGAGCGTGGTGTCATGGTGCTGGCACAGAATAGCGACCAAGCGAGTTTCTGCTTGGGGACATCTCGAATGCGAGCGAAGTTGTGTCGGTGGATCGTGTAGACGGGGATGCTGTTCGCTGGGTCAGCACCATCAGCGTCTGCTTTTCCGACCTCGGCGCTTACTAGTCAATCATCATCCGGCCTGCAGGATGGTCCAAAATGCCAAAACCGCTGAGAAACCACACCCGCAATGGCGCACCGCCTCGCCTTTCCTGCACCTTTTCCACCGCATCGGCCACCGCGGCAAAGATCGTTGGAAGCTCCCCCGACTCACCCCACACGGGCGCTACACCGGCCGCATTGATCACAGCATCACATTCGTGGGAGAGAATGGCTGACTCAACCGCCGCGCTGTCGGTTGCGGAGCCAGTGACGACGGCCGATGCGCAGGCTGAGGCGGGGGAGGGTAATTTGGAGGGGTTCCGGACGTAGACTATGACAGAGTGTCCATGCGCAACCAGCGAAGGGAGCAGTCGAGAGCCAACGTTGCCTGTAGCGCCGAGCAGGAGGACGCGCATGTTGACCGATTGTTTGGAGGTGGTGAAACTGAATTTGCTGATATTTGGTCGTTTAGTGTATGCTGAATATCAGATGTATGTGAATGCTGTAGGAGATAAATCGACTGAGATCGATGGCGGTTCAAGAAATATATTTGTTCCTAGCCCTTTGATCCTTCTAATAATTCGTCACATTAGGGCTGCGTTCGGGTCGGCTTCGCGTCTGGCTGCCCGAAAACTTCCCGAGCGCTTCCAACGTCCAGCCAGCAACTTGCGGTTGCTGGCTCTGCTATGGCTGCCACATTAGCGGATGACTAAAACTCTCCTGTAACCCCAAGATCCATCGTATTCGCGACGCGGAGAACGGGGTCTCATTATCTGCTCCGGCCGTGGATGAGAATGTAGCAATGCAGCAGGTTGATCAACATCGAACTCCGCGTGCTGCAAGCGAGCTGAAACTCCGCAGAGACGGCGTAACCCCGATAGTGAACTTGATTCGAGGTGGCATGCTATCTGAGGGGAACCAGAACGAGTCCTAGTTGACGTCCTTGATCTCCACTTTTGGAGTATTCCACAAGGCAACGAGCATTGGGCCCTATATCTAAGCCGTCGCTCCATTCGAGAACCTGGTCACCTCATTCTTACAGCCGACAACGACCTCGCAGCAATGGCCCAAGGAATGACCATGTCAGAGGCACTCACGATGAACCCGGCCCTCCGGGAGCCCGAGAGGCCTGATGTAGTCGGCCAACCCATGGAGCAGATGTCTGTAGGAGAGCCAGCCGAGACGGCAGAAGACGAGAGCCACTACCCGACGGGCACCAGATTCAAGCTGATCCTCTTCTCGTTCGTCCACGCAGAACTAGACCGTTGAGCAGTAGGCTAACAACATCATCAGCATCGGCCTCGTGCTCACCATGGCCAGCCTCGACAGCTCAATCATCGCAGTCGCTGTGCCGTCTCTTACAGCTCACTGGCACAGTATTAGGGACGTTGGATGGTACAGCACAGCGTGAGTACCTCAACCCACTCTGAAAGCTCGTAAGCTAACCCACCACCAGTTACCGCCTCTCGCAATGCAGCTTCCAATTCATGTTCGGCCGCCTCTACAAAATGTTCAGCGTCAAGGCCATCTACCTCGTCAGCATTATGATCTTCATCACGGGCAGTCTTGTCTGCGCCACCGCACCGTCCAGCACTGCATTCATTGTCGGACGAGCTATCTGTGGGCTTTCTTGTGGTGGTATCGTGGCCGGATGCTTCACTCTGTTCCGTCAAGCGCTGCCGTTGCGGAAGCGAGCGATGTATGCGAGCATCTTTAGCGCCGTGGAGGGGATTTCTGACATCACCGGGCCCATGCTGGGAGGCGTCTTGGTAGAAAAGCTGAGTAGGCGCGCCAGAAATTTCATGATGGTGGAGAATACCTATAGCTGACCACCACGACCTTTGCAGGCTGGCGCTGGTGCTTCTGGATCAACGGTTCGTCTTCGCCCCGGTAGCACCCTCGCCTACTGTCGAGCTTGTTGTTTGGTCATTCAGTTCTTGCCATCTCGAAAAGCTTTGCGTGAGCATCTGCTGACTGTCCCTCTCCGCCAGTACCTGTCGGTGTTGTAACTCTAGCAGTCACCGCATTCTGCCTCAAAGACACACGCCATCCGAGCGACATTCGGCAGCTCACCCTGAAGCAAAAGCTTTCGGAGCTTGATCTACCTGGGACTCTGCTCTTCTTCCCGGCGATTCTGTGCCTGTTCATTGCACTCACCTGGGCTGGAACGAGACTGCCGTGGAGCTCACCAACTGTTATCGCCCTGTTCTGTGTCTTCGGCATTCTACTTGCGGTCTTTGCGGTCGAGCAATGGCTGAGAGGTGATGCTGCAACTCTCCCTCCAAGGATTCTCAAGAACCGCAACGTGCTGGCTGGCGCCGTATTCAGTCTAGCCTGCAATGGAGGCACCAAGGTTATTGAATACTATCTACCGACATACCTGCAAGCGGTCAAGGGGTACAGTCCGGCTCGAAGTGCGGTCCTGCTGCTACCTTTGATCCTATGCTTCTGTCTTGCAATGCTTGTACAAGGGACCTGCGTCAATGCCGTCGGCTACTACGTTCCGTTCATGCTCGCTGGAGCCGCCTTGATGCCCATCGCAGGAGGATTGATGACCACACTGTCCGTCGGTAGTGGGTTGATCCAAATCTTAGGATACTCTGCCTTCCTTGGTTTTGCTGGTGGAATCGGCTTCCAAGCACCGCAAGTCGCCGTTCAGAACACTCTCCCAGAGCAGGACTCACACATGGGATTGGCAGTCATTCTCTTCGCGCAGAACTTTGGACCAGCTATCTTCATCGCTGCAGCTCAGACTGTGTTGACGAACAGGCTGTCCGAGAACTTAGGCAAAGTGTTGCCCTCCATGGACCCCGCCAAAATCGAGAACATGGGTCTGGGCGACTTGAAAGGCCAGATTGGCGCCAGCAAGCTGCGCGATGTGCTGAAGGGGCTGGACAAGAGTTTGACGGAGACGTGGTATCTTGGAGTCGCGGTGACTTGTATCACGATTGTGGGGAGTGGCAGTATGAAGTGGACGAAGATTAAGCAGAGGCGGGAATGAGAATCGGGATGTGCTAATGCCTGCCGTGTCTGACGTTACTTATCATGCTGAGCTCGTCTTGCTCGAACCAGCGGCCTACCCCCAGCTTACTGTGCTTCTCGACCCCTGCTCCTCCATCTGGCGCTGGTCATTCTCACTTTCGTTCCCGCTCTGGCCTCCCGCATCACCGCCATCTTCAGAATCAGACAGTCCCAACCGCTCCTCTGCGCCCCGTGCGGCGCCTTCAGGTCGACATTCTCGAACTATCGTCTTGGTGTAAATGGCGGATGCTTGGTCGAATTCGATCAAGACTTCATCGGCTCTGTGCTTGGCCTCTTGAAGACAGAAGTTTGTGTTGTCCAGCTCACTTTCATGGATTTCGATCGCCATGTCTACAAGCTTCGCCAGGAGATCGGCGGCATCGTCGAGTTACCCGTAGGTTGTCAAGCAGAGATGGTGGAGCTCCAATGCTTTGCAATACATGATGTACTGCTCCGCTTGCGGACTGGTGGTGTAGGCCGGTGGTTCGTTCATCATGCTCTCAGCCAGCTTCACGACGGCGTGGAGCTCGGTTGTGGCAAGCTCGTACTTCAGCCCAATTCTGATAGCCTGGTTCTGGATATCTTCTTCATCCGCCTGGAAAGAGCGTTTCATGTCGAGTAGGGGTTGCAAATTGGCGATTGTGCTTGTGGCGATGAGTTTGAGGAAGAGAAGATTCCCGGCGAGGGCGGACATTCTGGAATATGCAGCCTCTTGGGCTCTTGTCGGTCCAAGTCGGATTGATTTGATGTGGCGGGCGCGCCGCTCCTGGCGTGGCATGGTTGACGAAGCTATGTTGGGAAACACAGATTGACGATTCGAGGGGCTCTGGTATACCTCTGGCAAACGAAACGATTCGAGACACAAGCAAATGCAATGAGAATACTCACTGTGTAGTCATGTCGGCCGCCGCTGCGACCGCCAGACAGCTGCATTGTTTGCTTGGAAGACCGCAAGACAAAGACCGGGAGTCATCAGGGCACTCGCTGTTCATGCTCTCCGTCGCCCGCGGGTGAATATGGCCTCGTAAGGCGAGGGCTATCGGGTGCCTTGGTCTTCGCCTTCTGTATCTCCGGTGATCATGGCGCCGGCGGCGCAGGATGAGAGTGTCTCATCAGCCTTGCCATGCGATTCTTTACAAGCAAAGTGCAAGTCACCCGACTTTAGCGCCATGCTCAGCGCCGCCTCTCAACCTTTCTATGCAGCATGAATGAATTGTCGGGCGGAACAGAAGACCGCCTTGAGGTACGGTATGTATCAGCGTTGATGTGCATAGTCAATGCCTTCTTACGGACGGTCAAGGAGAGCGGTCATTTGCATTGGCATCAACCACATTCTCAGTCATATAGGTTGCAACACCCATCGAATCCAGCACCAAAATGGTCTTTTGAATGCGAGAAGTTCCCAGAATGTCGTGCAAGCCAGACCCAGCTTTTATTAGACTGAAATTGTCATTGATATATCGTCAAGGTATGCAAGATGTCGGTGAAAAGGTTGAACGAGCGCGGAACGCTGGGGATAGTCTTCGAAAGCTGGTCTTCCACATGATGAGCGTTGACTCGGCGAGTATTTGTTGTTGCAGTCGCGGTCGTAGTGCTTCTCATGACGATAGTTGTCTTTCCTGCGTCGTGCGGCGTCATGTCGTAGGTTCAACAAGCCAAAAGATATCCAGAAAAGCGTGACTGTCTACACGGAAAACATGAAGTCTTTATAGGAGAGAACGTTGAGTAGAGATGCAGTCGCGGAGAGGAGTCGACTCGAGTCATGTGCAGGCGATGCCGGCGCAAACAGAAGATAAGGTACTCGAGAACGCCGTCTTCCTTCACCACAGCGTCACAGCAAGTAATCCATGCCATCGCGCCTCGCCGTACAGATGCAGCAAGCATCACACAGCAGCTCCCGCTCGAGGCGATACGCTAGATCTAATCCAAACATAAAGTCGCAGCAGCGATGAGGTGAGTGTTGCTAGAGATGAGAAGTGTGAATGCGTGCCGCGACATTCTACCATTGCACTGCTTCTAGCAGTCCTGGATGCTCCCCATCTCGACGTACTGTCTCGGTATGACATGAAGTCACAGCCCCGAACCATGTACTTCAAGACTGCACAGGCCTCACCACTGCTTCGGCTAGGCGTCCTATGAAACGGAAATCCAGGCAAGGCAGGCAGGCGGCAGAGAAGGCAAGAGGTTGGAAGCGAGCATGAGGACTGGACCGGGTGAGAGTACAGGACATGAAGAGATGGACAGAGGACGACGATAGAACGCGGTAGCTGTCGATTGGCAAGGACAAATACACCTTTTCCACAGCATTACTGTCAAATCCCCCAAAACAATCCCGGCTCGCAGATGCAACAGTTCTGGGTGCCCTGTGGGACCTGATCGAGTGCTGCTGACCGGTCGTGTAGAAGATGGCAATAGCAACACCGAGTGGTGAGACTTTCAGAACTTGCGTGTTGTTAATAGTCACAGTCACCCGGCGTAGGACCGTACATGATCAGAAATACGTTTGCTAGACCACGCGGCACTGTCACCAGCCGAAGGGCATGGACGGTCAAGGTACGTATACGCACCAGAAATTGTTTAATACCTTTGCCAACCTCCAGGAGGAGACTGGAAGTCGCCACTGTTGACTTAGCCAGCCAAAGCTATCTCCCCCACAATCACCAATGGCTGTTCGCTGATTTCCAGAAGGCAACACAACAACCATGGTGCGCTCACCAGCGGCACCGAACGACACGATCCTTCGTAAACTCCAGGCCATAGACCAGCGCATCGGCCGCAATCCCGTTCTTGCGCAAAGCATCATCAAGACACTTTTCCGAATCCCGAGAATCAGCGAACGACGAGATACAAAACGGCACGCGACAACCTTTTTGCGACTTTACCCTACGTCGCGCGCGAGCTTTTCATGATCTTATGCTCGGTAACCACGATCGAGGAGGCGCAGAAGAATCACTTAAACATCTTATCTACAACACTCAAATCGTTCGCAGACGGGATCGACTTGACAAGCGTTAAGAACCTGAAAGCCGTTATGCAAGAGCTGGAGGTCCAGTGCCCTCCGGCCCTTCCACCCCACCGCACGACAGCACCGACAATACCCGAATCATCCAGCACCGCTCCTTCCCAGCACGATACGACGGCACCTGGTGTCCACCAACAATCCAGCACCGCTGTCTCTCGCCTCAACGCAAGACTACCGCTCATCGGGCTTCCTGCGCATCTCGCCGAACGATGGCCAGATGCTGACCACCCACCGTCGCCTACAAAGCAGCTTTGGGAGTCTGCTGGCTGTGGGATGCCCATATTGGCTCCTAGCAGTGTTCTCTTTCCCCATGGACCTGGATCGACCTTCACGCAGCCCGGCCTCCACCGCATCCTACTCAGTACATATAGTTCAGTGAGCACTGCGCTTCACCAGCAAGAGCCGCAGTTGCTAGCGGTCTGTGGCTCTGCAGCAAGGATTGTCGTACTAGCTGAACAGACCTGATGCCGTTGATCATTTTCACTACGTGTGTTGGGCTAATTTCAAGGACGAGGAGGCGTTGAAGGTCCCAGAGATGGGCGGGGTCAAACCTGGCATGCAGTACTCCGCTGCTTACGTAGCGGCTCCTACAGGCACGCTCACCGCCATCCGCATCGGTACGTGATGTGAGTCTCTCTTTTGCAATTGTAGCTGACCATCTTGACATCATGGCATGTGAGGCGCCACGACCACGGTCGGTGACTGCGTCAAAGCCTTCCTCCTCCCCACACGACGAAACCTTGAGCTATTCCAGCTTGATGGTGGCCGCCTTCGCCAGCCCAAGGAAGAATCGTACGATGGAGGACTGCTGGCGATTGTGGATTCCGCAGTCGCATTGCGCATCCCGGATGCGCTCTTCACGCTGTCATTGCCATCTCTGGTGGCTTCCTGGTGGGCCATGCAAACAGCCACTCCGGCACCATCGTCCCCATGGCACGAGCTCGATACGACCGCCGCCGACGGGATTCCACAAGCAAGGAACCTACTCACCACCATTTTTTGCCTTGTAAGACCACTGGAAAAAGTGCTCAGTGCCCGAACGGACAAGTGATACAGCGACATCGCCGACGCCTCGCGCATGTCTGAGGTTCTCAAATCAGCTCTGTCGTCGGCTCTCAACGCCGTGAAATACTAGACTTTGCCCGGCGGCGTAGCGCTTGATGGGAAAGTGGGCCTGAATTCGGAGCTGGTACGAATAAGCTGGAAGACGTCATCGACACTCATAGCATACGGTGCATCCAGGCTACTGATACTGCAGGCGCTCACTTGTAGACTGGTGAAGTCCAGTTCCTTGGCCGTGCTCGCATCTGTTAGTCAAACGTCACCGAAGCTTACATTAGCGGCGGTCGTTTCTACCCGACTTCGTCTCATGTCGCAGATTCTCAAGCTTCGCCCAGTGCTGTACGCTGATAGCCATTTCATCAAAGCACAGCCTCGACATCGACAAGCATGGCGAAGAATGCATTCTCCAGCTCGAACAATCCTCTGTGTGAGCTTCTCAAGCTGACCTCGGAGTTCGACATCAAGTCGCGCAATGTAACGGATCGAGATGCTGAGCTACGTCGTCTGATAAGGGTGTCCTCGATGATTTGCGGTGCCAAGGCTGATATTTACCAGAGGGATGCACTGGATACGAAGAACGCCGCCATGCTCCGCGACTTGCCCAAGCTTCGCAGAGCAGTACTTCACGCGAGCAGTGATAGGAAGGCTGTAGTGAAGACCGCAGCAGACGCCCTTGCCGCCGAGACTGGTGGTTCGCAGCAAGACACCAACCAGTCCATACTCAAAGATCGTGATCGAAGAGCTGAAGCAGCAGCTTGAGTTCTTGAAGCAGCACAACACCAGCCTTGAGGAACAAGCTGCAAAGCGTCCTCGAAATGCGACACCAGCATGCGGAACGACAGTACCCAGACGACAGTGCCTACTGATTTTGAGAAGCCTCATAAGCAGTACAACGAGCGTTTGGATAAGCTGACCGAGAAGATCAAAACAACGTATCAGGCCTATTCCCGTGTTCGTGAGGAGCGCCAAACTGCAAGGGATGGTGAAGCGGCAGCTGTCGCCCGGAAGGAATCAGTCGAGAAAGAAGTAGAACAGGCCGTGGGAGAGCGAGATGAAGCCCGTGAGAGCTCTCGGAAAGCTGCAGAGGCCCTCAAGACCATGACCGACCTGCGGGACGAAGCAGTAGCGGCAAAGGATGCTTTGGGTAAAAGCCTTGATACGAGCACTGAGGAAGTTGCAGATGTACAGAGAAGGTTCAGAGAAGTGGATCAAGCACAAATTGCTGTCACAACCCAGCGCGACGAGATCTCCCAAGCGCTGAGTAAAACAAGCAGTGAGCGGGACCAGGTGCAAGGGGAGCTTCTTCGTGTCACTGGGGAGCGAGACAGTGTCGTCAAAGAGCGCGACCAAGCGATCGAGCAGCGCGACAACGCTCTCAAACAGCGTGACGAAGGCCACAAGCAAGACAAGCAGACGCTAGAGGACATCACCGGTCAGCGTGATGAGGCATTGAAGACGAGTGAGACTAAAGACCAGATCATAAATGGCGGTACGCAGAAGCATGATGCGCTCCAGACCAGATTGAGCGAGGCAGTCCAAGAGCAAGAGCGTTTGAAAAGCGAGTTTGTCACCATGTCACAAACGCTTGATACTACGACGAAGGCGCGAGATGAGGCCGTGGAACAGCGGAACAAGCTGCAGACCGTATCTTGCACGTTCACACAAAGGCTCAGGGCTGTCAATTTGGAGATGGAGAAAACCATAAAGAAGCACAACGACGCCAACGAGTCACTCTCACGTATTACAGAAGAGCTGGACAGAACCAAAACCGCTCTAGCTGGTCAAGCCAAAGCCCACACAGACGCCATTAAAGGCGTGCGAAACGAGGAGGAGATCAAAGCAAGAACGCAGATCGAAGCCATCCGTGAACGAATGAATCGAGAGCTGGAAAATGTCTGGGACGACATTCGAGGATATCGGAATACGATTGACGACCTCACAACGGAGCTCCGCGAAGGCAGGACAAGGGAAAAGCATCTAAGGGTCGGCCTCCTCGGCCTTCAACATCGCTTCATTGTGAATGATAGAATCACGAAGGAGCATATGGCCATGAGACGGACGCAGGCCGAGCAGAACCGGCGCCTGACGAGCAGCATGCACCATCAGCAAGTCGATAGTCTAAAGGTCCGCCTGTCCAATGCAACCTTCCAGTCAGATGAAGATGCGGCACAGCTGGAACTCTGCGAGATGGAGCTGGAACGGTTGCGAGAGCAATTCGAGAAGAGCACGACCCATGTCGACATCCTCACCGAGTACGCTCTCAAAATCGAGGAGGGCCATCAAGCGTACACCGCTGACCTCGAGGTAAAGATCATCAATGCCGAAGACCAGGCCAAGGAGGCTCAGGAGAACTACGATGATCTGATGAAACAGTACATGGCCCTTCACCAGTACGACACCGACATCTACGAGTTGAACTGCAAGAACGAAAAGCGGGCACAGCAATCAGAGGCCCGCTGCAAAGCCTTGGACGAAGACGTCAAGGTGGGGAAGGCTTCGCGCGCCCGGGTTGAAGAGGAGGTCAAAGCTCGCATCGCCGTCTCCGATGCCATGGCGCGCATTCAGTGTTCAAGGCAGTACTTAGATGACGTGGAAGTGTCTATGGCCGTTGGTGCTTCGCAGATGGACCAGCTGGAGGCGTTACTCAATACTCTGTAGAAGTAACTTCTTGATTTTTAGCTCCACGAAACGCTACTCTTCCTCCAACCCTTCAACCGTCTCGGTGAGCCTCGTGAGCAAGTCCTCGAAGTCGATCTCCTCGCCCATCGGGCCCATGGCCCCCAGGAGCTGATCCATCTCCGCCTGGTACTCGTCTTGGGCGTCCACCTTCTTCTCCACAGCCTTGATCTCCGCGTCAAGTCGGGCCTTCGCCTCGTCCATTTGCGCGAAGTAAAACTTCCTGTTCCCTTCAGCATCCACGTGGTCTTGCGCGACTTTCAACGCGGTCTCCCACTCCTTCTTGCTAAGCTTTGTTCTTGTGCTCCTGCCTGGCGGTTCATGGCTAAAACCGCCGCCGAACCTCACCATGCCATGCCCGATGCGGGTGATGAACATTTCGGTGATTGCTTTGAGAAATCTGTACGGTACAATATACAGCACGTACTGCTCAATTCCGAAGTCTTCTTCGGGGAAGGTCAGCTTGAGGGTCGCTTCAAATAGATTCCTGTGTTCATCGTCAGCGCAGTCACCGATTCTTTACACATGCTACTTACATGATGTAGTTCGAGCCTGTGTGTGTCTTGTGCTTGTTGAGGCGCTTCTTGAGTCGGCCGCTGAATCCGAACTCGCAAAGTGGTTCTCCCAAAGGCTCGTCTTGTTCGTCTTCTAGGAGCTCGTCCAGCCGCTTCTCCAGTTGATCGCAGAAATGTTCGACCTCTCTCACCACCTTGGGATGCGGTAGCCCATTTGGATCCTTCTTGGAGACACGGTATGTCCTGTGGCCTTGTTTGTATAGCGAATCATCGACACGGGCGCCAACCATGCTATCGATGTTCATGGCCAGCCCGGCTTTGAGCTCGTACCGCCTTACCCGGTTGATCGCCTTTCGTAGTTGGTTTGGCGTCCGAGACGTGCCATCGCCGTCAGGTAAGAAACTTCCACAGATGCTGGGAATATGTTTGTAGTTCTCTGTCGCCTGGTCCAGAATCCAGATTGCCGAGATGGGTGAGGTGGTGGGCGGAGTTGTTTACTATCTTGCTCATGAGAGAGCCGTCGAGCAGTGATTCCAGCAAAGGTCTGTCGGTTGTTACGATCAAGAAGAATACGATCTGGTGTAGGCTAGTTGGATCCACGCCGCGCAAGTTGGTGAACTGCATTTCGTCTTGGAGAAATGTGTCCACCAGCCAACCTGCAATCTCGCGGATCGTGTTGAGCTACACAGCTCTCGATTTGACAAGCGTCTCGTGGTGATCGCCAGTGGGTGGTTCGTAATCAGGCGACTGGATGAGAATGCTGGGTTGGTGGTGGGAGGCTCTTGGTCTGTCGGTGGAGTTTGGCTTTGAAGACGACCAACACCTGGCGAGGGAGACCTTTCAACCAGGTATGAAGCTCATCTCAGACTTCAGTCGATATCCAGGTTCTCGCTTTCTCGCCGAGTAAGGCAACCCCAACGCCGACTTCCTCCTCTTCTTCCTCTTCATTACTGCAGCTAGAGCCGCTGAGGTGGGGATCGTCCATAATGTCACTGTGTCTTTTGAATGAAGCTTGGGCTGTTGGGGTGTCCGCGCCAGGCTTCTGCTCACAGCAAACCGCGGAACAGCAGTAAGATACAGCGCCCAGCTTCGTGGAAGAGTTGATCTGGAGTCTGCATTGTGATGCATCATGATGCCTCCAGAGGTCGTGCACCGTAGTGCACAGTGCTTGACCAGCCCACTTGCATTCTGCTTCTACATTCTTTAGTCAAGCCTTGCCCAGATCGACCTTGCTGCCTCTTCATCCAGCAACGGTATCCACAAAAAGGATTTCAATATGCCTTGCACCTCGGTCCATGATCTCTGCTGGCTACGAGCGTGGTGATGCAGCATAGCACTCAACCATTCTTCCTCTCGAACATCGAAGATCGTAACTGCTCCTACCATCAGCATCCATAGCATGAAACGGGGCGATACCTCGCCATTCTGCTGCAACGCCAAGGTGCCTTCTCTGAAGGCGTTCTGCAAGTGCGGACACGGCAACTTGACGTCCCGCCATTGAAGGAAGACATGGTAACAATAAGCCAACAGAATCAGCCGGAGACCCTCATTCAATGAGCGGCAAGAATAACGCATGTAGAGCAAATGATACACCACAGATGTCATCGTCTCGTTGATGACCTTTGTTGAAACGAGCCGCTGGACTTGCGCACCCAGATTGACCAGCAAGCCGAATCTCCTCATGATTGACCAAGCCCCAGCTAGGTCTGTATCTATCAGTCCAGCAAGCTCCAGAGTGTCTCGGGTTTGCGCTGTGTCGCTGAACTCTGGCAAAGCATCGAATGGAAAGGGGGGTATTGGTTCGAGAGGCTGGCGGAAGAAGACCGCTTTCGAGGTACTGAACACCGCAAGAACGAGGTCGCACCTGCAAAGTGTCGGTCATGCAACAGCAATATTGATGGAATGCGTACCTCAGCATCTCAAACAAGAGGTGGTTATTTCTGAATCCACCCAGTCCGCCTCTCCAATCCACCATCTTCCGAACTCCAATCATGTGCTGCCTCTCTGCTTCATGGTCTCCAGCGAAGTGTGCAGAAGTTGCCAGCTTGAGTACCACGCCAATTGTCGCATCGGTGGTGTTCAGCATCGCATCGTCGCCCGAGAGTCTCTCACTGACTAGGCCGAGTCCTTTCTGGAAGTGGACCATGGCCGCAGGGTTAGCCTGCTCTCGTCGGCGAAGAAACAAGTCGACGAAAACTTCTATGGAGAAAGCAGTGATATGGAGGGCAGCAGCGTCTGTTGTGCATAGATTGATCCATCCACGATTGTCCACTTGGTTGCCGATCGCCGTTATGAGCGGATACACAATCTTCTGCGCTATTGGTGAGACTGCGCACGGTATAACCGTCAGCTGCTTTCAATACGAGGTAGCTATGCTCTGCACCTTTGATGATATTTGTCAGGATAAATGGGTCCAGGTCTTCTGGAGACGCCAGAAACGAGAGGTCCGCACCAATGCGCCTCGTCGGCGGCACGTATAAGCGGGTGATGTCTTGAAAGTTGACTGGCGGTGCCTTCACGCTGCCAGCAGTCATATCGTAGCCGTGTACCAGAACGTTCCTTTTAGGCCGAATGCGAAGTTGCTTTCGTCCTCGCATAGCATGACTGCGGATGAACTTCCTCGTGGCTGTGTCGACCCTGCCGTCATTGAATGATACGATGAAAGGTATCGAAGATGGGCCCAAAGAGATCATAGTGTCGTCGTCTGGCACCGGCATCCTGCAAGCCTATTGCTACATCTTGGCCTCGTCGTTGGAGATGGCATGTCTATTCTACATAACGAGAACAGTCGAACGCTCGGCGAGTCCTGACGCATGATTCAACACTAGACCCGAAACGGGATACAAAAAAGCGCTTGGCAACGGTTGCTGAAGATCCTGGAAACGTGCATCACAACTTCATGTTCGTACCGCTACGCAACCTTGTGGGCAAGCAGTGCGCAGTGCATCCTGATTCCAGATCGATTCGGGACACTTCTCGCCGATTCATGCACGAAGTCATGATGAAGGTACGGCAATGGGGGTTCGAACGGAGCATAGGAGGTAGAATGGTTGGATCCTCCGACTCAATACTTAAAGGTTTGTGTATTGCATGTAAGTGAAGGTTGAACTCTCTATCCGATGTTTCTGTCTTTGCATAATCTCTAGCACCACTTTCAACGTTGATTTCTAGCACTGTGGGTGACGAACACATCAGCTCAGCGCGCAGGACTAAGAGATTGGATCATCATGTCAGAGGAATCGAGCAGCCGCAATGGGAAGGAGGGTCAGGATGAACAAGCAGGAAGCGCCGCTGGACCACCTTTTCAAGCGCAGCGCCACGGAAGCAGCAAAGACAAAGATGCTTCGAGCGATGATGTACCACAAATATCTCAGCCCGGGCTCTCGCGCACTGCGCGCGTCTTAGTCCTGGTGCCGGTCATACTAACGTACTTTCTCTGGTTTCTCGACCTGGCTGTGGTCTCGACGGCGACTCCAGCCATCACGTCGGAGTTCAACTCAATTGTCGATGTCGGCTGGTACGCCTGGCAACGTTCACCCGCTATCCAATATCGCCTGCTGACAGTCGACTTCAGGTATGGCGGAGCGTATCAGCTCGGCAGTTCTGCATTCACGCCGCTGACAGGCAAGCTCTTTCGTTCGTTTCCCATCAAGGCAAGCTCACCCAGGACATTCGTGCCTCATGGAGCGATCCGCATACTAACACAGCAATGCAGTGGACCTTTCTTATATTCTTCTTCATCTTTGAGGTCGGTTCGGTGCTATGCGGAGCAGCTCAATCGTCGGCAATGTTCATCGTGGGGAGGGCCGTTGCAGGCATCGGCTGTTCTGGTATTTCGACGGGAGCATTGACGATCATAACCGCTATCCTGCCTGGTAAAGCCCAAGCACAAGTTCTCGGTATTGCTCAAGGTCTCGGCCAGCTTGGGCTGGCCATTGGTCCAATTCTTGGAGGTGCGTTCACCGAATACGTCTCTTGGCGATGGTGTATGCTACCTTCATTGCCCACTCCAGACCGACACAGGCTGACGCTCTGCAGGCTTCTACATCAACCTCCCCGTAGGGGCCGTGGTTGGGGTCCTCCTCGTGCTCTTCCGCATCCCAGAATCAGAGCCAAAGAAGCCGGCACGAGAGGTGCTAGGGACAGCCGTCAAGTCGCTTGACCTTCCAGGGTTCGCCTTGATCTGCCCTGCGGTCACAATGCTTTTGTTGGGCTTACAATTTGGCGGCAATGAACACCCATGGAATAGCTCTGTCGTCATCGGGCTCATAGTCGGGGCAGCCGCAACGTTCGTCAGTTTCCTTTTCTGGGAACGACGCCAGGGCGACGAGGCCATGGTGCCATTCGCTCTGCTCACCGACAAGGTCATCTGGTCGGCCGCAGGCAACATGGCATTTGTGCTGGCGAGCATTCTTGTCGCGGACTTCTACCTTGCGATCTACTTCCAGGCGGTCAACAACGACTCGCCTCTGATGAGCGGTGTACATCTGCTTCCAACATGCCTGAGCCTTGTCCTTTTCACCATCATCTCGGGCGTCATGAGTAAGTAGCTCGATCTTGTTGCCTCATGTTCATATCAACAGATGGGCTGATGACGCTTTTTTCCATACAGTTGAGAAGCTTGGCTACTACCTACCCTGGACACTGTCAGGGAGCGCCATCTCAGCTATCGGATACGGACTCTTGTCGCTTCTGAGCCCGACGACACCAGCCGCCAAGTGGATTGGCTATCAAGTGTTCTATGGAGTCGGGAGTGGTTGCACAGCCATAGCCGTGAGTCTGAGTCGAGGCAGCTTCCAGCGTGAGGCAGTGAATGCTAATTTTTCTGATCACACTAGGGGTACATTGCCGTTCAAAACCTCGTTCCAGCAGCGCAAATACCAACTGCCATGGCGATCGTCATCTTCTGTCAAGGCATGGGCGGTACCGTATTCCTCATTGTCGCAAATGCCGTGTTTAGTAACAGCCTGCGGCACCTGCTGAGATCACAGAGTTCGAAGATTGGAGTTGCTCCAGACGTCATTGTTGCCGCTGGAGCAAGAGGCCTTCGTCAGCTGATTCCGGGTAGCGAGCAACTTGCCATTGCGCTACAAGCATACGCGGACAGTATCGACAACGTTATGTACGTTGGCGTGGGTGTTGCGTGTGTTGCATTCGCGTTTGCTTGGGGTCTAGGTTTCAAGGACGTTAGAAGGGAGAAGGCGAAGAGCAATGCGCAGACGACGGGAGGCGTGGAGGCGAAGGAAAAGAATCCCGAGGCAGGCTCATGAAGTGTATAGCGATAGATTGTCAAGAAGACAATATGGAGAGGACGACGTGAGGTGTACTGGCAGGTCAGCGTGGTGCTGTGTACTACATGAAGATTGAATAGATGAGTTGTATCTAATAATACATGCCCTGCACTGCGTACGTGTAGATGGCACAGCAAGAAGCTGCGAGATCCGGCCTGGTTCCGGGAGGGGTGGGCTTGGCGGCGGCGAGATCACCGCTGGGCGTCTTGACCTCACCTTGGCCTGCCAAAGCGCCGGCGTGGCACCCCATCCTCGACGCGCATCTCACCATATCACAACGGTCAACGCGCTGCCGCCAATGCTCGCCAACCTCGCCATCGGCGAAGCTCGCTTGGCCCACTCCACCCACCCCTTCGACGTTGCCATCTGCTTGGCGACTGCTCTTGGGAGGAGAATGGACGGTTTCACCTCGTCTTCGCTGATGATGACACGGAGCCAACCATCACCATGTTGACGGAACTCTCTGCGCAAGAGGAGGCCTTGCAATGGCGGCAATATGTCTTGTTCGAGACACAGCGCGTTGCAGCGTCGCGTCCCATACTCACCCTTCCTCCATCCATCTTGGATTTGGGCCCAACCGGCAACGGCTATTATGACGGTTGAGACCAGCTCTCACTAGGCCCGGACGATTACGGCGGGGCCCGAGGATCCTATATCTCGTTGGATCTCTGCCACCTTGCGGCGACATTCGGTGCGACTCCAATTCTACGCCTCGACGGTGGGGACGATAACGTGCGCCTGGCATGATTACACCTTCGACTATCCTCATCTACAGCTCCAACCACTCGAGCCACTGTCCGTCTCTGGACAGAGCGGCGCACGACCGTCCCACGCCCCGCCGCCGTCATCGCATCGCCTACGTTCAGCTCTAACGCAACTCTTGCCCTGGTGCCGGACGTGCGAGACAATCGCCTGTCATGCCTCAACTCGACCTCAGCAACCTCAACACCGTCCTCTGCATCCTCGGCCTCTACGTCCTCGCCTACGCCTTTCTCTCCGTCAAGATCAAGCAGTTCTGGTACCTCGGCGAAGCTCTTCCAGCAGTGATCGTCGGCATTGCTCTCGGCCAGGTCGGCACGCGATGGATCGATCCGGAAGATTGGGGCATGCAGATGGCGAATGGCTCGGAGCTGCAGAACAACATCACCTTGGGCATGTGTCGCATTGTCATCGGCGTGCAGCTGGTGATTGCGGGATTCCAGCTGCCGGCACAATACCAGAGGCAGAGATGGCGGGCCATGGCGATATGTCTGTTGGGGCTCATGACCATCATGTGGCTCTGCACCAGCGCCTGCATGCTCGCTGCCGTCCCCAAGCTGACGTTCCTTGCAGCATTGGTGATCGGGAGCTGTGTTACATGCACCGATCCCATTCTCAGTCAGGCTGTTGCGAAGGGGCCGTTTGCGGACAAGTACGTGAGAAGAAATCTGCGAGAGATTATTTCTAGCGAAGCAGGGGCAAACGATGGTTTTGGCTTCCCGTTTTTGATGCTTGCGGTCTACCTCATTCGGCATGCGTCCAGTCCGGAGTATCTCGATGGCGAGGCGCACGCGGAGCGCAGCGTATTCACCACAAGCGTGCTGTCGGTGCGACAAGAGCACCAAGACATTCACCGTCATGGCATTGGCAGACTTAAAGGCGGCGTGGGAGTGGCCATTCGGAATTGGGTGGTCGAAACATGGATCTACTTCATCCTACTGGCCATCGTCTACGGTGCCGTCTGCGGCTTCATGAGCATGTACGCGACCAAGCTCGCCTTGCGCAAGAAATGGATCGACGGCGAGATGTACCTTCTCTGGCCCACCGGTCTCGGCCTCTTCCTCGTCGGCACCTGCGGCCTGCTGGGCACCGACGACCTCCTCGCTTGCTTCGTGGCCGGCAACTGCCTCAACTGGGATGGACATTACCTCGAGGAAACCGAAGTTCGGCATGACGAGGTCAACAGCTGCATTGACGTCCTGCTCAACTTTGGCGGCTTCATGTACATCGGGGCGATTCTCCCGTGGGATGAGTTCAGCAGCGCCGCAACTGGCCTGACGTACGGCCGGCTCGTTGGCCTGGGCTTTCTGGTGCTTCTCTTCCGCCGCATTCCAGCTGTCTTCGCCCTCTACAAGACCATGCCAGAAGTCTGCGGCGACTGGAAGGAAGCGCTCTTCATGGGCTACTTTGGCCCCATTGGCATTGGCGCCGTTTTCTACGTTGAGCACGCCCGGCACCTCTTTCCCGAACCGGGAGAAGCCGAAACGGAAGAAGAGAACAACCTTGCCGCCGCCCTTGCCCCGGTTGTCTATTGGCTGGTCTTCTTCAGTATTGTCGTACATGGCCTCTCCATCCCGGCGCTCAATCTCTTCCTCAAATGGCGTGGCGTAACTCCCCTCATCGACGAAAAGGGAGGTGTCGAGATGGACCTGCTGAGCCGGCATTCCTCGATCCCCAAGAACGCGCGCCGCAGTGTCAGCCAGGGCCGCCGCGGCAGCGTCATCGTGCACAACCGCTTCAGCCGCGTGTCCATGTCCAACATGGCGGAGCAAGGGGACGCCGGGCTCTCAGGGATTTCACGCAGATGGCCACAGGGTATCGCGTGGGACGACGACGATGCCTTGTCGCGGTCGCAGAGCTTGGCGCGGGATCAGAGTCCCAAGGGGAGGGCAAGAGGGAGGTCGGATGCGCAGTCTCTGCGGCCGTCGGTGCGGCCAAGGGAGATTTCGTTTTTCGATGAGCGGTCTGCGTCGGTGCCTGAGCCGTCGTTTGGCAGGGGTGTACAGGGCTAGGTACAGAATAGAGGTAGATCATGTATCATACCCTTGTGGGGCACAGACAACGATCTCTGCATCGCGGACGAAGACTTTGCCCGCGCACTCAACCAGCTGTGTTCGGGTCTGCATTCGTATACTGCCTGATTATGGTCACCAAGGTATGAAGTATCTTTGGCGGCTTGCATTGTTGTGCGTACTTGGAGCGAAAAACTGCACGCTCGAATGTTTGGAGCTTGACTCTTCGGTGGGGAATGATTGTTGGAGGCACTCAGGCTCGTAGAAACGTTGTTGCGAACATGGCTTGCTTGTTTCAGCTATTGCAAGATGAGCGATGGAGATCAAATGCACTCTCAATACGTAGCTCGACAGCGTGCTTCATCTGCTCATTCGAACAAGCTCTCACACTCCTCGAACACCACACTTCCACCACCCGAATGGATCTCTGCCGTCTGCTTGCCGCCTTTCAAGAACGCAGAGATTGTTCCATTCAGAGCAACATTCCCATACTGAACCACCACCTTACCGCCCTCCATTATCATCTCAATGATGACTTCCTCGTCCGCATCGCCGTTGTAGTACCAGAAACGTGATTGCGGCACTTCAGCGGACGGGAAGACCTCGATATCAAGATATGGCATCCAATTCGCTGTCCAGCGGTCGTTGCCTCTGAAGATCTGGCCCCTGGGAACAATGGAGCCAGCACGAACGTAAGCTGGTATGGCGTGAACGTCCATCTCCACATCCGTCGTCGTACCGCCTTCGTGCACAGCAGTCTTGTTGAAGTACTCAAGATACTTCCCACCTTCGGGAAAGTAGACCGACCTCCGCCCACCCGGCGTGATAATCGGCGCGATGAAGAACTCTGCCCCGAAGAAGTAGGACTCACCCATCGTATACGTCTTCGGATCTTGTGGCGCTTCCAAGAACGCTGCACGAATCGCAGGGAGACCCGTCTTATGCGCTTGGTAAGTATACGACTTGATAAATGGGAAGAGCTCATAGTGCAGATCAGTGGACTCCTTCAGGACTTGGACCAGCTCGGGCGTGTACGGGTTCGTCTCAGTAGGGTACCACGGAGTATGGTTGGTGCCGATGGGTATCTCGTACATCGGTGAGAAGGTGCTGAACCACATCCAGCGAGACCATAGCTCTTGGTGAGGGTCGTCGAGATCGCGGAGGTAGCCGCCTGTGTCGGAGCCCCATTGACCTGTATGATGTGTTAGCGAAGATGTGGAAGATGCAATGGCATTTGCTTCAGACTGACTGAAGCCAATGAGACCAGATCTGATGCCGCTGGTGACTGAAAACGCCAGTCCTGTCCAGTTTGACTGAGCATCGCCATTCCAGACTGCACTCCTCGATCTCGAGCGGTCCACGATGTTTCGAGCAAAGTTGTAGAAGTTGCCCTCGCCCCATTTCTCCTCCATCGTCTCCCAGCAGAGCTGCTCGAACAGCGCAATTTGTGTGTTCTGTTCATAGACTGTCGGGAGCAAGTCAGTCAGTATTACAACAACCTCATACGCACTATGGAGACGTACCAGGAAGCTCGCCTTCCTCCCCACGATCGATCTTGTATCCTTTGACGCCGACAGATGGATAGTACGAGAGGTGCTGCTTGAAGTAATCGTAGGCTTCGGGTATGCTGAGATTTAGTGCTGGGCCCAGGAAGAACTCGGGATCGATTCCTGGGAACAACCAGCCGTTTGCGACGCTCACATTGTATAGCTCTGTGTACAAAAACGCTCGGTTGGCAGCCCAGACTTGGAAATCGAACCTGAGGCATTGAAGGGGTTAGCAGGTGTCTGAATGCCGTAGGAGGAATCATGAGGTCTCAGAGCGCCACTCGCAGTGTGATAGTGTCTTGGAGAACCCTTCGACCCATCAGTGCTTACCCCCAGTTTGACAGGTTTGCGATGAACTGTCCTGGCGTAGGATAGAACTCGGGATCGAAGTCGAAATTGCCGTAAGAGTAGTTGCCAGTGCCGTACGGTCGATCTGCGAACATGGCCGTGCCGTGGATCTGGTAGTCGTAGAGGTGGGTGATGGTGTCGTAGTAGCTCTCCTGCGAATTGTTCAGGCCGTGGAGATCTTGCTCCCAGTCGTCACTCCAGTAGATTGGACCGTACGCGGAGTCGGGAGGCATGTAGATGGTGTTGCTCAGCTCGGAGTAGGCCGTGATGATGCTCTTGTAGTCGTCTGTCTCCTTTGGCAAGATGATGTAGTAGACCAGACTGCTGGAGTTAAAGTTGAACTCTGCGACTCCAGATTGCTCGAAGTTGTAGGTGCCCATCTCAAGTGTATCGGTATACACGCCGTAGCCAGCGTTGGTGATGAAGAAGGGCGAGCGAGCGTTTGCGTAATTGACTCCTCGGACATTCTCGACGCCTTTGATCTCGAAGTTGACCCCGTCATTGGTGAGTTGGCGGTTCTTGAACGGATACTCCCAAATCCCGTAGAAATGGTCACTTTCGCTGGTGGTAAAGCGGGCCCCGACGAAGGAGGAGGTAGTGTTGATTGTGATTTTTGCAACTTGAGAATTGACCGCGGAGAAGGAGATGTGGCCTGTACTATCCCCGATACTGCCATCATTGGACGCAGATATTGGGGTAGCTGACCTATTGGTCTCTCCGACCAGAATGGCCGTGTTCTCGGCAGAGACAACGCCATTGGAAAACGTCAGGCCAAAGGGTGAAGTTGAGGAGACCGAGATGGACGCCGCATGAGACGAAGGCCCGCCGTGTCTGCCATCGACTTCGACAGGCTGCCCTCTCGTATGTGCAAGAGTTGAAGCGCTAGCAGCGAGCTGAAGGAGAGACAGGCGCATGGTACAAGATTGAGAAGACACAGAATGGTGAAGCAGAAGGGAGTGACCAGAGGCTCTCGAGCTTACCGTGTTTTCGTCAGGCTTAAGTCACAGGCGCGGGAAGCTTGAGGTCTCTCTCAGACGCCATACCTCCTCGCCGTTTCGGGAGAATGTTGCATCGCAGTGAGAAGAGAAAGCGACTCTGTCGATGTCATCTCGACTCTGCGTGAGGGGAAGATGCGGTCAGCCTGGAGCGTCGTCGGCATATGAACGATGTTCAGCGCACCGAGCGGGTAAATAGCGTTGCTGCATACCGACGTCACTCAGGAGGGCCAGGATGATGAAGAAGGAGGTGGAGGAAGATGAACGAGGACGGGTGGGGGAGTTGAGGTTGTAGTGGAAGGTTGAGCGACCACTTCAAGCAGCTTACTAATCATCGCGAAGGTGTCGCCAATTCGTCCTCAGACTGAGGTGTCGCCTCTCCAATGATGGCATCAGACGTCGTTGTCATAAGAGTGAACAGGTCGTCAACGAGACTCATGCAAACTTCACTGGCGGTCTACCCATCTGCAGCGGCTCCAACGTCGATACAGCCGCTTGGAGCGCCTCAATACCGTCCTCGAGCCAGACCTTCTACTCCCTGCCCGGTCATGCCCGCAGCTCTGGCGGAACGAGCAGGACATCTCAGGTGAAGGGATACGGTAGCTCCAAAGACACCTTCTCGAGCGTGGCGTTCGCTTGCTCGCCATCGCCCGCCCAGTTGGAGGACGCATCAGATCACGCCTCCAGCATCGACCTAGCTAGCGAAACTTCTGACGGACAGCCGAGTGAGTGGGCAGAGGGGGAGGGGGAGGAGGGTATTGTTGAGGAAGATGGTATAGCCATCTAAGAACGAGCATACACCGTGAAGCCTTTTGGAGCTGGAGTGGGTCGTCAGGTGATGTCTCTGGAGGACAGTACCTGTGCGCAGGTACGCCAGATGACGAGGGGGTGTGATCTGGGTGACCCTTGCTATTGAAGAGAGATGGGAAGTCTGCATCACACACCCGAGCAATGCGGTAGGTGTTCTAGACGCGGACCAACAACCATTGCCAGTATTTCGTTGCATGAGTAGGACGAATGAACAACACTGGGTACAGGTAGATTGAAGCCAGCAGATGTGCCTCGTGCATGCTGTGGTGCGGCCGTCGTTGGCCTGTAATACTCACGATTTGGCAGCCATGGAGCCAGCAGCGACAGAAAGAAGACGCAATCAGTGCGGCAAAACTAAGGTGTTCATAGAGCTTACTTCCCAAACAGGCCGCCAGACGTGGTCAGCGCGTTGCACGGGTTCCCGTCGACCAAGCCACCGGTGTCGTTCTTATCAGGAGACTGGCGGACCATATGACTGGAAGACCTAGTAATGCGCCTTCGCACCTTCCACCAGGATCTTTGACGTCTTTGCTACTACCGATGCCAGTCGAGATGAGAAGCGCTGCCGTGGAACCCTCACCATACACTGTGCCTGTAACACCCAGACACCCAGGAGGTCCCAAGGCCAAGCGAACCTCCAGGATGATTCCCCAAAGCCGACTACTCCGTCCGCGACAACCCCAAGACGAGAGATTGCTCCATCGGTCTGCGCAAGACAAGACCGTATACTGCAATTGCAGAACCCCACCAAGCAACCACTCGCAATCGACGACAACCTTCGAGCGGCAGAAGCGTTGAGCGAACATGGTGAGAAGCTTTGACCTGGTTGAGGAGGCTTTAGGGCAGGACTTCAGGAAGCTATACAAGTCCTGCAGTGAGCCCTTGCAATGAAGTTGGATTAGACGGTATTGTGTAGACGGTGCCGCAAGAGGGACAAGAAGGCAAACTCCAGCGACCCAGCAACGCACGTCAGGTGAAAATCTCTAGACCTCGATATGAACAAGAGCGATGGCTACCAACGCCGCGCAAAGTGCGAATCTGTAAGTAAGGTATCGACGTTTCCAAGCGGTCTGGACGACCCCAGCACGGACGGTTACCCAGTTCCAGCACTGTGAGGTCGTTGGCGGTGCGAGCCCCACTCGCTGATAATTTGTTTGGTAAAACCAGCGATGCAGATTTTACCCTCCGACAGGACATATGCCCAACGTCATGCTGCCTCTGCCACGATCTCGCGGGTACACGAGATCGAGCAATGTAGGGAATATCTTGGACACGTACTAAGGCTTGTCTGCATTATGTAAGTTTCCAAAGCAGTATCGTGCTTCTCTACTCGCTCCAACGGATCTTCAAAAATACGCCGCTCTTGACCAAAGACGCCGACGACGCAAGAGGCGGTCACCGGCGAATTGGTATCTGGCCATCTTTTCCAACAAATCCACCACGATGCACCTTCAGCCAACTACTATCAGCCATAGAGCTTGAACTTCGCGAGCCCATCACATCAAACAATCGTCTAATCTAGCCGAGAAGATCCATGTCGTCCTGTGTGACCAGATCTGTGAGAAGGACGAAGCATATCGGCGCCATACAGCGCTGCAAGTACAACACTGATTCAAAAAACGCCTAAGGTGAGATCGGCGAGTTCAATCTTCAGACCATGTTTTTTTGCGTGTTCACTTTCCACACTGGGAGCCACTTCCTCAAAAGATAGTCCAACATCACAAGCGACTTGTGACTTGGCAAGCTGCAGGTCTAGCAGCGGTAGCAGTGATAAACAGGACGTCTGCACAGCTTTGCTGAATTGGATTAGGTGCATTGACTGAGAGGACTTCCATAACAGACTGATTAACTTCTCAGAACATCAAATCCCGCGGGTGAGTACGCAGAGGCGAAAGGAGTTCATAGCTAAGTCTCATCGTATGCCACACAAGTACGGAAGTGAAGGGGGGAATGGCCGGGCAGACTAGGCCAGCAGCGAGGAATTCGGCAAAGGAATAGTCCTCCACTAGCTGCAAAAAAAGATGAAGAGCAATTGTCGGTGTACCTTCGATACAAAACACAAGTAGGGGGGCTTCTGCGGCTATACGTCGGCTCGAGCAAGAGATGGCCGCTGGGCATAAGGCAACGAGCGTTTGTTGCCAAGCTGAGTGGTGTTGAAATGTGCATCGAGCGGCAAGTTGATGGCCAAGTCTTGAGAACGATCGACATTGGAATGTCTTCCATCCACGGTACGTCCAGCCAACGGCAGCTGCGCAAATTCTCTTCATTGCTCACTTCTAGAGGCAAACAAGGTCAGACTTGACGAAGGGATCAAAGCGGCAAAGAAGAGGGTGCACGTGTATGAAGATTGCAATGCAGACTTGGATCAATCTCTGCGGGCGACAGACCAGCTGGATGAAAAGTTGAACCTTGTCAATAGACCTGTAACGCTCACCAAGACAGCCGACCCCTAGAACACCCGTTCTGGACCTGTGTTTGCAGCTACACATATAACAAGATAGTTGCAGTCCTACCATTTGGCCCCGGCGTCGATGCTATGCATCAACTTGCGGATGCGTGGTCCACGAGCGACGGTTTGGTGGAAGTCCGGCAATGCCTCGGTGATCGCGAGATGTCTATCGACCCAGCAACTCAAATCTTCTCGAAGCGTACTGCCGCAGCGATGGATAGAGACGGTCCGCCGACGTTGCATTCTCAAGACAGGTACGAGGAAGATGCAAATCAATCTCTAGAGGTGGTGCTCCTGCTGGACGAAGATGTGGACATTGGAAAGAAGACGGCAGGCTGGACAGTATGTTGCTTTTGCGATGGACCTATCTTGTTGTCGAGCACGATCGAAAAGCAACCTGGAAGTCAGCCAAACACCCATACGCCCCTGAAGAAACAACCTTTGGATGATCTGGACGTTGGGCTCTGCACGGCCATGGTGGGCCCCAGGTAAAAAGATGCAAATGCATCGCATACTTCGCATGACGACTTCGACACCACTTCCATGCTTCATGCCAACAGAAGTTCCACTCCTTACACAGGCGCATTCACGTGGATCAGTCTGTTCGAGATATTCAAGATGGACGACGAGGTGAATGAAGTTTCCAGACATTCGGATATCCCAAGTTCACAGATTTATGGCTTGAGAGCTCTCGCCATCGACACCATGAGTATACCGCTGGGACTAAAGTGTATCGCACGGCGGACTAGGGATGGTGTAGCTGATTCTCGGTGGACCTAACCCCATCCCTTCGAGTAGCTGCTATACGAAGTTGCTTAGCGTAAGGGAGGACCGAGATTAGTCAGGCCATGCGCCCTTCGCTCTCAGAATCCACGCAATGCTGTTCGACAATACACAGTAGGTCTTGCCCACGTGGCATTGGGCAAGCTTACCGGTGTTTCAACGGCCACTTCGTCACCAATCGAAGATGCCAATGAGAAGCAGCACGAATGACGTCTCATCATAGTTGCATGGGCTGCCGGTCTGTACTGCTACATGCCATGGTGGCTGTACCAGAACATCCGAACGAACCTCAACATCAAGGGAAGAACTCGCGATGGTTCGTTGTCAGCACTACTGTCTGTCCGCCCAGAGCAGAATGCTCCGCTGCTGCCGATGTGCAGGATGACGACAGCGTGTTTGGCGAGGCATGGATCGTTCCCATGACACCAGGAAGGTTCGCGCGTCGTACTGCGTCTGGTTGGAGAGCTTGAAGCATGATGATTGGTATAGCAGAGGGCCGTATCTACTCGCGATCGAGATGAGCTGTTCGGAACGACAGCTTTGGAGAGATGGGATCCAACTCAACCGTAGATACAGCACCGCTATGCTCTGTCGCCTACTAACAAGCAGGAAACCCTACTGCCTGAGTTGCACCTTGAGGGCATGCCCTTCTCCGACGGGCAGAGCATTTAGTGGTTTCATTGATGTCCGCGCTACTCCCGGCCTGGTCACAGACGGTTTCGCCTACTTCTGACACATGAGACGTCCCCACGTTCCTACGCCTCTCCACACCATCAGGAACGGCCATCTCGCAATCCGAACATCATGTCTGGTTCTTGATCCACTGTTCCTGAGGTCTCTCGGTCTTGCTCTTCAGACGCGTTTGGCCCAGTCGCTG